GTGTTGTTATAAACATTGGGGTGCATGGGGGTGTCCCTTCGAAACAACATACCTGTATCCCTTGGATAAATACCTAGTAGTGCAATTGCTGGGTCATAGGGTAGTTCTATTTTTAATTTTTTGAGGAACCTCCATACTGTCTTCCAGAGTGGCTGCACCAGTTTGCATTCCCACCAGCAGTGTAAAAGAGATCCTCTTTCTCTGCATCCTCGCCAACATCTGTTGTTGCCTGAATAGTTATTGTTAGCCATCCTGATGGGTGTGAGGTGGTATCTCATTGTGGTTTTGATTTGTATTGCCCTGATGATAAGTGACATTGAGTATCAATTCATGTGTCTGTTGGCCATCTGGATGTCTTCTTTGCAGAAGTGTCTGTTCATGTCTTTAGTCCATTTCTTCACTGAATTATTTGTTTTTTGGGTATTGAGATTGATAAATTCTTTTTAGATATTGGATACTACCCCCTTATCTGATATGTCATTTGCAAATATCTTCTCCCATTCCATCGGTTGCCTTTTAGTTTTGCTGTTTGCTTCCTTCAAATATTAATTTATTTTAAGAGAGAGAGAGAGCACTCACACATGGGGGAAGGGCAGAGAGAGAGAGGGAGAGAGAGAATCCATGCTGACATGGAGCTCGATCTCATGAACCTGTTAGATCATGACCTGAGCTGAAATTAAGAGTTGGACACTTAACCCACTGAGCCACCCAAGCGCACCTATGGCTTTCCTTATTAATTACCAGACCTCCTCCTGTGAAATAATAAAATGCTTCAAACAGTATCTTTCATAAGGGTCAGAGTGAGGAGGACCTTTTTGAGCAAAGCCTTCTTAAGGTTTACAAGGGAAATAGTAGGGTAGACATAAGCTGCTAATGGAAATCAATGTCATAAACAAAAGAAAGTTTTATTTAAATGCCTTCTAAAAAGGTTCTGGTCCATGGGAACCTTTTTGTGCTCCTTTGCTCACTAAGTTAGAATATCAGACTCTCAGAATGTAGCCATTAGATAGGCTTTTAAGAGGTTAGTCATCTAATCCTAGACCTTTAATCGACATTTAAGAAGCAAACAAAAGAAGTGGGAAGCAAAATCTTCTGGGTTCACGATAAAGATAACCTTTCGTCCTGAGAGTCATGCTACTGTGGGTGTTGTGTTCTGCCTGGCAGCAGCCAGGAAAATGAAACTGTGTCAAATACAGATTGCTACGATGCTGTGCACTACTTTCAAAACAGAGTAGAAGGTCATCAATCTGTCCTAGCCAATAATGATTAGAATAGTGACCATTCTCAGATTCATGTCATGTGTCATGAACTACATTCATGTTTCATGTCATTCTCCTATTGGCTCTATGAGGAATTATCATTTGTTTTTATAGACAATGAAAGCAATGAAATATATATTTCATTATAGACAATGAAATTAAGGGTTCATTAATCTGCTCAGGATCCTATCCCTAGTTAGGCAGGGTCAGGATTTGCGTTTAAGTCTGCCTCACTTCAAACCATCCTTTCTTTTTTTTTTCAATGAAGTATTTCAAACTTTTAGAAAAGTACAGTGACTGAGGTATCAAACACCAGTATAACTAACTACTGCTTAACTTCACCGAATTATTTGTAAAATATTCCATACTGACTTTAGATCTTCCTTTAAAACAGAAGGTAATGGACACAGTAGAAGCATTCTGTGTACCCTTTGCCTCCCCCTTCCCCAATTCTCCTTCCCTTCCCAGACATAACCCTTTTTCCTGTTGTAGTATTTATATTTCACAGTCATGCTGATGTTGTTACTAGTGACGTAAATGTCTATAGACTGTAACATTGCTTTGCATTTTAAAAATTTATGTTCATGTTATTATGGTCTTGGCGTCACTTTGCAGGTTGGTTTTATCAGCCAACATTGCTTTCCATTGCATGAAAATACAGTAGTGTGTTTACCATTTTTCTGTTGTTCTAGGTTGCTGTCAAATTTTGCTATATAGAGCAATTGCTACAAAGAGCATTCCTGTACTAGTCTCTTTAGGTAAATGTGTGCAAGTTTTCTGGGGTTTACGCCTAGAGTTTTCACTTTTCCATTATCCTGCACCAGGCCTCTTGGAGCCTCTGGTGAATGGCTGAGCGATGTTGGGATACTGAGGTCTTGGCTGTAGGATACACGTACAGGATCGTGACGGAACAGGGACTTATAGAGGACTTGGTGTTGACAGCCCAAGTCTTTTGGGAGAGGAATTTTAATTTGCAGCTAAATCAGTGGCTCTTGGGCACAAGATGAAAAGAAAGTTTCTCCTTTGGCCTGATCAACTGAAAAACTAATTTCAAGCTAGAGTTGAGGATGTTGGTAGAAGTAACAGGAATAGACCAAGTGAAACAAGAACGCTTAGAAGAGGCTGTTGGTACTTTAAGTCAACAATTTTTAAACCATGTGTCCAGGGACCCCAGGGTTCCCACTGAGCCTCCTCAGAGGCCACCTGGGGATCCACATGGGGGAGACAGACAGACAGCAGGTTCACCCCACTGTGCTTCTTCTAGAGCATCGCTTCTCCAACTATTTTACACATTGGGATTTTTGGGCAAGACTTTGTTTCAGTAAACTATTGTAGCTAAATGTGTTTTTTTTTTTTTTTTAAATTCATTTAAATAGGAGCACCTGGATGGCTCAGTCGGTTAAGTGCTCAGCTCTTGGTTTCAGCTCACATCATGATCTCAGGGCTCGTGAGCTTGAGCCCCACATCTGGCTCTGAGCGGACAGTGCAGAGCATGCTTGGAATTCTCTCTCTTCCACTGTCTCTCTCTCTCTGTCTCTGCCCCTTCCCCACTCATGCTCACTCTCTCTCTTTCTCAAAATAAAGAAACTTACAAATCCAGTTAAATATATAGGAAGACAAGTGACCAATGAGAGACATTTATATATAATGTTCCCAATTAGATGTAGTTTGTACCCCAATATTCCCTCTCACACTGCTGTTATAAATAGACTGAGTGGGCTGCATTCTGCAGTGCTGGTAGCAGTAACCCATATATATCCCATATTTCTGATGACACACCAAATTGGGGATATAAATAGATTAAGAATAATAGTGATAATATTTGGTTGACTGTTTCTTTAGCTGATAGGAACACCTTCATGTCAGGTGACTTCAGAGAATAATAATAAGTAACTGAGCTATTTGGCTAAAATGAAGAAGGGGAACATTGAGGCTGAAGAATCAAGTGGGACCCAGATCAGGAGGGGCCTTGTGAACTAAGTGAAGTCACGTGGACTCTGTCCTGAGGGTAGAATCCACATGGCATTAGCAGGAGGGTCAGATGACCAGCAAACTTTCTGCCAGACTTGGGTTCTCCTCTTTCAGATGCATATTTGTATAAAAGCCACCTCCCCCCCTCAAAAGTCAACATTTTAAAACTGTGAAGGAGAATCCACTTCTGAGCCATGTTTAAAAGGCAGTGAAAAAGTTTCAAAACACTTGAAAATCTTTGGATTGAATTTTGGTTTTAGTGGGGGCTCCTGAGATCCATTCTTTTAAAAAAATGTTTTCTTTCACAGAAACGTGCCAGTGGATTGGAAATGATATTTGACTCCATAAAACAAACTTCCTTGTGCACAGATATCTATGATGATTTGAGTATTCTTGCTTTTTCCCAAATTATCTTTTCCCGAAAATGATGGCAAACGCCTTTGTTTGTTTTAACTTGACCCATCTTTCGTAACCCAGTTTAATCATTTCACAGATTCCCTTTTGAAATAAATGGGCTAGATTGTTGGACAATCGTGGCAGATATTTTTTGTCACCTCAATAACATATGCAAGAAATCTTGTTAGTGAAATTTGTATATCAAATTTTCCTTTGTGTGGCTTTTTTCTAATGAGTTTAGTACTAAAGTGTTGGTAAAGTTAAAACCTTATTAATTCAAAGCAAGGAATGCCAATATGACCCTAAAACATCTGAATGATTGAAAATTGAAATTTGTTTTGTTACTTGTGAATAAAGTGCCTATTAGGTACTAAGATAGATGAGTACAAATAAAAGGAAGGTTGTATATAAAAATTTTTCTAGCAAACATAAAACATACAAATTGCAAAGACAAAATTTTTTTTCATTCTAAGTTACTAGAACTTGTTTGTTATAGGAAGCTTTGTTTTTCTTCAGCTCTTATACTAAAATTATTAAAATCTTCTTTGAAAGGTATAAACATGAGTTTATTTTTTAAAGAAGATATTCTGCATCTGAATGAATGCAAATTTGGAACTTGTGTCATGTGAATTAATAGATTTTGGAGGACATCCCTTCCCGGCTAAATATAAAAGTATTTGATGGATTATTTCTTAGAAAATGATGCCAGTGTCCTCAGCACAGCATTTTCATTGCCTATTACAACCTTTCCTCTACCTAATGGTCAGCATCTTCTCTAGACTGGGACAGATCAAGGAACAATTCCATAGAGCTTCTTTGCAGACCCATCTTGTCCTTAGGCCATTTCCGGTGCCAGTGACACTACTACTCAGGATTTTTCTAGAAAGACTACTTCATGATCTTGTATAAATCAGACCCATCCTAAAATCATCTCATTTTGAAACTGAATCCGAGTGGGTCTCTGTCAGTATCACAGCAGATGGATTTATCAGAGGCATGCTCACAGATTGATACAACTTCAGAGCAGGTGTCCTGGTCAAAAGGGATAAAGCCAAAGGCAATGAATGACACCTACTTGCTTCTAGCTTTGAGCCATTCATTGTACTGCCAAATTCCCATCTTAGAATCTCCTTATTTGTATTAATCAAAATACATCTCTAGGTGTAAATCCCTTTCTAAAATATCTCCTGCCTTTACATCTGGGCATTAAAGGGTGTTTCAGTTCTGATTTTGGTTTTCCTACTTAGAAGTCCCTCTTTCTGACATTAATAATTAACCAGTAAACTAACTTACCCAAATTCTTCAAGCTCAGTTTATTTAAAAGGAGAGTAACTTCAAGAAGGTTATATCAATGGTTTACTGATACCTCCAGCCATGAGCCTTTGGGGCATACTTGTTTTTTTAATCTTCTTGGGTAAAAGTTGGGGACAGGAACAAACGTAAGTAAAAGAATCCATCTTCATTTATCAATGCATCTTAGTTGTGATGAGTGAAAAATAAGCTCAATAGATGGTGTTAATTTGAAAATAACTTTCTACTTCCCAGAGCATCTGGTGAATAGTCTCATCTCTGAATGAGAAAGTCATGGAAACATTTTGATTTGATGAGTGGCTTACAACACAGCAGCTTTATGGGATTGTTATTTTAAAAAATCTACATAAGTGATTATTTGAATTTCTCTTCAGAAGAGCAGAAAATCAAGATAATAAACTTTCTTGCCATTGATTGCTTATTTCTATTTAGTTCATAATTTTATTTGTATGTCCCATGTACTCACTATACATAGTAAAGCACACGTTTCTTTGGGATCAATTCTAATACTGTGATTTGAAAAACTATTGTAATTATTTCTGAATTTATTCTTCACAAATTTTGGTGTCATAGAAATATTGTGCATTTCAAAGTATGTTTTAAAAATACTGATTTTGGGGCACCTGTGCGACTTAGTCGGTAAAACATCTGACTTCAGCTCAGGTCATGATCTGACAGTTCATGAGTTCGAGCTCCGTGTGGGGCTCTGTGCTGAAAGCTCAGCCTGGAGCCTACATTGGATTCTGTGTCCCCACTCTCTCTTTGCCCCTCCCCCACTGATGCTCTGTCTTGCTCTCTCAAAAATAAATAAATGTTTTTTAAAAAATACTGATTTTGGGGACACCTGGATGGCTCAGTTAAGCGTCCAACTCTTGATTTCAGCTCAGTTAATTGGTGAGGCTCTGCACTGACAGTGTGGAGACTGCTTAGGATTCTGTCTCCTTCTCTCCCTGTCCCTCCCCAGCTTGTGCTCACTCTAACTCCCTCTCTCAACATAAATAAATAAAAATACTGATTGTGTAGCTAGAAATAGCATTTTGGCACTGAAAAGGAACCGGAGAGTATCTAATTGAACCTACTTATTTCTCATATAAGGATAAACCCAGACAGAGGGGAAAGTGACTTGCGGAAGATCATGATGCTAGAGGGAGACAAAAGCAGGACTTGTGTTAAGGATGATTTTTTTAGCACTTTGATTTTTTTGATGTTGTCATAAATATATACATAAGTATTGAAAATATATTATAAATATAAATGTATACTCAGGATGTCATAAATTTACAACACTCTCCCACCCTGTCTGATTTTCTCGCATGGCCACAATCACTTGATTCCCTAGGTAGTTTTTATATATTACTTTTTGAAAGACAAGTGGCAGTGACTTCAAATTAGTAGTAGAATTAGGACTGAATTCTTTCTACTACATTGTACTGGCCCTTAATAAGCATCTCCTCTCTGTCTCTGAAAAAGTGACAGTGTACCATTTACAGGATAGCAAACAGTTTAATTAATTTGATTGATTGATTCAACAAAAATTTATTGAGCACCTACCATGTGATAGGCACTGAGGATGTAGTAGGTGGTATAAACCTTGCATTCTACTGGGAGAAGCAAATAACGATGGATGAATGAACCAATGAATGAATGAATGAATGAATGAATGAATAATATTAGGTGGTTATCAGTAGAAGAAGAAAAAAATAGAGTCAGATGGTACAGAAATGATGGGGCATTACCCCAAAGTTGTAGGAAGTGAGGGGAAGTAAATTATGCAAATACCTGGGGAAAGAACATTCCAGGTAGAGGCCAAAGTCATATTTTTGCCTCTCTGCAAGCCCAGTGGCCTGATCCTCTTTTTCTTTTGATATATTTTTAATTAATTTATTTATTTTGAGAGAGACAGAGAGAGAGAGTAGTGGAGGAGCAGGGAAAGTGAGAATCCCAAGCAAACTCTGCACTGTCAGTGGGGAGCCCAATGCGGTGCTCAGACTCACAAATCTGAACCAAAACCAAGAGTCAGACACTTAACCAACTGAGCCCCTCAGGCGCGCCTGGCCTGATCCTCTTAAACTATTGAAAGAAAATAAGAAAAGTAGGATATATTTTTAAGTATGATTTTTGTATGTGACTAGATTGTGGTACTGATAAACCAATAGAGACCAGCATCTGTATGAAGGGTGATTCCAAAGCCATCATAGGGACTTCTAAATACTGAACACTTTAAGTTTTGTCACCACCACCACTGCCACATAGACAGTTCAAAATTAAGATAATATTAAACTGAAAAAGATAAAACTTATAAGAATGCTGAAATTAAAATAGCTTTTTTTTTCTAGATTTTTCAGATTGTAAAACTCTTGCTAAATCCAATTAAGTATGGCAATTGAAATTGTTAATTCAGGAAACAGACTACTTTGGTCCAGTTACTAATTTTGGAGCTTAACTGTGTGACCTTTGGCAAGTAAATGATCAGTTTCTTCATCTGTAAAATGGGAGTAATAATAACACCTTGCTTACAGAGTGGTTGTAGCAACACAGGGAACATATCTATCTATCTATCTATCTATCTATCTATCTATCTATCTATCTAGTTGTTAAAACAGTACCTAGCACAGATTTCAGGAATTGTACCTTATTATCAGCAGAGCTTAACTTTTCTCATTTTCTACTGTTCCTGGATAAGCGTATAAGGAATTCACATGATGGTTGGGAATCTGGAGATCTTTTCCCTCTTTTACAATTTGTCTGTAAGAGATTTCAAATTAGTTGTCATATAGGAGACTGCCAGATGCTTTAAAAGGACTTAACTGCTTCCAAATTAATTTCATTGCTACTAAAGACTTTCTGACTTTTTAAACGTCATATTGTAGACAAGGGTCTGCAATAATTCTCCAGGAGCCATGGCAGGTGGCCTCCAGGCCTGTTCGGCCACTTGAATTAGTCGGTCACTATGACCTTTTGGGTTGAAGCACACTTCTCTTTGCCTGTGTAATAGCACATATGCCTCTCACTATTCAAATTAGCCACTTTCATGAAATATAATTAATAACCTAGTTTATATTTGTAAGTGTTCTTTTAATAAAACAATGAAAATACACACATTTAAAAATTTATTTCAAAAACTTATATAGACTCATTTGCATTCTTGTATAAACCATGTGAGAAACAAAACTGGGAATAGCTCATGGTTGTGAACATAGCTTATAAACTCGACCTCAATTATACACCTAGTGACTGAGAGAAACACCTGAATATAAAGTTCTGCCTCATTCACTGATAAGCCATGTGACCTTGGAAAATTATCCTCTTTTCACTTGTAAAATAGGAATAATACCAGTATCTACATCATTGGCCTGTTGTAAAAATTAAGAGTTGTATAAAAGTGCTAATACAGCCTCTCATAAATTAACTGTTATTATCATTATTGTTGTATGATTGTTACTATTCTTCAAAGACCTCCATCATTACTTCCATTTCTAAAAGCATTCCCCCAGCTCACCTTTGTTATATCCTTTTCTTTATCCACTCATAGTATCACACAGTGCTTCTAACATTACTCCCTTTTAACTCATTTAGTGAAATAAATGAAACTTAACCTTTATTGGATACTAAGCATGCTAGTGATTTCATATACGTATCCTCATTGCATCCTTACTGCAAACTGGTAAAAAGGTGATATTTTCACAGGTAAATTATTTTGGTCTTAGAAAGGGTTGGTGACTTTACTATGGTCACTCAGCCAGTAGAGGACAGACTGGAATTCAATCCTTGGTTCCTTTGTTGCCTTTTTTCTTCATTGAGCAAATATAACGACCCTAGGTACATATTTCAGTCAACAGCATTACAAGTCTCTCTTTGTGGCAGTAGCTCAGGGAAAGTGTTATTAGTACCTTTCTAAGTGTTAGCTACATCTCCAGCTGTTTCTCAAGTCTTTCTTCTTGGAAACTATGCTGAAATTATCATAAATCACTAATAAACTTTGATTTAAAAATATCACTTTTGAGAAAATGTGCCGATCTGAACTTCTCAAATGAGATGAAAAAATTAGAAATACAACAAAATGCAATCACCTAAAGATATCGGCCCTTCTCTTTCCCTATTTCAACAGATATGTCATTTCAGCACCAAAAATATTCCATGTTGGAGCATCTGAAAATATTGTAATTCAAGTTTATGGATACACCGAAGCATTTGATGCAACAATCTCACTTAAAAGTTATCCTGATAAAAAATTTAGTTACTCTTCAAGCTATGTTACTTTATCCACAGAAAATAAATTCCAAAACTCTGCAATCTTAACAGTATGTATTTATCCTTCATTTTCTTTATACATACAGAATAGTCGCCACAAAATGTGTACCAACTTTGAATGTTGATAATATAGAGATTTGGCCAATTATTATCACTCACCACTGTGTAATTATTAAATGATGTCAGTCACCCCTGATAATGTAGATGAAACAGAAAATTCTAAGTTGAAGAGTTGTGTCTGTTTTTTGAGCAATGCATGTAAATTGTAATGATCGTATTGTAAAATAAAATTGTACTAATGCAAAAATATTTGGAAATGAAGTGAAAATACTTGTTAACTGTGAAAATCATCATTACAAGGAAATTGCAAAATATGAATATGCATCTTGATCTGTAATGCATTGTCTGCAAAACCCCAGGAATGACATTGAACATTTGTTAGTTTGAATTCCAATATTCTGCAATTATAGCTTCCAAAACAAATACATTATCGGTTACTAAAGTGAACAGCTTTCATTGACAAACTGTAGTTAATACAAAGAACATTCTACATCAAATAACTTTTCCTTCTATTAAGATATTGTAGTGTACTTTGGTTAGAGTAATGTTTTTAACCATTTCTTATTTAAAATTCTAACTAAAAATTACTTCATACTCAAAATATTGTTTTTAATTCTGATATAAATTCAAAAATAAACAACCAAAAAATCAAAGACAACCATATGTGGAAGGTGCTCTGAGGCTCATTTAGACCAGCGTTTTTTTAAAGTGAGCTCTTTAAAAAATAATTAAATTTGAAATTTTAAAAGAGCTTAGGATTAGAGAGGTGCCTGGCTCAGTTGGTAGAGTGTGCACTCATGATCTCAGGATTGTGAGTTCAAGCCCTAATTGATTACTTAAAAATAAATAAAATCTTTTAAAAAATAAAAATAAAAAAGAGTTTAAGATGAGAATTGTAGATATTTAGTAGTTTGAATGTATTCTGTAAATTTGTTTTGATTTTATAATTATATAAAATTCATAAGGATAAGATTACACCTAGTCTGAGGTTTTACATATTTAAGTAACATTGTAATAAAAATAAATTTTTATTATATTATAAATAATTAAGAGTCAGCACTGAGAGTCCTCCAGAACATTTTATCCTTTAAACAGGGTCTGTACATTACTCAAGTTTGAGAAACACTGCTCTAAATAAATTGTAACCAAATGTAGAAATTTTTTTTAATGTTCTTTTAAAATTTTTTTTTAATGTTTATTTATTTTTGAGAGAGAGAGACAGAATGCGAGCCGTGGAGGGCCAGAGAGAGAGGGAGGCTCTCACAGAATCTGAAACAGGCTCCGGGCTCTGAATTGTCAGCACAGAGCCCTATGCGAGGCTCGAACCCACAAACCACGAGATCATGACCTGAGCCAAAGTTGGACACTTAACCAACTGAGCCACCCAGGTGCCCCTCATCAATGTTCTTGATTGCAAATCCTCTAATCTCTTAAATACTTACACTTACCAGGTTTATTAAGAATTAAAAATATTTTCCCAATTAATTTCAGTAGACACTCTGATGTCACTGGCCACACATGTGTAGCTGTTACCTTTAAATTTAAACCAATCAAATTTAACTACAATAAAAAATTCAGTTCATCAGTCACTATAGCCACCTTCCAAGTGCTCAAAAAACCACATGTGACTGGCGGCTACCATATTGGACAATGTAGATATTGAACGTTTACATCATCATAGACAGTGCTCGTGACTCATGCAGACTTAAGATAGGTCATTGAAAGAGGAGATTAAGTAGGCAATCATAAAACTTGATGCATATCTTCTGCATTTAATTTTGCATTACAACGTATCTTTGTTTGCCAATTGTTTGATGTTGTGCCAAGGTCTTAAGCATGCGTGTCCTGGTCGAAGTGTCAAATCTTATTTATTATGTGTTGCCCCTTTAACAAATCATCTTTGTTTACAGTTTCTGTTTCTTTAAAGCAAAGAAAGAACCTAAAGACTTGTAAAACAATCTGAGAGCAGAGTCTTTATAGGTTTTTACTGTCTTCCAGACTTGGACAGTGCTCTCACAGATTTAATTCCACAGCTGTTGGCTTTATCCCACGTTTTTATTAACTTTTATCCCATGTTTCCAAAGCCTGAGTTTTCATAGAAACACTTTTCTTTCTTTTATTACTCTTTATGTATTATATTTGTGGCAAATATATGTAAAGTGTATAATTACAATTACATACACTAAATGAGAAAGCAGGAAGGTCAACCCAAGCAGAAGGATGGAGATAGAGTACAAAGTGTCCTGAACACCAGGTAGGATGTTGCACCGAGGAAGTGGAGAGCATGGGCTAATCCAGTGAGCTGACGAAGTGAACTGTTAAGAAGTTTTTGTAGCAGTAGCTTTACTAAATGTATATGAAAATTAGGAAACATGGAAACCAAAAAACTTTTAATTGCTTCAAGCCAAATCTTGTCTATGATATTTGACAGTGACAGGCTTCGGGAAAAATTTATTCAGTGTTCTGGCTCCTCTACGACTTTTTAAATGGTTAAATACTCATACCCATTTTTTTGTGCTATTGAGATGACATTGGGACTAAGAAAATCAACATGTTTTATAACCTAAAAATTATACCCTATTCCATCCACATTTTCTTTAACAGATACAACCCAAACATTTGTCTGGAGGACAGAATCCAGCATCACATGTGTATTTGGAAGTTGTATCAAAGCATTTTTCAAGATCAAAAAAAGTGCCAATAACCTATGACAATGGATTTCTCTTCATTCATACAGACAAACCTGTTTACACTCCACAACAGTCAGGTAGGATATAAGATGCTTCTTCCTCTAGGGGTGGAGATGGGGGTAGGGGTGGTGATTGACATTATATTGTAGAGTTTTTTAACACTTGAAATTAAGTGGAGACAAGTTTCCAACTTGATCAAGAGTCTCAATTCCCAAATGACTTTTACATTTATAAATACCATTTTAATTTAAAATTTACATAGAAATTACTAAATAAACCGTTTAAATATAAATTTTAAATTCATATGGAAATTGCAAAATGAACCATTCTATTATCTGCCCCATTAGTTATTTCCATGGAGAAAAAAGCTTTTTAAAAAATTGTGACATGTTGTGTTATATCTTCTTTATTAAACAAGTATAAGATGTAACTGCAAATATAATTTTGGAAATGGAAAAATAATCTATTACAGAGCCATTTTCACTTTTAAAAAGTTTCTTTGACTTTGGAGCTATTCCTCAAATTCAGGAAACAAATCCAACCTTAGGGAATCAGATGTTTCAGCAAAGAAGAAATTAGATCACAGAAATATATGGGTGTTAATTTTCTAAGGGACTGTACCTAAGAAAGTTTCCAATGGAATATTGCTTCATATCAGTGGTTCCTCTGTTAGTGGGAGAAAGGGCAGGATAGCAGTCAAAATTCTATGACTGATGAATGACTTGATTTTTTCACAGTGAGCCAAAAGTAGAACTCAAAAAAGTGTAAATCCTACTCAAATATGGTCACATGTCTGCAGTCATTTGAATCCTCTGTCTTTCCCTCTCGCCATCATTAACTTTTGAGTATATCAGAGATGGAATTATAAGAGAACTGCAGTGGGAGGGGAGTTTATGGAGTTTCAATAATGCTATTATTGGTGAAGGGTGGGGGAAGGGAAGCAGGACCAGCCAGTGTTTGGGAAGCACTTTTCACACAGTGCATACTTGCTAATTTTGGTTGATGTTGGTGATGACAGTAGTAGGAAGGAACAGGCCTAACCACGACCACTGTGGTAGGAGTACCTATTCGGACAGACTCAGAAAGGAAAGGCCTGGAAAGGGTGGGATATTGCTGTCAGCTTAGACAGATTGTCATTGGCAGACTAGTAGCATCCCTTGACCCCAAGAAGAGGACTTAGCATGTACACAGAGCCCGTAAAGCTCAGGCCCGTTGAAACGTAATCATACCTAGAAACAAACATATCTTTGCCTTTGTCCTCCTCTTATATCAAAGGACTAATTTAGAAGATTAGATGCTCTGGAGCCAGATTGTCTGAGTTCAAACCCCAGCTTAGGTTCCTGTGAGCTCTGTGACACTGCATGTGTTACTCAACCTCTCTGAGCCCCACTTTCCTCATCTGTAGAATAGAGATAATAATAGAACTTACCTCACAGAATTGTTGGGAGAGGTAAGTGAATTCATATGGGTAAAGCACTTAAGACAGTGCCTAGCTCAGAGTAAGCACTAGGGGAGTGTTTTCCATTACTATTTGATCTGTGGAAGAGCACAAAGCCTTATTTACAAAGAAGAAAAAGAATTACTGAAAAGTAATTCTCTTAAAATTGATTACATCTTGTTATTTATAGCTCTAACGTCTTGATCCAACGTCTTGATCTAACGTCTTAATCTGAAGATCCTTGAGGGATTTTTAGTGTAAGCATCTTTAAAGCTAAAGGCTTAAGCCTTCAAGGCTTTGTAGGTTAAGGACTTTAGAATATTAACCAAAATCCTTCATTTCCATACAGCCTGTGTCCTGCCTTCCCCTCCCCCTCATCTCTGGAAACCAGGCAAACTGACCTCTTTCCAGCTGCTTTCTCACACTATGTTCCCACCCATATCAACGCCCATATATCTCTGCCTGGTACATGCATGGCCCCCTACCTCATTAAACGGCTTCTCAATCCCTACATCTCATGCATAGTGTGCAGCCTTCTCTGACCTCCATGCCTGCTTCAGAGATCTCCCTCTCTGTGCTCCCAGAAAGCCAGGCAGTGTCTTTGTAGCCCTTCCCACCCTGGACTGCACATACACTTGTGACATCATGTGTTCGCTCTACCCTCCACTCCATGTCTGATTGGTCTCACGGCCCTATCTCCAAGTCTAGCATCGTGTCTACAACATAGAAGGCATTCAATACTTTTTTTTTTTCCAAAACCTAATAAACCATTATCTTTGGTACTAAAGAATCCTATTGATCTTGCCTCCAATACACTGTTGCCATAAGGACAAGATTAATTTTCTAATCTAGAAACTAGGTTAAAAAGTAGATAAATAGCAGTTGTTGAAATAATAATATTAGAATAAAAATAATAAGCATTGTTGAGTAGTTATTATGTGCCAGGCTATGCAAAAGCTTTGTCTCATTTGACCCTCACAATTCTCTAGAGCGGATACTAGCGGTTCTGTTTCACAGATGAGGCAACTACGATACAGAGGGATTAAGTCTCCCACTCCGGGACATGCTAGGAAGTGGTCGTCCCCAGAGTGAAACCAAAGTTTTGACCTCCAGGGTCTGAACTCTTAACTGTGTGGGACATACTACATCTGGCGGCATCCCGGTGACACTCGGGCTGAACTGGGTGTGTCCCTCACACAGGAGGGAGGACACGAGGTGGGAGAGGGATGGAGGAAGGGGGAAAGCAGAGCGTGTATGGGCGGGGGGGGGGGGGGGGGGGGGGGGGGGGGGGGGTTTACTGAACTTTTTGCTTTGACCTTATTGAAACCAATTTTAGAGAGCTTAATGTGGCTCCTTATGTCTACATAAGGCTTGCGTGATACTAACCCTTTAAAAGGATGATGACTCCAGTTCAATTTTATTTTGTGGGTAAGGTTTTGGCCATGAAATGATTTGAGCATCAGCAAATGAACATCAGAGAAATTACAGTATGTCCTGTTGGAAGGAACTAGACCAGCGTGTCTCAAGCAGTTAAGAGTTCAATTCTAAGCAGATGCATTTGTTTAAAAGGCAGAGATCTATTAACTAATGGAAACAAATGAAGAGAACTAATTGTTCTTGAGCCCTTGCCATTAAACATTTAACAATGACAGAACAATTGTAGGATCTGGCTCAATGAATCTAACAATACCATACAATTCAAAGCTGCCTTTAGCAACAATAAGGGATACTTTGGGGACCTTGTTGGTTTTTGTAAGTGCAAAAATGTGTAATATTGAAGTCAAACTACCTAATTTTCCACTAAAATCTTCAACTCTAGTATGACAATATATTATACTCCCATATAACCATATGGTAGAGATTACTATGAAATTCTTTCTTTTATTTACTATGAACTTCTTGATAAACAGTAGCCTAATGTGTGTTCCCAAAAAGTTGTATGGAAATACATTTTAACAAAATGACCCGTACTTTACATTCACTAGGAAAAGTAGCTTTTTAAAGAAATCCAAGAGAATTCTCTTTAAAAGAAAATAATCTTCAGTAATGTACATGTCTGTAAACTAACTTTTTCTTTCTTCTAAAATGTATATTTATGTATTGATTTTTGTGATTGAGTTTTTTTTTAATTATAGTCATCTCTTTTAAGGATGATTATTGTAAAAAATCAAAATACCCTTGTGATTAACATAGATTTTGACAATATCAATTATTCTTACAGTAAAGGTTAGAGTTTATTCACTGAATGATGACTTGAAGCCAGCCAGAAGAGAAACTGTCTTAACTTACATAGTAAGTATGTTATTTATTTAAATAATAATTTAACTCATTTTCAGCATTAGGTATACTGTTCTATAACTCTGCCTTAACCCCACACTAACTCATTCAATATTTGGTAAATGGTTATTGAACATCTTCTGTAAGTATAACATTGTAAGTCTATACCTCGACAATAGATGTATAAAAAAAAACTCATGAAAATTAACTCTCAGCAAGTTGTGATTTTGAGCTAAATCCTTTAAATATATCCTTCATGATTTCTTTCTTAAAGAGCATTGATCAATCACTAAGAATTGATTGACCATTAACTGAATATTACATATGAGATTTTTTGTTTGTACCATTCAAGATAAAGAATTATAATATGGGCCACTTACACTTAAGAAACTAAGAGTTTAGGGTGGCTCAGTCAGTTCAGTGTGTAACTCTGGATTTCAGCTCAGGTCATGATCTCTTGCAGTTAGTGACATGGAGCTTTGCATCAGACTCTGCACTGGCAATGGCAAGGCTGCTTGGGATTCTCTCTTTCACTCTCTCTCTCTCCCTCTCCCCAACTTGCTCTCTCTCTCTCAAAATAAACATTGAAAAAAAACCCAGAGCTTAGTCACATACTAACGCATATGAAAAATGGTGTTAAACCATGAGATAAGTAAGGATAGGCAGTCTTCAACCCTTTATCAGCCATGACATGCATAACAGAAGACATGCCTCCCGTGGTCTTACCCAGTTTGTATCACAGCCCTACAAAACTTCTGTGAGGAAATAACCACTCACCTATTAACAGTAGGTATATTAGTCATGGCCTTTCACTGTACGCTGCAGCACCTTTTCTCCTACAAAAAAACCCTGTAAGATGAAAACCTTACCAGAACACAAGTATAAAGGAGTGATGTACAGGGATAACTCTGAAGGATTTATAGCTTACAAAAATCATAAACTTTTAACAAACTTTAACCTCTGACTATTTTAAAATGAATTACTTGTGAAACATCAGCGTGTGCTAAGACTGTGCCTGATAACTATTGGTAAAGATTGTAGTCTGGTAGTCCAGAAAAGAGATTAGGAAGGCCAAGGGATGGGTCAAGGAAGCAGTGAGATTTGGACTAGGCCTGCAACAATGAGCAGAACTAAGAACAGTGGAGAAGACATGGGTGGGTTGCTAGAAAGGAGCAACAGAGAGCAGAGTCAGAGGTGAATGGGATTGGATAGGAGAAAGCAATCTGATTCCAGAGCGGAGGCATCCCTGGCAAGAGAAGGGTCAATAAGATTTGAAAGTTAGGATAGGGCACCAGAGGTTTGAATAACCAGACCTGGAAGTTGAGAGTTCACGTGGCAGGTTGTAGCGAGCCCCTGGGGAAAGGTGGAAGGGAAGTTTGTAGCCATGAGCACCGCTCCAGTAGAAGTGAAAGGATGTGTAGTAGGGAACCCCACACTGGGCTCAGAAACCTAGGTACAGGGAGAGGTGTGGTCTCAGCAGCAGAAGAAATGCAGACAGAGGCCTCTCCCACTGCCTGAAGGAGGGGGAGGAGAGGAAGCCAGTAAGAGTGGCGTTGACAGTCACCAGGAAGCTGGTGTGACTTTACCAGTGAATAGTGGGTCTGCATGGGCTGGCTTGTCCTAAAACTGTGAGCCTTTTCATCTGGAACCCAAGAATTGAGCTGAGGAATAGATATACATACTGAGTAGATACTACAGGACAAAAACACATCAGAGTATAAACCAAACAAATTATACAGTAGGGCAAATGACACATGAGATCAGAGGGAAAACTAAATGGAGGTGGTGGGGGCCGGGGGGGGGGGTTGATGTGATCCTTCTGGAATCGAATAGGTTTCAATTAAAGGAATAGACACAGATTTGTAAAAAGTAGTGGAGAACTTCCTATGTAGGAAACAGGATGAGTTTTCCAATGGCAGCAGGAAGGAGTAAGAAATGAGCTCACAAATACATTGGCTGAGTAGTATGGGAGACTGGAAGGGAACAGTGAGGAGAGGCTCAAATGCTCTTTTACTGTCAGAAAATACTAGAGGTTGTGGGCAGATGCTTTTTGTTTTATTTCTCCCAGTCGAGCTTCAGTGCTAAAAAATCCTGGTACAAGGGAGACTGGATGTCAGTCATCCCATGTATGAGCTGCTGCAGGAAGAGAGGTTTGAGGAATCTGACCCCAGAGCCACAGAGAATCAGTATACAGGAATTGTCCTGAAAATAGTGCTCAGGAGAGATCATCATGGAAACACTGTGCTGGATCACCTGCAGGGATAAAGAACAGCCCAGAAGATATCTAGCTGCTATCCTGATACTTGTTCAGAATAGACCTTTGTAACTAGAGGGAAAAAAACACCTTAAAATCCTGACCATGAATTTCACAGTCACAGCACATGGTGGTAAATTTCTGGATTAAGGTCAAAATGGACCTCTACATGTAGTCCAAAGAAAGTAAATAGCATGTTTGCTTTGGAAAACTTCAAATGAACAGATATGGAATTTGGATTGTGGTGCCTATAAGTCCAAGTTCACATTTGGTTAGTTATAGCATCAGTTATCGTTACACTTGTTTTTTTAGTTGTATGATAGAAAGTTGAGTCTCTTCCAGATAAGTGAGATTAGGATATCCTGAACATCAATATAAACCTACCTCTCTCTCTCTCTCTCTTCCTCTCTCCCCCACTTTTTCTCTATGTCTTTCTTTCTCTCTGTTTCCCCTCCTTCCCCCTCCCCCTCTTTTCTCCTCTCCCTCCCCCTCTCTCTCTCTCTGTCTCTGTCTCTGTCTCTTTCTCTCTCTCTCTCTTCCCCTGTGGCAGAACATGGAGGAGAGATTTAAAAAAGTGAGCTTAAATGAACCATATTTGCCTTCACAACATTTAAGTGATATTCTTCTTTCATATTTAATTTGGAGGCATAGATATTTGTTAGTAAATATTTCTAGTAAGTCAAAGATAGTATACACCAATTGATTAATGTGGCTTATGTGGTTTGAGTTTGTTTGTTTTTGTTCAAAGGATCCTGAAGGATCAGAAGTGGACATGATGGAAGAAAATGATTATACTGGAATTATCTCTTTTCCTGACTTCAAGATTCCGTCCAATCCTAAGTATTTTAAAGTATTTGTTAATATAAGTTTTCTCTAAAAAGCACATCTGGAACTTTTGGTTGTGAGGCAGATAACCAGTCAAATGGAGCCACCTAGTGCTAATGAAGGGTATAAGTGTGAAAGAAAGGAGGCTATGCAAAATAGTGCTCTTGTGATGAGCCCCTGGTGATGTATGGAAGTGTTAAATCACTATATTGTACACTGAAACTAATATAACACTGTGTGTTAACTACCTGGAATTAAATTAAAATAAATAATAAAAAAGTAGAAAGACCCCAAAAAATTTTTAGACAAAAAGGATACAATGTAAGTTTGAAAAATAATGTTAAGTCTAATGAGAAGTGAGGCTCAGTTTCTGGCAAACAAAACCCCCCCAATAGTTCTCATGAATCCTCTTTATATAAAGAAATAAAAATTTGGAAGAGGCAGAAGTAGTCCCCAGGATATTTTTCTTTTGATTAAAACTATCAACCCTCTGCCCTTCAAGGAATCTAAGAGATTGTCAGTCTAAAAGTCTGGTATGGCCTTGCTCTAAGAGTTATAAAAATATTGGTCTTCCATAGTCTTTGTCTGTATGGACTACTGGAAAGCAGATTTCAAGAAGGAGAGTGGGAGAGTGTTCTCAGAGCCATTTCTTTTCTTTTTCTCTTTCTTCCTTCTTCCTGCTTTTCTTTCTTTCTTTCTTTCTTTTTCTTTCTTTCTTTCTTTCTTTCTTTCTTCCTTTCTTTCTTCCTTTCTTTCTTCCTTTCTTTCTTCCTTTCTTTCTTCCTTTCTTTCTTCCTTTCTTCCTTTCTTCCTTCCTTTCTTTCTTTCTTTCTTTCTTTCTTTCTTTCTTTCTTTCTTTCTTTCTTTCTTTCTTTCTTTCTTTCTTTCTTTCTTTTTCCCTGATTTAAAGGGGCACCTAGATGGCTTAGTAGGTTAAGCATCTAACTCTTGATTTCAGCTCAGGTCATAATCTCAGGTTCATGGGTTCAAGTCCCATGTGCAGAGCCTACTTGGGATTCTCTGTCTTTCTCTCTCTGCTTCTCCCCTGCTCCCTCTCTCTCTTTCTCTTTGTCTTTCTCAAAATAGATAAGTAAACATTTAAAAAATATATTTAAGAACATGTTTAAACAGAATTCAGTGTAATAAATGTTTAGTGAACATATTCCTGGTATGTGCAAAGCACATGAATACACAAAATAGAAATGAATAATCCACAGTCCCTGCCTTCATGGAACTTATCATAGAGTAAGACAAATAATTGTACTTATAAATGGCTAAATATAACTTTAAAGTAACATCTCCTTATGGTCATTTTTCTGACCTCTGGAAGGAAGTTTGCAGTTAATTTGCTGTTTGCAATTAATTCACTGAAGATTTTCTAGAAATTTGAGTGAAATTGGGGATTTAATTTTTATATTGCATACTTCCTTGAAAATACTACATGTTCTATGACAGATTGATCTTATCATCTTATAAGTATTATCATTTCTCCAACTTTATCCTGTGACATTTGCTCCTTGACAGATTATATGTCAGACATGGTAGCCTCTCATGATCACTACTTTTCTACCCCAGTACCTTTGCATATGTTGTCCCCTCTGCTTAGAATGTGCTTCATCTTGCTCTTCACAAGGCTGGCTTCTTCTCATTCTTTAGGACACAAAGTAAATGCTCCCTTTTCAAAGAGGCTATTCCTGGATGCACAATCTAATATAGTGCTTCTCTCTCTCTTTCTTCTTTACTCTCTTGTTTATTTACTTCATGGTACTTATCTCAACATCACATTTATTTATTTGCCTCTTTGTTTTGTCTGTTTTTTCCCACTGTTGTATCTTCAGTACTTAAACCTAACAGGCACTTGGCAAATATTCATTGAATTAATAATGATGATGATGATGATAGTTATAATATTAAGTATACTGATTGCATCGCCAACCTGCAAGATAAATACTACTTTTCTCATTTCATAAATGAAGTGAAGCAACTTGCCCAAATCCAATTTACCAGTAAATGGAAAAATGGCAATTGGAAATCCCATGGACTATTAGCTCTATGAAGACAGAAATTCTTCTGTTTTGTTCATTTTTATCTCCAGTTTTTACTCCAGTGCTCAGTAAATATTTTCAAATGGAGATTGTTAATTAAACCCAGGTCATTTTCTTCTTTAAATGAACCATGCTTTATCTCTAACCATAACTTCTTTTAGTGAGGTGTGAGTTATATCATCTGGATAAGCTCGACTTGTTATATGTTTCTATAGACATTGTCCTACTCTAGTGTGATTTTAGTATTATGTTAGTATAATTATGGTCCAGATTAATTAAATTAATCCTCAAGTTTCATAAGCTCTTCAAATCAAAGCCTGAAATCAAAACACCTGAAAAAAATAGCAATGTATGAAGAACTAATTACCAAGCAACTCCTATTATCCTGAAAATACTCAATTATTTCTGTTTATTACTTAAAGTTCTACATAAAATATATTACTAAGGCTAAATACATCTCTACTTACTTTCTCCTCTTTAAAGCATGAATCGATTAGATTTCCTCTGGGCATATTAAAACTTTTTGATGACATCTATAATTTTAAATATTTTGCTTCCACAGATACGGTGTGTGGAAAATCCAAGCTAAATATAAAGAGGAATTTTCAACGACTGCAACCGCATATTTTGAAATTAAAGAATATGGTAATTTGTGATCATTAAAAGTTTACCTGTAAAAAAGTTAGTGTTTTTGCAATAATGCTTTCCATTAGTGAACTTGCCGCAGAATCACCCCGAGATGAAGATGAGGCAGCCTGGCTGGCATGCTTGGAAGCAGTGGTTGAGGAGGTGGGGGGCAGTGCTCGATGTTGGAAGGCCTAGGCTTCAGCTCCAGCATGCCTTTGTTACCCTCCATTTCCCTCCAATAAACTCACAAACCTTTCTGGACTTGTGTTCCTCATCACAGAGCCAGAAGAGATCTAGTCCCCCAGGGAGATTGACTAATGAAGGTCAAAAATTATGATTTTAGGAGAAACTTAAGTAGACTGAGATGAAGTGAGCAAAACCAGTAAAACTAATAATTTACTCAAGTCATTACAACCAACTAGTGAGAGAACCAGAACGATTGGGTTTCCACCCCTCTAGTTCAGTACTATTTTCCTCCTGACTCACTAATCTCTAATATAGTTATCTGAAAATTTAAGATATTCTTATTTTGAAATCAATCATATCAATAGACTAATAATTAACATATAAATAGCTTATCTTTCCCTTCTTACAGTTGTTTTTTGTATTTATGTGCTCTGAGATCAAATTTAACTTTCTTTTGCTTGAAGTCATTTTTTATTCCTCCAGGAGACTTATAATAATGTGGAGAATAAATGCACAGATTTTAACAATTGGCAAACAGAACAGTGACAAAAAACAATTTGTTATACTGAAACAGCTTCAGAGATAATAGGCTTTCAATAACCTATAATCCTATCTGATCTCCTTTCCTCCAAGTATTTTTGCTGCTTCCCGTGTATATCTAGAATTCATCCACCTCTTACCATCTGAGGTCATTCTCATCAATTCATCACCAGCCCCGCGCCCCACCCTGGAGTACTGCAAAAGTCTCCTAAGTGCTATCCCTTCTTCCAAACTATTATCACTTGGTATTGGCCAAAATAATCTTCAAATGCAAATCTCATCATGTTATTTCTCTGTTGAAAAGTCTCCAATAGCTCCTCATTCCTTTGCTAATCAAAACCAAAATCTTTATTTTGAGCTGGCCCCTGCCTACCTCCTCTTCAGCCTTACAATGTCCCATCTGCACAGAACACTCTTCCCCTCCCCCATTACCTAGCCAACTTCTACTCATGTTTCAAGTCTCAGCTGAAAAGCCATTTATTCAGCAAACCTTAACTTCTCTTTCCTGGGAAGGATTCCCTGTAATGCATATTAGTTTTCATAACTGTGGTATAGGCGTTTTTCTGTGTAATTATTTGCTTACCACCATCTTTACTGCTTGACTATGAGCTCATTAAGTCCAGGGCTTGTGTCTTTCTGTTCTCTGGGGTATCCCTGTTAATAGGAGTGTGCCTGCCACACAGCTAGTAGGTATTAGATGAAAAGGTGAAATGTTTTCCTCTACCTCATATCATAGAGAGAACACACCTACCTTCTTCTTTGATAACATAGGAATGTACCCTAGAACAATAAAGTGCATTCCTCCTTTATTTCTAGACTTCTCCATCGAGCAAACACAGTCCATACCTGAACTCAACTGTCTCACTGACACTTATGTGTCAGTCTTTGTCCATAATATCAGGGCCACTCAATTACCCAATTTTCTTTTTTTTTTTAAATAAAGCTTATTTATTTATTTATTTTGAGAGAGAGAGTGTGTGCACACATAAGCAGGGAAGAGGCAGAGAGAGAGAGAGAGAGAGAGAGAATCCCAAGCAGGGTCCATGCTATCAGCACAGCCCAATGCTGGTCTCCATCCCATGAAACATGCGATCATGATCTGAGCTGAAACCGAGAGTTGAACACTTAACTGACTGAGCTACCCAGTTACCCAATTTTCTATTAACAGTTGTGCTGGTTAATAGAACTAGAATCCATGGGACCCCTAGGTGGCTCAGTTGGTTGAGTGTTGAACTCTTGATTTTAGCTCAGGTCATGATCTCAGGGTCATGGAATCAAGCCCCACATTGGGCTTTGCACTGGGCATGGAGCCTACTTGGGATCTCTCTCTCCCTCTCTCTCTCTGCTCCTCCCCCACTCGAGCACTCTCTCTCTTAAGAAAAAATTAATAAAGAATCCATAAGCCCTGCTACATAATCTTAGTATAAAGAGAAGGCAGTGCCATTTTGACAGGTGGAATTCTTTTCTCTTGGGCAATCAAGATACCAGAAAGAGAGAGAGAGAGAGAGAGAGAGAGAACTCCTTCCATCTGCCCTAATTTTAAATTTTGCATGGGTGTTCTTTCTTTTAGCTAATTATAAGCTTTCTCTTCTTGAATAAAGTCAGAGTTTTATGTTGGAATTTGGACACTGGATGGATTTATCTACAAGACAAAAAAGGGAACAGTTAAAGCAGCAAGAGTTTTCCTTTTCTATTTTAAACTTAAGAAAACTCATGGAGCATACACTACGTTTAAAACTCGTGAGAGGGGTAGGAGGGGGAGAGATATAAGGATACAGGGAATACAGTCTTTTTGGTTTTCAAGAAGCCCAGACTCTATTGAATAAATGCGATAATCAAAGTGTAGGCAAAGTGCTTCTGGTACATAGAACTGGATAGACCTCTGATTGGTAGAGGAGGAGGTCTCCCACAGATATTGTTGACAATGATGATGAGGAGGATGATGATGACAAGATGAATGTTGTGTTGATATTACAGCTTGTCCAACTCAATCAGAAAGAAGGCTATTCTAATTTAAATGGTAAAATTGCCTCTTTGTTTTTATTTTCAGTGTTGCCACATTTTTCTATCTCAATAGAACCAGAAAAGAGTTTCATTGGCTATAAGGACTTCAATCATTTTGAAATTACTATAAAAGCAAGGTAATAAAGTTTTCTTTCTTTCTTTCTTTCTTTCTTTCTTTCTTTCTTTCTTTCTTTCTTTCTTTCTTTCTTTCTTTCTTTCTTTCTTTCTCCAGATTATCCAGCTAAATTGAGTGCCAACTCTGGTTGGTGATAGTTGCCCAAAGTAAGAAGTGTGATTCCCCCCACCCACTTTATTGAGATAGTATTGACCTGTAACATTGTGCAAATTTAAGGTGTATGATGTGTTGATCTAATACACATATATATTGCTGAGATCTGTGATTTATTGGCAGTGTTTTCCATGACTTTGGGATTGACTGAGGAAACATCAGGCCTATAGTTTATTTACTTGTTTCAATTTTTTGCTGATTCTGATTTTAGTTTTGTTGGTTACTCAACAGCAAGAAAAAAATCCTAAAGTTTTAAGTTTAGTGTGTGTTTTTAGAAACCAGCATGATGTAGGATATTGAGGCTAAGATATGAAGTGTTTACTTCTTGTCATTTTTTAATGGCTTAACCAACCAGCTAATGCTGCATGACTACTTCAAGAACCAACACTTTACAATCACAACCATTTACAAGACCCCTGGGCAGTTCTGCTGATCTGGGCCAGGCTGAATGCAAGCTGGGCTCACCCATGTGCCTGCAGTCAGTAAGCAGGCCACCTGGGGGCTGGCTGGTCTGGGGGGGGGGTCTTACTTTCATGTGTGGCAGCTGACTAACAGTTGACTGAAACTACAAAGACAATTGGACTATGTGTATCTCTCACCATCCAGCAAATTAGCCTGTAGTAGCAGCAATGCTCAGAGAAAGAATATGGAGGCATGAAAGTCCATCACTTCTACCACATTCTTTTGTCCAAAGCAAGTTACATGACCAGCCCACAGGAAATAGATGCCCTTTAATACCTTTCACCCACAAGGAACTCCAAAGGTGGTGGGTATATGGGGCAGTGGAGAACTGGAAGTTAGTTTCGCAAGCAATCTCCCACAAAAGCTCAGGTCATTTAAAAATGACAATATAATATCATTATTAGTAACAATAACCAATTTGCATAACTATATATGTTGAGCAGCTTTCTAAGAACCCTGTATATATTAGCTCATTTAATCCTTATGAAATCTCTATGAGATAGTTACTATTTCTGTCACCATATTACAAATGAACAGAGGTACATACATGTTAAGTAATTTTCCCAAGATATCACAGCTAAGAAGTTACATGGTTTGTCTGGTTTCAGGGTTCAGGCCCTTCAACACTATCCTACACTGCCTTTCTTATTAGCATTTATTCCTAAGATAGAGTGTTACTTAGTCTAAACCAACGTAAAGGCTCATTTGATAGAGAATTAACAAACTGGCTTCTTTTAATGGAGACACTTTATTTCTGCCGACTATGGATAAGAGAGGTTAGCTCTAGCTATAGTAATGTTTTCTGTGTGGCAAATTTCTTTTAGCCTCACTTTAATTCTACATTTAAAAAGGAAATAGGAAGTTAGAATGTTAAAAAAGAACTTATCTCCCCTATCAATGAGATTGAACGTGCTGCTTTTAAAGATGTGAAAGAAGATAGGGACAGCGCCCTACTGATATCACAATCATCAAGGAAGTAAGTGTCCTGATTCCGGACCTGAGGTCTTTTGATCTCCTCAAGATCCGTTTATTCATCTAGCACAAGGTAATAAAAATCCGCACTTCGGCTTTATTATTATAGTTTTATGAGGATGAAATGTAAGAGTGGATGGAAGACACTTTAAAGTGTATCAAGTGCTTTATGTAATTTCAAATTGTTACCTTTGATCTGAATTTTATTATTGTACCCACGTTAGCAAAACAATTTTATGATATTATTGCTTGGCAGATATTTTTATAATAAAGTTGTCACTGAGGCTGAAGTTTATGTCACCTTCGGAATAAAAGACGACTTAAAAGATGATCAAAAAGAAATGATGCAAAAAGCCTTGCAAAACACAATGGTAAGATGTTAAGACACATACATTCACTTGTACCTAAAGATGCATCATGAAGGCTGGAGAAAAGTCACTTCCAAATCATCTAGTCCAACCCCTCATTTACACAGGTGTGGAAATTGAAGCTAAAATGCTCTCTTGGCTTCTCCTGGGCCTCAGGATAAAGTCCACTTGCAGTGACATCAGCTCCCCTCACCAGCCTATCTCTTGCCCTTTCCTCCTCCCCTCTACCTAGTTCCTGGAACTTTCACTAGTCTCTCTTGCCCCCAGGTGTTTGCAATGCCATTCCTTCTGCTTGGGGATGCTCTTCCCCTTTGTGGCTTCTGCCTCTTTGTGGCCTCGCTAATCCTTTCTTTTCTTTAAGTCTCAGAGTTAACACCCTTTCTCTGGGAAGTCTCCCTGACTCCTGTAAATTAGGTTGGCTGCCCCTGCTGGGTCTCCAGCCTCCCTTACTGGAGTGTGTATCATACTTTATGACAGTGTTCTCAACCAGAAATGTTGTTTACCCCAAAGGGCACATTTGGCAATGTCCAGAAAACATCTGTGGTCGTCACAACTGGGAAGGAGGAGAGTACAACTGGCATTTAGTGAATAGAGGCCAGCATGTTGCCCAATTCCCGCAATGTGCAGAGCAGCCCCAACAATAAGTTATCCTATCTAACATGTCAACAGGGCTGAGATTGAGAAGCCCTTTTTTACTACAATGGTTTACTTCCTTCTCTCTCATTCTCTACACTAAACTCTTTGTGCATCTAAATTTTTCCTATTATATGCCCAGAGCCAACCTGGTTCCTGGCAAACAGTAGGCGCTCTATGAATATTTCTGAGTGGATGAACTCATTGGGAAGTTATCTGTCCAGGGTCAAGGGATAGTGATTGCTGGACCTCAGATTAGAGTCCTGGCCCCCTTATCCCTTGTTCAGAGTTCTCTACAGTATACCTCAGATGATAAGGGCTCATGTCATTCTGCTGACTCTTGCATATTCGTGTGGTTTGTATAGTCAGGTATTTAACCTATGTTTTTCCAGAGTTTTATTTATTCAAGTTATAAATCAAATACCTTTTTTTAATGTAAGATTTCATGCTGGATATTGAGATTTGAAGGTAAATAAGACAAAAGTCCCTGGCCTCAAGCTACTCAAGTTTAGAAGAAAAATAAGGCAACATCTATTTCACTATTGTTGTAGTTAATAATTAAATAATATAATATGACTTAACTTTATATCCCTTTACCCATATGTGTTTTTAAATGAGTGTTTTGATGTGTATGCAGTGAAGCCCAAATTAACTATCACAAAACCCAACAAACTCTAAGGAGTAAACTAAAAGCAGGCCCAGAAAGATGGATGATAACTCAAAGATTTGAAGAGAGAATCTGCGTCAGCTAGTATAAAAAACAAAAAACAGATAACAACAACAAAACTTGTTGAACCATATAGTGTTTAAGACTCTTCCTATACATCTATACAAATTAAGTTACAAAATAGTATTCTGGGCTCAACTGTCAACTCCATCATTCACTCTACTGGTGTGACAATAAACTATTCCTCTGAAAGTTACCTTCTATTTAGAAGCTAGTAAAGGCAGATTTTGTTAACTTTTCCCAGTAAGTTTGTCTCTGAAATACTTCTTTCATTTTCCCTTTTTTAAAAGTTGATAAATGGAATTGCTCAAGTCACATTTAACTCTGAAGTTGCAGTTAAGGAACTGTCCTATGCAAGTCTGGAAGATTTAAACAACAAGTACCTTTATATTGGTGTAACAGTCATAGAGTCTACAGGTAAGGTTTTTGTTTTTTACTTGAATAATATTTATACAGCATATTAAAAGTATAAATAATTTCTATAATTCTTTCATATTTTATTTTCCTCCATAGTTAAGTATTATTTTCACATCATTAAAAACAGATTAGAGTAAAGCCCTGCCACTCTATCATGGGGTCTCTATCACCCACGTGCAAAATTGGGATAGCACCTGCCCAAGTGATGTCTTGAGTAGCCTGGCAGGCTATCTGGCTTGAACATCTAGCACCCCAATGTTCTCACCCAGTAAGAATAAAAATCTAAATGACATTAGGTATATACAAATGTTTGATAAAGTCGGAGGTGATGTTTCCAAAATGGGTACAGTAATAGCATACACCTTATAGGGTTGTAGTGAGGATCAGAGAGTAACTGTATGCAAAGTACTTAAAATAACACCTGTTGGGGCACCTGTCAGTCAGGTGGCTCAGTCAGTTGAGCATGTGACTTCTGCTCAGGTCATGATCTTGTGTCCATGGGTTCAAGCCCCGCGTTGGGGTCTGTGCTGACAGCTCAGAGCCTGGAGCCTGCTTCGGATTCTGTGTCTCCCTCTCTCTCTGCCCCTCCTCTGCTTGCACTCTGTCTCTCTCTCAAAAATAAATAAACATTAAAAATTTAAAAGAAAGTAATACCTGTCAGCTATTGAATACCACCTAAGGTGTTAACCGCCCCTCCTCTCCCTTCCCCTCTACCTTCTTTTCTCCTCCCTCCCTCCCCTTCCCCTCCTCCTCCCTCTCCTCCTCCTCCTTCTTTTCCTTCTCTTTCTTCTTGTTTCCACCTACTACTTTCATAGCATCCTTAAAACTTATCTAGTGCTCTCAACCCCAACTCCAGTCATTTGTAATAGTCATTCATTATTACTCCAAATTAGGTCAATTTGTCTTAACTTCTGGTGTCTTGATTACTGATGTTCTTTATATTTTCAGGTTTATATTAAACCCCTAAACTAAATTGAACAAATTATTTAAACACACTAGCCCCCCCACCTTTTTCTTGGCAAAATGAAAGGTAGACTAGATGATCCCTAAGGTCCCTTCCACCTCCTTAAATTTGTCTTTCAAAGGTAGTACAATAAAGAATTGAGATAATTATCCAGTTATTGAGTACCTTGTATTTATCAGATGATCCATAGATGTTGGAGAATGATAATCCTTGCCCAGGATGTTACTTTTTGACCTTATTTTAATGTTTATTTTTTACTTTTATATTTTCTCAATTTATTTCAAATAAATTCAGTTTAAGCTACACTTATGAGATATTCAAAGAGTGTTGCTAAACATACAGGCTTACAAATATGAATGATGTATAATCCCAGCACTCAAGTAGTTTACAAACTAGCATCAGCTGTAAGACAGGTAAACAAAGAATTCTGTCATAAGCAGGAATTAATTCTATTGCACTCTAGGCAAAGTACCTAATGCTTCAGAGGATGGTGACCTTCAGAGGAAGGTGAGCTCCTAGATGATTGTTGAGCAACCAAGTACAGCACCCTGAAAATGATCGATCTTGAAGGATAAGTTGGGTTTTGAGGCAGGAATGTAGATGGGAATGTAGATGGGGGAGAAATGGGACACCGTCCATAGAGAGAACATACCACAGTTAGCAGACACGACTTGATCTTTGAGGTTATCCGGTTGATTATCAGGTTGGCCGAAGTATAGAATATGCATAGAGGTGTTAAGGATGTAATATTGGAAAGCACTCTGGAGTCACTGGAGCTTTGTATGCTATTGGGCCCTTGCTAGTGGACTCTCAGGGTTCCCTCTACCTCAGGCACTCTCTTTCTGTCTTCTTCTCCATGTCTCTCTATACCCCTGTGCTCTATAGGTGAATCCCTGCAAAGTTCACTGCCTGGTCCTTTCCCTCTCTCCACAATCCCTTGTACGTACTCACCCGAAACTCAGGCCACTGAGAAAAAGTGGTGTCCCTTCCTCACCTTCCTTCCCAGTCCAACCCTGTAACTCTCCTTGCACAAGCCTTGGATAAGGCTTTGGACACACCTGAGGTCTAAACTTTTCTCTGCACTACCCCCTTTGAACCAAGACTACTGGTAAATAAATGCATGCAGGAATGGATGAGTAAGTCTGTGGACACATACACAGGTAAAATAGATCCCCATAGGGATTGGCATATTCCTTAAAAAGGTCAATGTGATGCATGTCATTTCTTTAGGTGGATTTTCTGAAGAGGCAGAAATTCCTGGCATCAAATATGTCCTCTCTCCCTACAAACTGAATTTGGTTGCCACTCCTCTTTTTGTGAAGCCTGGGATTCCATATTCTATCAAGGTAGATGAAGGAGGGAAGATTGCTGAATATGATTGTCTCTTTCTGTTTACAGAAAGCACGGGGATGGCAAACAGGGGAGGGGTGCTGGGGAAGGGAATCACAGGGGGAATTCGTTTTGTAAAATATGCTGCTCCTATAGATGCAGAAGGAGGTGGGAAAATGCTAGCCAGCTTCAGCCTCAGAGTGGTTTCAGCCCGTAGAGCAAGTGCCCGTATGTAGTAGGTAGTTAGGTAGCCTGTGGCAGGCATTCCCTTAAAAAGCATTGCATTGAGTTATGTGTAAATAAAACACCAGAAGTCTATAGTTTTTTTTAATTTTTTTTTAATGTTTTATTTATTTCTGAGAGAGAGACAAACAGCGTGAGCAGGGTAGGGTCAGAGAGAGGAGACAGAATCTGAGGCAGGCTCCAGGCTCTGAGCTGTCAGCACAGAGCCCGACGTGGAGGCTCGAACCCACAAACTGTGAGATCATGACCTGAGCTAAAGTCGGAAGTTTAACCGACTGAGCCACCCAGGCGCCCCCAGAAATCTATAGTTTAAAAAAAATGCTAACATTTGGGGTGTCTGGGTGACCCAGTTGGTTAAGCGTCCAACTTCGGCTCAGGTCATGATCTCACAGTTTGTGAGTTCGAGCCCCGTGGAAGGCTCTGTGCTGACAGCTCAGAGCCTGGAGCCTGCTTTGGTTTCTGTGTCTGCCTCTCTCTGCTCCGCCCCACAACCTCATGCTCTGTGACTCTCTGTCTCTCAAAAAGAAACAATTAAAAAAACCCAGTAAAATAAATATTAACATTTAAAATTATTTGGTGGCATATTCTTCAAAAGCTTTAAAACAGAAATATCATTTCTTGAAAATAAATCCCCTTTCTCTCCCCATTTTTTACTTCCCGTGTGTCTTATCTGTGTTTGCATTTCTGTACTCTTCAGTCTGCCCCTGTGGTCTTTGCACATAACTGTCTCATCTCTTCTCTCTGTGTTATTCTTCATCCTTTCCATTTTGGCTCTTTCTGTCCTTGCTTCTCTGTTCTCTCTCTCTCTCTCTCTCTCTGCTTCCTCCTTCCTTTTTAATATTTTCTCTCCTCCCTCCACTTTTCTTTTTTAAAGTGTTGGTACTATAGCTTTAATGTGTTCATTTGACTTTCTATTTAAATTTTATTTAGTATTTTATATTTCACTATATATAGTACATGTTATATTTTTAAGATGGAAATTTTTGTTCCCTGTCCTTAACTTAGAAAGCTAAAACAAGGGGCGGCTGGTGGGTCAGTCAGTTTTGCATCCAACTTTGGCTCAGGCCATGATCTTACAGCTCGTGAGTTCAAGCCCTGCGTCAGCACTGTGCTGCGTCAGCTCAGAGCCTGGACCCCGCTTTGGATTCTCTGTCTCCTTCTCTCTTTCTCTGCCCTTCCCTCACTCATGCTCTGTCTCTCTCTCTCTCCTTAAAAATAAACATTAAAGGGGCGCCTGGGTGGCTTAGTTGGTTAAGCGTCTGACTTTCGCTTAGATCATGATCTCGCGGTTCGTGGGTTCGAGCCCCGTGTCAGGCTCTGTGCTGACTGCCAGCTCAGAGCCTGGAGCCTGTTTCAGAGTCTGTATCTCCCTCTCTCTCTGACCCTCCCCTGCTCACGCTGTCTCTCTCTCTCCTAAAAATAAATAAAACATTAAAAAAATTTTTAAAATAAACATTAAAAAAAATTTTTTACACTAAAGCAGAGTGTTTTACTTTTTTATTCTGTGAAAACATGTTACTATTAAATATCAACTTTAGTATAATTAAAATGTGTTAATATTCACTGTGGGTCACCAGCTTTTAAAACAATTTACCAAGCTAAAGCCAGCTTTGTACATGCTTGAAGTATCTAAATAGAATCAAACCTTTCTATAATCTGAGAACATACCTCTCTCTACTGAGTTAAATGTGAATAATTTATACTTTGGTGGGGAGGAAGAAAAATTATTTCGGAAATTGTTCTGCTTAAAAAAAACGATGAGCTGCTGAAATGGATCTGAATTGTTCTGGCAAACAGGTGCAAGTTAAGGATTCATTAGACCAGTTGGTAGGAGGGGTCCCGGTGACCCTGAGCGCACAAACCATCGATGTAAACCAAGAAATGTCTAACTTGGAGTTGATGAAAAGCGTAACACATTCCAATGATGGAGTAGCTTCGTTTATAGTTAATCTTCCATCTGGAACAAGGATGCTGGAGTTTAACGTGAGCTGAATTCTCCTGTTAAATTTTCTGGGACAATGTGTGCTTTTTGACTGTGTGTTTTGGCTAGTGTGCAGAACAGATGCAGCAGATTTTAAACATGAGTCCAGAGAACAGATCCACAATTTTGCATCCAAAGGAACCAAAAAAAAAAAAAAAAAATCACCAGAGGCAATATGCTAATCCATTGACTGGTTCTGGAGGAAGATAAATATATCATTTTTTATTTGGGAATTAATGATTTTCTCTTACATTAGTAAGACTATTCTAATCTATAAGCTTCAGAATAGGTATAGCAGTGCAAGTCAGTGGTAGAAACATCATCTCCCTCACCCACCTTTTTTATCTGTTTTCAGGAACACAGAGAGGTCAAACGTGGAAGCCTCCCTTTTTCCTAGCTGCATAAGCCACTTTACCTTAGAGCTCAGTTAACAGGCTTCTCTCTCAGCAACAAATGTTTAAGTTCTCAATCCCCACCCCACCCCCCAAAATAAGTTAATAATGGACATTTATGACAATGGCATGCATACATTCACTACCATCTACTAAGCACTTAGGAAATGCTAAGAGCTTTATGTTGGACACATTTAATACCCAGTTAGTCAGCTCTGAGTTAGAGAATATTATCTTTGCCATTTTACAGCTGTGGAAATTAGGTTTCTAACCTCTCTTGTGATTAAATAACTTATCCAGAGTTAATAAATTGCGGCCCTGAGATGCAAACCAATACATAGCTCACTCCAGAGCATGAGCTAATAACCCCTTTGCTGTCAAAGGTGGATATTACTGCCATGACATAATTTCTGCCCCATTCCATATTTATAAGAACACCTCCATGTTGCCACTTCACAATGAAACTGGACCAGAAAGTCTGATGTTCATTTACAATTCCTGTCCCCAGTCTTCAAGGCCTCTTCATTGCTACCCTCCTCTTACCCCCCAATCCCTGCCAACCCATGGGAAGAGGAGTCCCCAACTTGCCATGACATTTCAGGAAGAGTGCCAGTATTTGTTCCAGGAGCATCTTTCCCCTTTCCCTTCACCAGACTTTCCCACCATAGCTCATAGCCCCATATTATTCCAATTATTGTCCATAGTCTTTGTAAAGTTATTTGATACCACAGCTGTACAAACATTGGAGTAGTGGAGGTTTGTTTTTTCTTCGGCATTTGGTGTTTTGAAATTTAGAAATTTATAAAACAAAGAAAGAAATTCACAAGGTATGTTTCATAGAAAATATTTCATCACAGTCCACATGTCTTTTTTGAAATTTTCCTTTTCAGGTCAAGACTGAAGACCCAGATCTTCCAGAAGACAATCAGGCCAGCAAAGATTACCAAGCAATAGCATATTCATCTCTCAGCCAAAGTTACCTTTATATTGACTGGACTGGAAACTATAAACCTTTGCTTGTGGGAGAATATCTGAATATTATTGTTACCCCCAGAAGTCCATATATTGACAAAATAACTCACTATAATTACTTGGTAAGTACAGTAATGATAGATTTACAACTGTCAATTCCCCCACCTGGAACATTTCTCTTTATTTATGAGGAACATTAGAATGACCCCTTACATTTGTTTTTACAAAGTATTTTCAAGAGCATAATTCAATTTGACAATCATTTTTTTCAAAAGCCTTTGAGATGGGCTGTGATTTTTATGACTACTTCCCAGGTGAAGAAACTGAGGAACAGAAAGGTTAAGAGGTTCACCGTGGTCACTCAGCTTGGAAAATGAAGATTTTTTTATTTGAACTGGGAACCTCTGATTCCTTATCTGATATGCCTTTCCCCAAAGAGAGCCTGATTACTCCACAGAGACTGATTAAATTCTCACATTACCTCTGCTCTATTTTCATGGCCAAAGATTACAGACCCAAACCTATTTCAAAATGTGCATTTCATTGGCATAAAAGGGAGACTCAAATCCTGCTCTTAAGAGCTGAGTCATATGATATCTACCCCAGTTCTACCCATTAGCAACATCCCTATTACATCCCTCATATTAAACAAAGGTGGCCATTCAAGCCTATACATGAAACCTAGGACAGAAGGTGGGGGAAATGTTAAGGGCTTCCTAATATCTCCAAAGAAATGGAATATTCGAATTAGTCCAGTGGCCAGGACAAACAGGTGGTGATAGCTTTTTCAACATTTTTGAGAAAGAAATTTTAAAAAGTAGGTAAGGTATACAGCTCACGTTGACAGATGAAGAACTATGGGACCTGTTTAGGAACTCTGCACCAGAACCACATATGAAGTCCTGCTCTCCCAGGACAATTTAAGTTTGAGGACATTTTGACTTCATGTGATTTGTATTTTGACTTCATGTGATTTGTAACTTATTTTCTAACTATATGCCTCCAATACAGAACCTACTATCTGGCTTTAAAACTTAGTTACCAGGGGTGCCTGGTGGCTCAGTTGGCTAAGTATCTGACTTTAGCTCAGGTCATGATCTCACAGATTATAGGTTTGAGCCCCATGCCAGGCTCTGTGCTGACAGCTCAGAGCCTGCTTTGTACTCTGTGTTCCTCTCTCTCTCTGCCCCTCCCTGCTTGCTCTCTCTCTCTCTCTCTCTCTCTCTTTCTCTCAAAAATAAATAAACATTAAAAGTTAAAAAAAGGGGGGGGCATGTAGGTGGCTCAGTGGGTTAAGCATACGGCTTTGGCCTATGTTGTGATCTCGCCGTTCCTATGTTCAAGCCCTGCGTTAGGCTCTGTGCTGGCAGCTCAGAGCCTGGAACCTGTTTCAGATTCTGTGTCTCCCTCTCTCTCTGCCCCTCCCTGCCCCATGTGCCTCTCAAAAATAAATAAACATTAAAGGAAAAAAAATTTTTTTAATAATTTTAAAAATCTTAATTCCCAAATAAGATGCACTCTACTAATGCATCTATTTTGTTTTAACCAATAAAACAAAAGAGATTTTAGTGACAGTGTGATGACTTTAAACAGATTTGGGGTCAAATCTTAGCTCTCTGATTTCCTAGTTATGTGATTTTGAGCTAAAGTCATTATGACATTTAGCTAATTCCTGAGTCCCAGTCCCTTTATCTATCTGCACAGTGGGAGGTAATATTCCTATCCTACCAATTCTTGTGAGAAAGAGAAGAATTAGTAAACGGAAACATCCCTGACACATAGCAGGCCCATACTTGTTAACTTTCTTTATCTTTAACATAATTTCTACTCCAGCTCCAAGCTCCATCTTGAAGCAAAGCTTTTGGTTTTTAATGGTCACTACTGCTATTTATTTTTAGATTTTATCTAAGGGCAAAATTGTTCACTTTGGCACAAGAGAGAAATTTCCAGATTCAACCTATCAAAACATAAACATTCCAGTGACACAAAACATGGTTCCTTCAGCCCGTCTCCTGGTCTATTACATCGTCACAGGAGAGCAGACAGCAGAGTTAGTATCTGACTCAGTCTGGATAAATATCGAAGAAAAGTGTGGCAATCAGGTCCAGGTAAGCCACAAATTATGAGTCACAATCAGATGTTCTTCTGAATAAAGGAGACTGTGAATATAACTACTTGTGAAGTTTTGTCTCATGCAGATAACCTTTTCTTTTCTTTTCTTTTCTTTTCCAAATGATCTTTTAGGTTCATCTGTCTCCAAGTACAGATATGTCATATTCTCCCGCCCAACCTGTATCTCTTAATGTGGCAACTGAGTCGAGTTCCTGGGTGGCTTTATCAGCAGTGGACAGTGCTATATATGCACTCCAAAGAAGAGCCAAGAAACCTCTGGAAAGAGTTAAGTGGTGCATGGCCTTGGTGGCTGGGGCATGGGGTGGCTCTGTGTGGCCCCTAGGGTAGGTTGTGGGGAAGAAGTAAGGGAAGACTGGATCTGCTTTTCTGTAAATACACTCATAACAATGGCTCGTAGGAAGGTAAGCCATCCTCATGTTACTGATTCATCCCTTTTGGTTTTCCAAGAGTAGCACATGACCATAATGACAATTATATTCCTGGGGCAAAAGTGCCATCAATTTGGATGATTTTGATATTTTCTTTTCTTTTTTACTCTGATGAAAATCTGTGGCATGAAAGAATGTGAGAATTGCTCAGTTCCCCTAAGTTCCCATTTATCTCCCTGATGCCCTGCTAACTATTTTGTAGGCTTGAATTTCTTTGACCAGAAAAAGAAAGAAAACTATACAATTAAAGCCATTCAGAAAAGAAAAAAAGAAGAAAACATTTGGGATCAAAATCAAAACTGGAATAAACTTCCCCAAACAAGTTCTCACTCTCTTAGAACCTAGATCCCTTCTTCCCCCAAATATAAGAGATTGTGCTCATTTCTTTTTAGCAACTTAAAAATTAATTTGTCTGTTAATTTAGTCATTCATACATTTATTTATTTGTTAGTTAGTTTGGATGTTATATTGATGTTATAGCATTCATTCTATGTACAACACAGCATGGGTTGGTTCCTAAGAATATTCTCACAAAAGCTTAAAACTTAGTTTTTATTTTGATTTTGAATGCATGTATATTTATAAATATAAAGGGACACACTAAAATAATGAAGTTGGGAAATCTGGCCGTTGGCCGTTTGACAGATGAATGATGGCCTGATATGTTATACCCATGTGACACCTTGTGCCTTTAATTCTTCAGGGAAATGATTCGTGCATCTAAGTAGACTCCATATTTTGCCTTGAGTTAATTCCTAAGAATTATTAAATTGGCTAACCACCTCTGGACAGGTATTTCAAGTCTTAGAGAAGAGCGACCTGGGCTGTGGGGCAGGTGGTGGCCGCAACAATGCAGAGGTATTCTATCTGGCTGGACTCCTCTTTCTCACCAATGCAAATGTAGAAGACACCCAAGAAGACGGTAAAATGTTCAGCATTATTTTTTTTTTGTTTATTCTTCAAATTGATGACTGAAATTTACATTGATTGTTTGCCTCCCGGACATCATTTTTGTAACTGTCTTCCACAATATTCTCTATGCTGATCTTAGAGAGATGTGACTATGTAACACCCCAGTACAAAATGTTTTACTGACCATCAAGATAAAGTACAAAATCTTTAGTGTACCCTCAGGGCACTCCCACAGTCTTCTCCCCAGTTCTCTCCAACTATCTTTTGTCTGGCTCTACCTTACCTGATGTTTAAGCTGTGCAGACCCAAGTGTAGTTCTAGGGGTGACTTTCTGCTCTTTTATTTTATACATTTAGGCCTTTCCCCATCACAACTACTTCCCTTGCATTAGCCTGGAGAACCTGGTGAAAGAATCTCCTCCTCTGTAAGATCTCTTCCCCATACAGAATGGGTCATTCCCTCCTCCTTTCACAGAGAGAATACCATGGGGACTAGCTCTGTGTATAAGTAACACAGTAGCAGGTCATCACCGAACATTTTTCCATTAAGTTATGCATTTTGCCTCAACCACTGCACTGTGAGCTTTTGAAGAACAAGGACCACATCGTAATCATATTCTTTCTGTGGCTGTAAAACTGTTCATAATTATATTTGACTTATTATTCATCATAACAGAGCACAAAGAGCAAATAATAAAAGTAGCATACCCAGTGGAAACTTTGCTCACTTTAAATGCTTAGATATTTCTCTGTAATCAGTGGATCAAAGAGGTTGCAGGATTCAAAACCAAACTTAGATCAAACCAGTCAAACTAGAGGACATTGGATCATGAGCTCCTCTAAGGTAAGTGTTAAGATGTGGGTGCATAGTGCCTAGTCAAACGGGCTCTCAGAATTCATTGAATAAATGAATGACTTGTGAATATTTTAAATACTTAAACAATTTCATGGAATTTTCTTTTTTTGACATTTTAACTCTTTTTTCCTTCTCCTCCTTCTACTACTACTACTTCTTTTTTTTTTAAACAGATAAGCCTTGTAAAGAAATTCTCAGGCCAAAGAGGATGCTGCAAAAGAAAATAGAGGAAGAAGGTACTCTAAAAGTTTGATGCAATTGTAAAGAGATTATGATCCTATTATTAAAAATCTGGGGAAAATGAACATTATCTAATTATTCCTAATCCAAATGGAATGGGTGAAAAGAAAGACATGTACAGATGTCTAGCTTACCTCTCTCAGAAAGATTAATCCAAATAAATCTACTTCATTTGCTATAAGCTCAGTCTGAGGAAAATAACTATCATTTCTATCTCTAAAATTAAAAGGTTAACTTTTTATTTGTTACAAATATTTCCTCTGTATAGGCTTCATTTGGCAATTAAAGTTACATTCTTCCATTTTCTTCTGACCAAAGTCATAATTTGATTAACTTTGAAGTACACCTAGAAACATATTTCTTCTATTCTGTATATTTAACATCTAAGAGTATTTTGGATTATTCTTTGGGAAATAAGTCTAACAGAAATTATTTTTAAACAATTATTTAAATGGAAATATGATCACTGGTGATACTAAAATAGGAAGAATGTTGAACTGGAAGTCAGTGGCCAGAGTTCAACTAATAATCATGCTTAGGGTAATATAAGAATTCCTTCCATCCGTATATGAGTTATTTTAATTCCAACCCTTGTTCTAAGTTCTAACAATATGAAAGACACTGAGTAGTTTGGGCACTTATGATAAACTATGAGCACTTATTGGGGCATCTGGGTGGCTCAGTTGGTTAAGTGTCCAACTTTGGCTCATGTCATGGTTCGTGGGTTCAAGCCCCGTGTTGAGCTATGTGCTGACAGCTCAGAGCCTGCTGCCTGCTTCGGATTCTGTGTCTCCCTGTCTCTCAGTTCCTCCCCCACCCACGCCCTGTCTCTCTCAAAAATAAATAAACATTAAAAAGGTTTTTTTTTAAATATTAACTCTTATGATGCCACCAATGGAAGTCCAAAAACCACATCCTATAAGAAAAGTTTTAAAAAGCAGGATATGTGGCTTAAAGAAGGAAACACTTATACAGTGCTGATAGCCATCTTCAAATATATGAAGCCTTCTCCATTAACTTATTTCACTCACAGGGTGCTGGACCCAAGATGCCAGTTTCAGAAGTTAGTATTTAGCTCAATTGCAAGAAGCTCTTTAACCATTTAGTGTGAGTGAGAGTGATGTGCCTTGTGAGATCACATTCTCCCTGTTCCCGTTCCCGGGGTAGCCAGCTGAGTGTGGCGGGCCCCTCACCTGTCCTTGACTGTTGTTGGAGGCGGGGACGGGGTTGTGTGCCTGTAGAACCCAAGGACCTCTCAGGAGCCCTTCTGAACCTGAGGTTTTGTGACTCTGTGCTTAATCAAGGACATTTGCATCATTACCATTTCAGCTGCTAAATACAAACAAGCAATGATGAAGAAGTGTTGCTACGATGGAGCCCATCGAAACGACTATGAGGACTGTGAGCAGCGTGCTGCCCGCATCAAGATAGGCCCCAGATGCGTCAAGATCTTCAAGGAATGTTGTATCATCGCATATCAGCACCGTAATAATGCGTCTTATAAAGACATCCGTCTGGGAAGGCTACGTGAGTTTGATGTTTTCTATCAGAATTCTGCACAGTATAGGGAATCCTGTGTAATCCTGTTCTGCTAAAACAGGGCAGTTTTCATGTTCTATTTAAAATTGAAATTAGACAGGGGCTTCTGGGTGGCTCAGTCAGTTAAGTGGCCAGCTTCGGCTCAGGTCACTATCTCACAGTTCATGAGTTCGAGCCCTGCTCTGGGCTCTGTGCTGGAGAGAGCCTGGAGCCTGCTTCAGATTCTGTGTCCCCCTCTCTCTCTGCCCCTGCCCCACTCATGCTCTCTCTCTCTCTCTCTCTCTCTCTGTCTCTGACTCTCTCTCAAAAATAAATAAACATAAAAGAAGAAAAAAATTTTAATTGAAATTAGGAAAAAAATGCTTATTAGAAGAAAATCAGCTATTGTTTTTGGGAATCAAAGGAGGCGTATGTAGTATAGAGCAGAGTACACGAGCCCACAGTGAAGACCCAGGGCATAAGGCCACCTTTTCTGTAAACTTGAATGATTATTTATCCTCTCTGAGCCTCAACCTCCTCATCTCCTCATTTTTAAAGCAAGAAGCTTGGGCTTAGATGATCTCCAATATACTTTTGAGTTCTAGAATTCTAGGGTTCTCTGTTATTACAACCATTAAAAATTTTGTTGAGGAGGAACTTGACGGAGGAACAAGGGGGAGAAGGGCGGAAATGGTGGGGGAAAGGGAGAGAGGCAAACCATGAGAGACTCTTGAATGCTGACAAAAACTGAGGACTGATGGATGAGGGGGGGAGGGGGGACGGGCATGGAGGAGGGCACTTTGGGGATGAGCACTGAGTGTTATGCAGAAACTAATTTGACAATAAACTATTTGTAAAAAAAAAAAAAAAAAAAAAATTTGTTGATGCCTATGTTGACCAAATATAGCAAATGATTTCTAAATCATGAGGTTAAGTGTACTTACACAAAAGATGAAATCGTATTTCTGTTTCAACCATAAAACATGTTTTCAGGACTTAGAGAACTCTCATTAATATGCTTTCAGAACTTTCAGGGCTTTCATTGCATTTATACGTAATCAGAACAAAAGGAACAAAAGCTCTCATTTCAGAATCTGATTGTTTCTCTTAACAGTATGTCTTAAGCAGCATCTATCCGAGTGGATATATTTCGGCAAACATAAATTTTTGTGGCCATTTCTCAAAACCATGTTATTAGATATATTTAGGTGGTTTTCAGATGTTTGCTTATTTCAAGGAGCATCTTCACAAACCATCTAGTACAGATATTTTTCATTGTCCAGTTTTTCAACTATGGTCATCGGATTCGGCTTCCACTGTTGAGCTTCTGCTTCTTCCCACCCACCCCCCGTCCCCACCTCTCTGGTGCTCCACTCTACCCCTCTTTCTAGACAGCTTGGCCTCCCAAAACTCCTCTGGGTTTTGCAACTCTGCAAAGGTCTACATGAGCTTCTTGCCCTGCTCTGCAGCCTGCAAACTCCCTGCAGACAGAAAATCTGGACAATTCTAGGGTTCAACGAATCAGTCTCCCTCTCTCAGGAATCATGGCCCTGGGTCACTTACGCTCTCATGTCTGAAAACTGTTGTTTTATGTAATGTGCCTGGTTTTTTTAGTTTAGTTTAGTTTGTTTGTTTAATGTTTTTTAAGGCAGAAGAGTAACTCTTATCAGTGCATCTTGGACAGAAGCAGAAATTCTGTCCATTTTATTAAGGGAAATAGAAATAAATTTCCCTTATGTAAACCGTCCTTATTTCATAACACAAACACAATTACAGTAATTGTAAAAATGCAAATGACTTGATAGATTGATCCATATCTTTTGTAATCTCAGGAACACTAAACAGTTAGCAATTGAAGAAACAAATCATTGAAGATATTTTTATGCTTTATTTATTCTGTCAGTGCTATCAGTGGAGAAATTCCAAGACCTTTGAAGTTCTATTTTGTGGGGCGTCTATTTTGTGGGGCGTCTATTTTGTGGGTGGCTCAGCCCATTAACATCCGACTTCAGCTCAGGTCACGATCTCATGGTTCATGAGTTCAATCCCTGCAACAAGTTCTGTGCTGACAGTGCAGAGCCTGCTTGGGATTCTCTCTCTCCTCTCTCTCTCTGCCCTTACCCTGCTTGTGCTCTCTCGCTCTCAAAATAAATAAATCAACTTTATTAAAAAATAAATAAAGTTCTATTTTGTGGGGCACCTGGGTGGCTCAGTCAGTTAAGTGTCTGACTTTGGCTCAGGTCATGATCTCATGGTTTGTAGGTGCAAGCCCTATGTCTGCTGTCAGCTGTGCTGACAGCTCAGAGCCTGGAGCGTGCTTCAGATTATGTGTCTCCCTCTCTCTCTGTCCCTCCCCAACCTGCTTTCTGACTCTCTCTCTCTCTCAAAATAAATAAGCATTAAAAAAATTTATAAAGCTCTATTTTGAAATTATTAAACAAAATGTTTCATTGGCCTTTCAGGAAATATTTAAGTTATAGATTAATGTCTACCCACATTTTAAAATTCGGCTCTAAGTAAAATTCATGTTGTTTTTTCATAATCACATATACTTTCTCCCCCTGCCCCCCCCAGATATAAAGACCCTGTTACCAGTGAGCAAGCCAGAAATACGAAGCTATTTTCCAGAAAGCTGGTTATGGGAAGTTCATCATGTCCCCAGAAGGTATTATACTTCTTTGACATTCCTCTGAAAAATGTGGGAAAATACAAATATTATGGCCAAAAATCTGGAAACTACCCATTTCCCAATAGTTTATTTAAGAGTTAAGACAATATACCATTTGGTTAAATTTTGTTTTATTTGCTTTACTTTTTTTTCTTTTTCTTTTTCTTTTTTTTTTAATGTGTGCTTTGCTGTGGTCATTGGTTCCAAGGCAAAATTAACTCTTGGTGAGGAAGGGTACTATTCTATTTAATTTTATCCTGCTTTAGTAAGCCTTTACTGAGCACAGGTATGTGCTATATGCTACAGTAAGCAACTATTTTCTTTTCTTTTCCTTTTTTTTTTTTTTTTTTTTTTTGAGAAAGAGAGAGAGAGCAGGGGAGAGGCAGATAGAGAAGGAGAGACAGAATCCCAAGCAGGTTCCACATTGTCAGTGCAGAGCCAACATGGGTCTCCAACTCATGAACACTGAGATCATGATCTGAGCTGAAATCAAGAGTCCAATGCTTGACCAACTAACTCCCCAGGCACTGCTTTTTTTTACTTATTTATTTATTTTTCTTTTTAAAATTTACTTTTGAAGGAGAGAGAAAGAACAGAGGAGAGGCAGAGAGAGAATTAAGCAGGCATTTTCATCCTGAAATATCTGTATTATAAAAACTGATTATTAAGAAGATTCTCTTCTTGTTTTTCTTAAATTTTTTTTAATGTTTTATTTACTTCTGAGAGAGAGAGACAGCGTGAGCAGGAGAGGGTCAGAGAGAGAGGGAGACACAGAATCTGAAACAGGCTCCAGGCTCTGAGCTGGCTGCCAGCACAGAGCCCAACGCGGGGCTCTAACCCATGAACCATGAGATCATGATCTGAGACGAAGTCGGACGCTGAACTGACTGAGACACCCAGGCGCCCCTCTTCTTGCTTTTCAACACACTTGTGGAATGCTGACTCTGTCCCAGGCACTGGAGGCAGTGAGGAACAGTGCTGAGTCCCTGAGCATCACCGTTCTTTGGGGCCTCAAAGCATTGACTTTTCAAGCCCTGAGGCCCAAGCCTGGCACCAGTCTTAAAATGGATCTCCTCGTCTCTACCTCATGCTCTCTTGTCCATTCAGCTGGCCTTGCCCCCGGGCCAGCACTTCCTCTGGTAAGCCTTCCCACCCCTTTCCCCCACCCTGTCAGCGTCTGGGTTAATTACCCCTACCAATCAACCCTGCTGCCTAAATCATGCTATTACGATGGCCCGTTTACCTGCCTGTCTTCCACATGAAAATGATACTTTCAGGGCAAAGACTAAATTCAGATTACTGTTTTATACTCCGGACCTGGCATAGGGTCCAGCTTGAATGTGTTGAATCAATGCACACTGCCTCTGAACTTTTTAAATGCTTTATTGGTACAGTTATTACAGTGAATTACAATTTATTTACTTAACTGTTTCTTCTACTAGACTATAAACTACTTGAGAACAAGACTGTATCTTGTAAGTGCTGCATATTCAATATTTAGTGCTATGCCTGACTCAGAGATGATGGACAATAGCTGTTTGTTAGGTCAAAGATATAAATATATAAGCTTAATCTTAATCAGATTTTTTTTTTATTATGGGGGCACCTGGGTGGCTCAGTCGATTGAGCATCTGACTCTTGAATTTGGCTCCGGTGATGATCTCATGGTTCGTGGGATTGGGCCCAGGTCAGGCTCTACACTGACACCATGGAGCCTGTTTATAAGATTCTCTCCTTCTCTCTCTCTCTCCCCCCCACTCTCACTCTCTCTCAAAATAAATAAACATTAAGAAAAAGAAATTCTTAGTTATGTTGACTTTGTTATGAGCAGTGTTAAGATGCATTACTTTACTTCTCCATTTTAGAATATACCACATAATAAATATTTTTTCTGTATGTTTTGAATTTGTGATTTTTCAAAGGCATCTTTCTAAATTTGAATTCTCATTATACAAGTGAAATATTTAAAAACAAGGAACAAGTAGGAGGGTTAATGAATATATTTTTCCTGCTTGATTTTTCCTTAGTATCTGATGTCATTTTTTTTAATTGTGACTTTTTTCTTGCTTCTAAAGCAGTAGGCAGCAAAAATTCTGTTTAGAGAATGCTGGGAAATTGGGCTAATCAATGTTTCACTGTATTTGAATATTAACATATTAACTTTCAGAAGCCAATTGCAGTTTGTGCTACCTGATTCTCTAACTACCTGGGAAATTCAAGGTGTTGGCATTTCAGATAGTGGTAAGCAAACTTACGCTGTATACTCATTTAAGGAGTGATTTCATTAGCAAAATGCGTTTTTGTTTTGTTGTTTTTTTTGTTGTTGTTATAATCTATATAGCTCACCCAGGACTTCAGTGGTGTCATTTGTTAAATATCTTTTTAATATATTACAAAAAGAGTTGAATATGTCCATATCTTTGACCATATTGACCATCATTTTATAAATACTGATGTCAAGTTCCCATTTCCTTTGCTTTTCTCAGTGACTGAGAGCTTGAGTGGAGTTAGAAGCAAATGTATTACTTTTCCCTTCGGTTAGTTCCCTTTTGTGGTGATTTAGCTCAGATACTTTATGAATAACTTCAGAGTTGGTTTTATTTGTTTGTTTGCATTTTTTATTTCTTTGAAATCTTGGTTTCCACAATCAAAATTTTATACCCATTAAATAGAGCTGATAATGAATATCTAAAAAAGGATTTGGTACTTGAGTTGATAAACATTCTCATGCCTTAAATAAAATTGAATATTTGTTGGAGAAATGAAGTTTTCTATTAATACTGATAATTATTGAAATAAAAATCAATGAGTGGAAAATTCAAGGACATCACAGTACAGAGAAAAACATGATACAGTATTCCTTTTTTCTTGAAGGAAAGCAATTCTGAGACATAGTAGTCCTAATAAGGCATTATAGGAATTCCCTAATATGCCTCTACTTTGCTTTCACTTTGGACTGAAGGTATATGTGTTGCTGATACTCTCAAGGCACAGGTGTTCAAAGATGTCTTCCTGGAAATGAATATACCATATTCTGTTGTACGAGGGGAGCAGATCCAATTGAAAGGAACTGTTTACAACTACAGAGTGTCTGGTATACGGGTAAGTAGGTATTTACAATATGTTCAGATAAATGGAAAAAGGAAGATTTCTCTGATTTTATATGAATTCTATCAATGGAATGATCACATACACAAAAAACAAAAATTCAGCTCAGTGAACAGATGAGGAAAGGCAGACTTAAGACATGTATCCTTACAACTCCAATTTAAGGAAGAATACAAGTCTGTAATATAATCAGTGTGCCGAAGAGGCTCAGAGAAAGGATTTTGAGTTTCCCTGAATTCTGAATTTCTTGATCGTCTTGCATCTGACAATCCTTTCCTTGTCTCTGTCTTCGCCATTCATTCTCATATTCTCTTTGTAGATCTGGTCATCCCCTCTGAAAGTTGTTATTTCAGACAATGCACCCTGTTACTTTGTAGCTACAGGCCTGCACATCACTGAAACCTCTAATCCCTTGACTTCCTTACGCTTTTGTTATTCCTTAGCTCTCTTCTACCTTTACTTCACTCCTTGTCCAGGTTAGAATCCATAAACTACCACTATAATCATAAAGTACACTAACTAAAATCATGTTAATTCCCTTAATTCTCTCTCACTCCAGGGTACACACCCTGAAAAACTCTGACCATGGTTGAACCCACCATTTCTCTTCTTTTTGCCAGCACACGGCCAAAGAGAATTACAAAATAGAGTAACTGATTTTGTTTGAAAATCATAGTCACAAAACTTTATATGGGAACTCAGTGTGCCCAGAAATCTAGCTATATTTTTATTTTTTTAAATGTATTTCTTGTTTAATTTACACCCAAGTTAGTTAGCATATGGTGCAACAATGATTTCAGGAGTAGATTCCTTAATGCCCCTTACCCATTTAGACCCCCCCACAACAACCCCTCCAGCAACGCTGTTTGTTCTCCATATTTAAGAGTCTCTAATGTTTTGTCCCCCTCCCTGTTTTTATATTATTTTGCTTCCCTTCCCTTATGTTCATCTGTTTTGTATCTTAAAGTCCTCACATGAGTGAAGTCATATATTTGTCTTTCTCTGACTGACTAATTTTGCTTAGCATAATACCCTCCAGTTCCATCCATGTAATTATATTTTTTTAAAGCTCTAATTTCATTCTCAGTGGTTTCCAAAAATTTTGCTTACATGCTGTCTAAATGCTGAGGGGAAAGCCATGTGCCCCAATGACAAATTTTGAATTAGCATTTAAGATTTTTCATCCTAAGTTCAAAAAAAATATGCAAATCTATAACCTTTGGAATATTTAAATATTAATATTTTTAATGAACTGGTTATATCAAACTTCTAAATATAGCAGAATCTAAATGCCATAACATTCCATTTTAAAATACTCAGATAAACTGTAATTACCAACAGATTAAATACCAATTCCTTTCTCTGTGAAGGCATATTTCCATTTCATTCTCCTAATGTTGTATATGCTATGCTTGAATATTTCCTATTGATTACCCTCGTACTTTGATGCAAAAAAAGTAGATATTTAAAATCAAAAAAATGTTTTAAGTTTATTTATTATGAGGCAGAGAGAGCATGAGAAGGGACGGCACAGAGACAGAGAAAGAGAGATAGCACAAGCTGGGTTAGGGGGGAGCAGAGAGAGAGGGAGAGAGAGAGAATCCCAAGCAGGCTCCACACTGTCAGTGCAGAGCCCGATGCGAGGCTAGAACTCATGAACCATGAGATCAAGACCTGAGCCGAAACCAAGAGTCAGATGCTTAACCAACTAAGCCATCCAGGCACCCCTGAAATTGAAATATATTTAAATTCTATGATTATAAGACTCAAAGTGTCAAGTAATTGCTTGTGTATTTAGTTAAAATTGTATAAGGATTTTGATACACATTTCTCCTCTGCCTTAGAATGTAAGGGATTATTTAACACTGGAAAAATATCAGGGAGAGTTTGTATCCAGATGAACATAGTCTGGGCATACTTTCCTTATGATAGTGTTTTAATATAACTGCTTACTGGTGATATTTCAGTTCTGTGTTAAAATGTCTACCGTGGAGGGGATCTGTACATCAGGAAGACAAGCCATTGACCACCAGGGCAGGAATCCCTCCAAATGTCTGTTCCAGACAGTAGAAGGTTCCTCCAGTCACTTGGTGACCTTCAGCGTGCTTCCCCTGGAAATTGGCCTCCACAACATCAACTTTTCACTGGAGACTTCACTTGGAAAAGAAATTTTAGTAAAAACATTACGAGTGGTGGTAAGAAAAATATGCTTTTTCTGATTCTCTTTAAGAACACTTTTTTCATAGGTGAAGAGGATTAAGAGTACACTTATCATGATGAGCACTGAGTAATGTATAGAACTGTTGAATCACTATATTGTACACCTGGAACTAATATAACGATATATGTTGATTACACTAGAATTAAATTTTTTAAAAAGAAAGAAAAAGAATAACAGCAAAAAAACCCAACTTTTTTCAGTCTGAAAAAAATCTCAGCAACTTATTACTAAGTGGTTCAGAAAGAAGAATCATGTAAATGTAATAAAATGTTAACATTTGTGGGAAACTGCGGGGGAGCTTATCTCAGATTTTTTTTTTTTTTTTTTACTATTCTAGTAACTTTCCCTGAAGTCTGATGTGGTGTTTTAAAATTTAAATAAAACAATGATACTTGATTATTGTAGAAAAAATAGAATACTGAAAAACCACAGAGAAGAAAAATGAAAATCACTGATAACTCCCACACCCAGAAATATCCAGAATATCCACACCCAGAAATATCCAACTTTAACAACTTGGTATAAAGCCTTTCAGGCTTTTCCCCCCTAACACCTTCAGAAGGTCTTAAAATCTACATGCCAGACATTATGCCAGGTACTGGAGATAGAAAAATAGATAAGACACAGCCCATGCATTTACAGTTTAGGATTTATAGTCTACAAAAAATTTCCATTTGCAAATGAGTAAACAGGCTAAAAGAGGAAGAAAACTATCATTTATTAAAGTACTATTTACCCACATAGTCTGTTGAGTGTTTTCATGTTATCTTACTAAGATCGAGATTCTTACCAAGAGTCATTTGGCTAGTTAATGACAGAACTGGGCCTTCTTAGGTCTTTGTTCCCTGGTTGCGGTTTTCAGCCATGAAATAACTTCAGTAAATGTATACGGACCTATTTTGTGCAAGGCGTGCTCTGTGCGTCCTTGTGTGGTGGTTCCACGCGCAGACCCTGAAGACAGGCTACCTGGGTTTGGACCCTGGCTCCACCGCTTCCTAGCAGTGTGACATTGGATAAGTTTCTTGATTTCTCTATGCGTCATTTTCCTCACCTATCAGATGGGAGTAATAAAAGCATCTACTTCATAGAGTATTTTTTGAGGTTAAATGAGCTACTACATACAAAGCACTGAAATCAATTACCCAGCTTATAATAACTTTTATTTAAGTATTTGCTCTATTATGAGAATAGCCAAAAATCTTATTCTTGCATGTATTAATATAAGTACTTAAACATATCTGGCCTTTAAAAAATGATTTTTCAATCAGAAAGTGGTCAAGTTGATCCAAGAACTCAGGTCATGTGAGTTTAATTATATTCTTTTGTCATTTGAAGGGGGTGTCTGAAATCCAGTGAACAAGTTAACTTAAATGAGGAACAAGTTAACTGAGGGAGTTAAATTTAATTATATTCCTGACTGAATGTTTTCTGCCTTTTTAGCCAGAAGGTGTCAAAAAGGAAAGTTACGCTGGTGTTACTCTGGACCCAAGGGGTATTTATGGTAGGCAAAATGATTTTGTATTTTATATGTCATCTTTTGCCCTAGAAATTCAAATGTATAGGTAACCTGAAACACTTTTTCAAAATGTTAATTGTCTGGGATCAGAAATATCCACGTCTTAGCTCACTGACATTCTTGATAGCATGTATTGTGCTATAAACTGGATGTGTTTAGAACAAAGAAAAATAATTCCATTAGTTTTAAGTGTAAAGCACTGAAATAGTAATAATTGCATGATTTTTCTTGTATACTAGTCATTTTGTATCTATCATAATAATAATTTACAATACCTTCTTATAGAACCATCAATCCAAAGAACACCTAAGCAAAAGTCATTTATGTACTTATTTAACATGCATTATTTGAAAACACAATAATGCTGATTAATCACTCAACTAACCCATTTGTCACTGCTTCTCTGATTTTACCCATCAATAAAGATATTCTGAATCTTCTCACAGTTAGAATTTTGCAAACATTTGAACATCTAATTAAGGCCTAATTATATACATACATGAACTAAATATATAAATAGTTATATTTATAATATATATGAAATTTAGAATGTGTTCAATTAACAATTCTTTTCAACAACACAGAAGACAGCCTTCCATAGTCCTTATTAAATGGTTAAAATGTACCTTGTTGCATTGCATCATTTTCCTTTTCTTGCAATGAGCGATGAGAAAAAAAGTTTACTTACCAATCGAGACCATTATACTCAGAGAGCGGTTTCCTCTGAGAAAGCAAAGAATTCAGACCCTTACATTTAAATCAGCTCAGAATCATAAGCTTACCTAGGATGACTTCAACAGAGAACAAAAAAGAAAAATTCATCCTACATGCATATGTTAACTTTTTTCTTTAATTTTATCTCCCCACAGACCTTCTTCCAACCTGTCCATTGTGAAGGATCTGTGGGTAGAGATATTTCAAATTCTGAGGTTTGGGGCCTCATGCAGTTAAATCAAGCCTCAGAGCCACTGCATCTTTGGCTTTTCTTCCTTTTTACCCTTATGTCTCCTATACCCCAAACAGCCCTGTCTTACACATCCCAGGTGCAGACATCAGGGCCATGAGATGGGAATGATCTTTCATCTGGAGATAAATCTCGCCATCAAAAATCTTGATAAAAACAATAGGAGTAGTAGTAGTAGTAATATCTATGTCTCTTTACAATCTTGCCATCTGACTTTTTCCCTTGGTGTTTTAGACAACTTCAATTTAAACAGCTTTGTGACTTACTGGAGAGCTAAATAGGGAAAAGATGACAAGTAATCCTGTCCAGTGAGTTTGGAGATTTTATTAAATACTTCCAATATTTATATAATGGAATTGCTATATCAGTATAATACTTTATAGAATTATATTTTTTAAATGTTTGGGTTGTTTTGTTTGAGAAAGAGAGAGCATGAGCTGGGGAGGGGCAAAAGAGAAAGAAAAAAAATCCCAAGCAGGCTCGGCTCTGACAGCAAGGAGCCCAACGCAGGGCTCCAACTCACACATGGGTGAGATCATGACCTGAGCCGATGTCAGATGCTTAACTGACTGAGCCACCCAGGCATCCCTAGAATTCCGTTTTTTAAAAAAAGGCTAAGATGTATTTGGAAAAGTAAATGGACAGTAACATCACTGGAAATCTGAAAAAAATTTATATCAGTGAGGGAAAAGGAAGTATCAGAACGCACTGTAAAGTAATAGTAATTAAAATGGAATGACATCAGCTGAAAATGAGAACTAAATGTGGAAACTCGGTCCCACAAGCCCTCATGTTTAGTTCCTGCTTTCTCTCCCCAAAGTGCCCTTTGCTTCCAGATGTTTTCTTCCCTGGGCCGCGGGGAGTCCATGTCCTCACCCCCCTCTCTTCCTGGCATACCACATCGGCGGTCTGGGCAGGCCCCTCTCATGTTTTCTCCCTGCATTCCCCACCCCTACTCTATTTTCCTTCCTTCACACACAGCCACTCAAATCCTAGCCTACATCCGATTCTACGTCTCAAGCTTTTAAACTCAACATTCTGTTTTAAAGAAATAGTCACTGCTTCTTACATAATGTTTCAGAGTCCATTCCACCACGGTTTTTCTTAGTGACAGGCTCTCCACCACCATAAACCATGCCGAGCATCCTTATACGTCTCTCTTTACAAATCTGCATCAGCCTCCAGCTAAGCTGTGTGTCCGGAAGTGCGACCGTTGGGTCACAGGGCACACATATCCTAAATATCATCTGAGGCTGTCTTACTGGTCTTCAGAACGGCTGAGCACTTACAGTGCCACCAGCATTGCGTAAAGGTTGCCATCTGTCTACACCCTCACCAACACTTGGTATTATTACCTGCATCTCTAAAATGTGCTGTTAGAGGGCGTCTGGCTGGCTCAGTCAGAAGAGCTTGCAACTTCTGATCTCAGGGTTGTTAAGTTTGGGCTCCACATTATGTGTATAGATACACATTATGTGTACTTAAAAAAATAAAAATACATAAATAAAACAAAACGTGCTACTTTTGAGGGGCATAAAATGTCTCATTGTTTTAATTCGGAGTCTTCTGATTATAAATGATTTTTAACATTTCTCCACATGCTTGTTGGCCATTTGGGCTTCCCATCTGTGAATTGCCTCTTCTTATCTTTTGCACTTTTTCCTACTCTCCGTTTGGATTTTCTTGTCTATTTCATATTGATTTTTGTCTCTGATATGCTTGCTTTGGTAGCACATTACTAAGATGCTTATCTCTGGTGTACTTCTTTTGAGAATAATGAACCCTAGTGGGTTTTGAACAGGAATCCTTTATATGGTCAAATTCATTATAATTTTACTTTAAGGCTATTATATATTTTGGGGGTAATCTTTAAGAAGCCTTTCCCCATCCTTAGTTCACAAAGATATTGCAGATTTTATCCTATTGGTTTTACAGATTTAATTTTTAAATGTTTTAATCTCTCTGGCATTTACCTTCTTTTTTAAAATTTTTTTTTTTTTTTTTTACAAATAGTTTATTGTCAAATTAGTTTCTACATAACACTCAGTGCTCATCCCCAAAGTGCCCTCCTCCATGCCCATCCCCCCCTCCCCCCCACATCCATCAGTCCTCAGTTTTTGTCAGCATTCAAGAGTCTCTCATGGTTTGCCTCTCTCCCTTTCCCCCACCATTTCCGCCCTTCTTCTCCCCCTTGGTCCTCCGTCAAGTTCCTCCTAATCCTCCTATACGTGCAAACATATGGTATTTGTCCTTCTCTGCCTGACTTATTTCGCTCAGCATAACACCCTCAAGGTCCATCCATGTTGCTACACATGGCCAGATTTCATTGTTTCTCATTGCCATGTAGTATTCCATGGTATAGATAAACCACATCTTCTTGATCCATTCATCTGTTGATGGACACTTAGGCTCTTTCCATGTTTTAGCTATTGTGGAGAGTGCTGCTATGAACATTGGGGTACATGTGCTCCTATGCCTCAGCATTTCTGTATCCCTTGGGTAAATTCCTAGCAGTGCTATTGCTGGGTCATAAGGGAGTTCTATTGTTAGTTTCCTGAGGAACCTCCACACTGTTTTCCAGAGGGGCTGTACCAGTTTACATTCCCACCAACAGTGCAGGAGGGTGCCCGTTTCTCCACATCCTCGCCAGCATCTAGAGTTCTCTGATTTGCTCATTTTAGCCACTCTGACTGGCGTGAGGTGGTATCTCAGTGTGGTTTTGATTTGTATTTCCCTGATGAGGAGGGATGCTGAGCATCGTTTCATGTGTCTGTTGGCCATCTGGATGTCCTCTTTGGAGAAGTGTCTGTTCATGTCTTCTGCCCATTTCTTCACTGGGTTGTTTGTTTTTCGGGCGTGGAGTTTGGTGAGTTCCTTATAGATTCTGGATATTAACCCTTTATCTGATATGTCATTTGCAACTATCTTTTCCCATTCCGTTGGTTGCCTATTAATTTTCTGGGTTGTTTCCTTGGCTGTGCAGAAGCTTTTAATCTTGATGAGGTCCCAACAGTTTATTTTTGCTCTCGATTCCCTTGCTTTTGGGGATGTGTCAAGTAAGAAGTTGCTGCGGTGGAGGTCAAGGAGGTTGTTTCCTGCTTTCTCCTCTAGGGTGTTGATAGTTTCCTGTCTCACGTTCAGGTCCTTTATCCATTTTGAGTTGATTTTTGTGCATGGTGTGAGAAAATGATCTAGTTTCATTCTTCTGCATGTTGCTGTCCAGTTCTCCCAACACCATCTGTTAAAAAGGCTGTCTTTTTTCCATTGGATATTCTTTCCTGCTTTGTCAAAGATCAGTTGGCTGTATACTTTTGGGTCCACTTCTGAGTTCTCAATTCTGTTCCATTGGTCTATGTGTCTGTTTTTGTGCCAATACCATACTGTCTTGAGGATGACAGCTTTGTAGTAGAGGCTGAAGTCTGGGATGGTGATACCTCCCGTTTTGGTTTTATTTTTCAGTATTACTTTGGCTATTCGGGGTCTTTTGTGGTTCCATACAAATTTTTGGATAGTTTGTTCTAGTTTTGAGAAGTATGCTGGTGCAATTTTGATTGGAATTGCATTGAATGTGTAGAGTGCTTTAGGTAGTAATGACATCTTAACTATATTTATTCTTCCTATCCATGAGCATGGAATGTTTTTCCATTTCTTTGTGTCTTCTTCAATTTCCTTCATAAGTTTTCTATAGTTTTCATCATACAGATCTCTTGTATCCTTGGTTAGGTTTATTCCGAGGTATTTTATGGTTTTTTGTGCAATTGTGAATGGGATCAGTTTCTTGATTTCTCTTTCTGTTGCTTCATTATTGGTGTATAAAAATGCAACCGATTTCTGTACGTTGATTTTGTACCCTGCAACTTGGCTGAATTCTTGGATCAGTTCTAGTAGGCTTCTGGTGGAGTCTGTCGGGTTTTCTATGTAGAGTATCATGTCATCTGCGAAGAGTGAAAGTTTGACTTCCTCTTTGCCAATTCTGATGCCTTTGATTTCCTTTTGTTGTCTGATGGCTGATGCTAGGACTTCCAGCACTATGTTAAACAACAGTGGTGAGAGTGGACATCCCTGTCGTGTTCCTGATCTCAGGGGGAAAGCTCTCAGTTTTTCCCCGTTGAGGATGATGTTAGCTGAAGGCTTCTCATAGATGGCTTTGATGATGTTTAAGTAGGTTCCTTCTATCCCAACTTTCTCGAGAGTCTTTATTAAGAAGGGATGCTGTATTTTGTCAAATGCTTTTTCTGCATCTATTGACAGGATCATATGGTTTTTATCTTTTCTTTTATTGATATGATGGATCACATTGATTGATTTGCGAATGTTGAACCAGCCCTGTAACCCAGGAATGAATCCCACTTGATCTTGGTGGATGATTCTTTTGATATGCTGCTGGATTCGATTTGCAAGGATCTTGTTGAGAATTTTTGCATCCGTATTCATCAAGGATATTGGCCTATAGTTCTCTTTTTTTGTTGGATCTCTGTCTGGCTTGGGAATCAGAGTGATGCTGGCTTCATAAAATGAGTCCGGGAGTTTTCCTTCGACTTCTATTTTTTGGAATAGCTTGAGAAGAATTGGGATTAATTCTGTTTTAAATGTCTGGTAGAATTCCCCAGGGAAACCATCAGGTCCAGGGCTCTTATTTGTTGGGAGATTTTTGATCACTGATTCGATTTCTTCACTCGTTATGGGTCTGTTCAGGTTTTCTATTTCTTCCCGTGTGAATTTTGGTAGTGAGTGTGTGTTTAGGAATTTGTCCATTTCTTCTAAGTTGTCCAATTTGTTGGCATATAATTTTTCATAGTATTCCCTGATAATTGCTTGTATTTCTGAGGGGTTGGTTGTAATAAGTCCATTTTCATTCATAATTTTGTCTATTTGGGTGCTCTCTCTTTTCTTTTTGATAAGCCTGGCTAGAGGTTTGTCAATTTTGTTTACTTTTTCAAAAAACCAACTCTTGGTTTCATTGATCTGTTCAATTGTTTCTTTGGTCTCTATGTTGTTTATTTCTGCTCTAATTTTTACTATTTCTCTTCTTCTACTGGGTTTAGGGCGTTCTTGTTGCTCTGCCTCTAGCTCTTTTAGGTGAGCTGTTAGATTTTGGACTTGTGCTTTTTTTTTTTTAAAAATTTTTTAATGTTTATTTTTGAGAGAGAGCACAAGTGAGGAAGGGGCAGAGAGAGAGGGAGACACAGAATCCAAAGCAGGCTCCAGGCTCTGAGCTGTCAGTACAGAGCCTGACGCAGGGCTTGAACTCACAAACTGTGATCACGACTTGAGCTGAAGTAGGATGCTTAACCCAGGCACCCCATCTCTGGCATCTACCTTTATATGTGATGTCTTCATGAGTCTTCTATCATGATTTCTGACAAGAAGTAAAATAGACTTCTCTTAGTTTTAGTTTTCTCATCTATACCTTTTCCATCTGGGAGCACTATTGCTAATGAGAATTGAAATAGTCAAGGGTGGGTATCAATGGCAAAATAGTGGAGGATCAGATTTAGACAATTTCAGACAGCCTACTATCATTAAGGACAACATATTGAGCATGAACTGTTTGCCAGGCTCTTTGTCTATATTATTTTTGCCCTCACAAAAACCCTTTGAGGAAAATATTATTGCCTCTATTGATCGGAGGAACACAGCAAGGCACAGAAAGCTTGAATGCCCTGCCCGCTGCAACATATAGAGTGAGCTCCTTCTGAACTCTTCCAGCCACACCGCAAACCTCTTAAATGTCTTCACTGAGTTTTATTTCAATATTATATCCTCAGCATTTATTAAAGTTAATTAAGAAAGAAGTTACCTGAGGAACATTCCTGTCTCTTCTGCAAAGCCCTCTGGCTTGTCCATTAAATGGCAAAATGTCACTATTTTCTTTTGGCATCTGCCCTGTGCCAGAGACTGGGCTAAATGCTGGCATTACAGCATTTGATAAGGGATGGGTCCTGTCCTCAAAGCTTTCTTGGCAGGACCATGGGAGGGGGATCCCTTTGTTTTGACTGCTCTGGGCTCTGCAGTAAAGCAGTAAAGCTTCCTGAGCTCAGGATCCAAGCTCCATATGCACCAGCTCTGTGACCTTGAGCAGTTTGCTTTCCAAACCTCAGTTTCCTCATCTATAAAATAAAAATAAAAACAATAGACCTAGCATACAGGGTTGTTGTAGGATCCGGTATAACAATACATTTAAGAGATTACCAGAGTGCTCAGTGTTCTATCAGGAGAATGATAGATGTCATTTTTATGAAATAAACCAATGATTAAAGTAAAAAAATGCTCTGCTACAGGTATGCTAAAACTTTGTTATTGCGCATAGAGAAAAAATGTCTAAGTTAAATTGAGGGAAAGTGGAAAGAATTTCAGGACATGCTTCCCAATGAAGATAATCCCATGTATCCTTGACAAAGGAATTACATTAGTTATTTTTAGCTTTCAGTTCTGAGAATAATTTTCTCTCTTTGGACATAAAGGCACACTCCTTTTTTCTGGTGGATAAAATTTATATGTCTTATTTATTTCCTATCTTGTAATGACCAAGAAGCCTAAAGTTAAATTGAATACTCTATTTAAAGAGATTACATAAGCCTAGGGTTTTATAAAAATCCTTGATTATTTTTAACTACCTTTTTAGATTTTAATGTTATTATAAAAGAGTCTTTTATTTTAAAGCAATTCCTTGGAAGCTGTATATTATAAATAATCTGCTACTGGTGTTCCCTCAAGAATCCTGTATAAATCTAATAATTTTTTTAAATGTTTATTTATTTATTTTGAGGGAGGGAGGGAGGGAGGGGCAGAGAGAGAGCCCAATGCAGAGCTCAATCTCATGAACCGTGAGATCACAACATAAGCTGAAATCAAAAGTCAGATGCTTAACCAAGTGAACACCCCGGGCACCCCAATCTAATAATTTTTTTTTTAATTTTCAGGTGTCATTAGTAGACGAAAAGAGTTCCCATTCAGGATACCATTAGATTTGGTCCCCAAAACAAAAGTCAAAAGGATTGTGAGTGTAAAAGGTAAATTGACATATGCCAGTTTTATTTCTCATTTCACGTTATGCTTCAAACTACCATCAAATATCCTCCTGATGATTCTGTTTCTTCTCTTCTCTCCTCAGCAGCATCTACAAATTCATCTCTAGTTCTTCCACCTTCAAACCCCCAACCACTTTTCCAATTGTCTTCTTCCATTGGCCTGATTTAAATAGAGGTTCATTCTCCCATGATGGACAGTGGGGGGCTATGATTGACACCAAAGACTTCTCTAAAACTTTTCATGATCTTAGCAACCATGCTTGCTCCAGAGAAGGCTTTATGACCTCCACATGGCCTCACTATAGGTGCACTGCTCCGCCGAAACATCAGTCCCCAAGGGGTTCTCTCCTGTCTGGTACATTTGCAGAAGGGGCAGCTTTGGCAGGTTTTCCCTGGTCTCTATTGAATTTATAATTCAATAACATATCATCAAAATAATAGAATGTCCTGACTGCATTTTAGCTCAGAGCTCTGGACTCACAGAATGTTAGTACTGGGGAAAACTTTTCTTTGTAAGTTTATTTATTTATTTTGAGAGACAGAAAGAGAGAGAGTACATGCAAGTGAGTATGAGTGGGGGAAGGACAGAGAGAGAGAAGGAGAAAGAGAGAATCCCAGGCAGGCTCCTTGTTGTCAGCGATGACACAGGGCTCAGTCTCACAAAACTCGAGATCACTACCTAAGCTGAAATCAAGAGTCGGATGGTTAGGGACGCCTGGGTGGCTCAGTCAGTTAAGTGTCCGACTTCAGCTCAGGTCATGATCTCCTGGTTCTTGGGTTAGAGCCCTGTGCTGACAGCTCAGAGCCTGGAACCTGCTTCCAATTCTGTGTCTCGGCCTCTGTCCCTCCTGCGCTCGTGCTGCCTCTCTCTCTCTCAAAAATAAATGTTAAAAAAGTTTAAAAAAAAAAAAAAAGCAGCATCCAACTTCGGCTCAGGTTGTAATCTTGCAGTTCGTGAGTTCCAGTCCCACATCAGACTTTGTGCTGACAGCCCAGAGCCTGGAGCCTGCTTTGGATTCTGTGTGTGTCTCTCTCTGCCCTTACCCTGCTCAGCTTACTCATTCTCTCTCTCTCTCTCTCTCTCTCTCTCTCTCTCAAAAATAAACATTAAAGGAAAATTTTTTAAAAAATTAAAAATAGTTGGATATTAAACAGACTGAGCCACCCAGGCACCCCAGGGAAAACCTTTTTAAGTCATGTGCAGTCCTGTTGGATATGTAAATACTGGTTTGCCCAACATCGCATGGTGAGTTATGGACAAAGCCTCCATAGTCCGGGCTTTTTGCTTTGCTTTGTGGGAGCAATTGATTAATAGGATTTACAGTGTCTAAAGCTATCAGTTGAACAACAACTAATTTGCCATGTCCTCTATGCAGAAATCTACCCACTACATTATACCATCTTACCACCATATTCAAGTGGTATTTTTAAGACTATTCTTCTTGTTTCTTTCTTTTCGTTTAATTATTAAAAAATTTTTATTTTAGAGAGAGAGCAGAGGAGGGGTAGAGGGAGAGGAAGAGAGAGAATCTTAAGCAGGCTCCATTTTCAGTGCAGAGCCTGAGGTGGGGTTTGATCCCACGATCCTGGGATTGTGACCTGAGACAAAATCACGAGTCAGACACTCAATCACCTGAGCCACTCAGGTGCTCCTTGGTGTTTCTTTTAAATCCATATTCCTGACCAGATCTTTTTTGTCTCTCCCCAGCTGAGAAGTAATTCAACTGCTTAGATAAAAAGGAAAGAACAGAGAGAGTTGCTCTTCTCTCATTAAAAAAAATTTTTTTAATGTTTATTTTTGAGACTGAAACAGAGTGTGAGTGGGGGAGGGACAGAGAGAGAGAGAGGGAGACACAGAATCCAAAGCTGGCTCCAAACTCTGAGCTGTCAGCACAGAGCCCAATGCAGGGCTTGAACTCATGAACACGAGACCATGACCTCAGCCAAAGTGAGACGCTTAACTGACTGAGCCACCCAGACGCCCCAAGTCTTCTCTCTGTTTAAAATATAACATTACTCAGAGGCTGATAGAAATTGACTGTGTCTACCTTGAGCTTTTGTTTGTTTGTTTGTTACAGGACTGCTTATAGGAGAGATCATGTCTACAGTTCTGAGTCAGGAAGGCATCGACATTCTTACCCACCTCCCCAAGGGGAGTGCAGAAGCAGAACTGATGAGTGTGGTCCCAGTATTCTATGTTTTTCACTACCTGGAAGCAGGAAGCAATTGGAACATTTTTTCTACTAATTCATTTACTCAAAAAGAGAACCTGAAGAAAAAATTAAAGGAAGGTAAAGAAAATTCATTTTGCAAATTCTACCTAAAAATCTTGTGATTCTTAAACCAATGGTTCAGTTAAACTAACATATAATTTTATGCATTATACAAGCACATAATTGTAAAAGCATTTCTACAGAAGGAAAATCATGAAGTAGACACAACTGCATAAATAAACACCACTTTCTGTAGCATTTTGGCTTAACTCACCAAAATGCTTGGATGAGGGACAAGACATCTGCATTCCAGCCTCTACAGAGCACTTCCTTCCTCCTTGAATGAGCTCAGAATGTTCTACTTGATAATTCCCATTCCAAGCGATTCATATACCTCTTTTGAGAAATTTAATCTTGGCCACAGAGCACCTGCATGCTGCCCAGCCCCCAAGGAAGTTTACCATTCCCAGGAGCCGATAAAGCACTCTGTGCATAGAAGTAGAGGTCAGTGAATAGAAGTAGAGGTCAGTGAAGCACTGTGTTCTTTCTCTGGTGCCCCATAGGGATGGTGAGCATCATGTCCTACAGAAATGCTGACTATTCTTACAGCGTGTGGAAGGGCAGCAGTGCTAGCACCTGGTAAGTATAAAGGTTTTGATTTGCATTTTCGTACAATGGTTACCTATCTAACTAAAGAATAACAATCTTCATGGAAAGTCCATTCATCCAGTGGCTCAGGCTAAAAGTCTGGTTATTTTTCATTGCCCTTTCTCTTACAAGCCACGTCTGATCCAGCAAATACTTCTGGCTGTACCTTCAAAATATATCCTGAACTAGACTGCTTCTCACCAACCCCACCACACCATCCTGGTCCAAACCACTCTTGTTTCTTTTCCTTTTTCTTTTTTTTCTTCCTTTAATTTAAATCCAAGTTAGTCAACATAGTGTAATAATGGTTTCAAGAGTAGAATTGAGTGATTCATAGCTTACATATGACTGCCAGTGCTCACCCCAACAAGTGCCCTCCTTAATGCTCCTCACCCATTTACCCCATCCCTTCACCCACCTCCCCTCCAGCAACCCTCAGTTTGTTCTCTGTATTCAAGTGTCTCTCATGATTTGCCTCCCTCTCAGTTTTTATCTTATTTTTACTTCCCTTCCCCTATGTGCAATCTGTTGTGTTTCTTAAATTCCACACATGAGTGAAATCATATGATATTTGTTGTTCTCTAACTGACTTATTTTGCTTAGCATAATACACTCTAGTTCCATCCAAGTTGTTGAAAATGACAAGATTCCATTCTTTTTAATGGCCCAGTAATATCTCATTTCTTCTTACCTGGATTATTGCCCTAGCCTCCTCTTGTCTTTTGTCTTCAGCCCTTGCCTTGCCCCTCTTTGTCTATACTGAACACAGCAGCTGGAGTGACCATGTTAAAACATAAGTTAGGCGGGGCGCCTGGGTGGCTTAGTCGGTTAAACGTCCGACTTTCGCTCAGGTCATGATCTCGCGGTTCGTGGGTTCGAGCCCCGCGTCGGGCTCTGTGCTGACTGCCAGCTCGGAGCCTGGATTCTGTTTCAGTCTGTGACTCCCTCTCTCACTGACCCTCCCCTGCTCACGCTGTCTCTCTCTCTCTCTCCTAGAAATAAATAAAAATATTTAAAAAAAAAAAAAAAACATAAGTTAGGCCACGTCATTCAGGAGCTTCCCATCTTACCCAGGGTATAAACCAAAGTTCTTACTGTGAACCACAAGACCCTATATGGTCTGGCTTCGCCTCACCTCTCCAGCTGCACCCCCACTTCTCCCTTTCATTCCACTCCAGCCCTACTGGCCTCTTCGGTGTTCCTTCAACATACAGGCATGCTTCCACCTCAGGGCCTCTGCACTGACTGTTCCCTCTGTCCGAAATGCTCCTCCCCAGGCATCAGTGGCTAGTCCCCTTACCCCCCCTCAGGTCTTTACCAAAAGTCGCCTTCTCAGCAAGGTCTCTGTGAATCATTCTAATTCCATTCTCATCCCAACATTTCATCCCATGCATTCCCTTTCTCCTGAAAATCTATCATTAACATTCTTACTTATCTCACTTTAGTCTGTCTTGCTTCTAGAATGTACTCTCCACGTGGGCAGTTCCAAGTGTTCCTGGTGCCTGGTACACACCTGATGCATAGCAGGTGCTCACTAAGTGCTTATTCAGTGAAGTGTAATAACTTCCTTATTTCTGATGATTTGAGGGAAATTGAATTCTTTGGAATTAATTGAAAGTCTCCATGGCAATCTGCTTTCAAAAAATGCTATCATGTGCTGATGAAATATCTGATGAAAACATGGTGTGTCAGGTGCTTTGTAGAGCCCACTATGTGAACATTTTTAAGCATTTGGGGCGCCTGGGTTGCACAGTTGGTTAAGAGTACAACTTTGCCTCAGGTTGTGATTTCATGGATTGTGAGTTTGAGCTCCGCATCAGGCTCTGTGCTGACAGCTAGAAACCCGAGCCTGCTTCTGAGTCTGTGTCTCATTTCCTTTCTGCCCCTCCCCTGCTCACGCTCTGTCCTCTCTCTCTCAAAAATAAATAAACATTTTTAAAAAAAAGGATTTTACAATCTGGAATAATCGACTTTTATATTATGCCCTTTTAACTACCTAGAGTCCCCAGGATTTCATCCTTGACCCTCTTATTTTCTGTAGTTTGTCTCTGTGCAATTTCATCTTAGCCCATACTTTCCATAATTTCTACAAAGATGATTCCTTAATTAATGTCTCAAGGCCCAACTTCTTTCCTAAGCTCCAGATCCATATTTCTAGGGATTTGGGCGTCAAAGGCCCTTCAAACATAATCCATGCCACATTCATTATTTTGTTTTTGTTTCCTTAGTATGTGGGCAGCAATACTCTATACAAGTTTGAATCTTCCCCTTCCTTTTGGCTCTATATCCAACAGTCGTCAAGTCCCACGGATTGTACCTTAGAAGTGGGTGTAATGATGTGTGGGTGGCACATTTTAAAAGACACATAGACCTTTGGAACGTGCTGACTGGAGGATACCAACCAGGATGCAAAGGGTGGGTGTTGGTGAGACTGGAAACCAGCACAGCAGCAGCTGGGGACTAGATGCCTGGAGACACCTCTCAATAGACACCTCTCAAGAGTTCTAGGCAAGACTGAGCAGACAGCGTTCAGTCAGAAACACAGAAATATTTGGGTACCTCCCCAGACTCAACTCTACAAGTTCCTTCAGAGAAATGTATACACAGAAGAAAATCGTCAGTACCTGAATACTTACAAAATATTTTTTTGAGAAATATAAGGAAGAAAGAAAAAAAGTACATAGAATAATATATCATTTGTTTGAGAAAGAAAAATGAAAATAAGTGTTTTTAAGTTAGGATGACAGCCAAGTGGGCTGACTCAGAAGCACCTGAGGAGCTGAAGAGTGGGTAGCTCTTGGCCGCTCAGAGAGTGAGGGAACAGAGGCGGGAGAAGGGAGTAAGAGGCATTGTGGGGTTATGAATTAGATGCTTTTACATATTCTTTAAGAGATTTAGTAGTGGGGCGCCTGGGTGGCTTAGTCGGTTAAGCGTCCGACTTTTGCTTAGGTCATGATCTCGCGGTTCGTGGATTCGAGCCCCGTGTCGGGCTCTGTGCTGACTGCCAGCTCAGAGCCTGGAGCCTATTTCAGAGTCTGTATCTCCCTCTCTCTCTGACCGTTCCCTGCTCATGCTGTCTCTCTCTCTCCTAGAAATAAATAAAAATATATTTTTTAAAAAAAAGAGATTTAGTAGAGACTGAAATTGCTTCAAAAAGCAAAACAAAAAAACCACCTCAGTAATCATGAGAGCTCAAGCTTCCTTGTGAGGTAGTGAGTTCTGCATCAATGGCATGGCTCAAGGGGAAGCAAGGTAAACACTCCCATAAATGTTGGGGAAGGAAATTCAGGCCTTGGATAAGATGTTAGATTAGACAGCTTTACCCATTTTACAATCTTGAGTTTTAGGATTTTCCTCTTCAATGTCTCATGTTCATGTATCCATGTCCTGACTCAAAACTATTTGCTTCACCACTATTGTCTTTAACTTCAGAGTAATTTTGTTTTTAATCATCAGGCACCACGTTTTAGTTTGTGTGCTCGTTAACAATACTGCAATCACAAAAGATATGATATTCACATTTGTTGACTGAATGTTTTTGGAGATCTTCCTAAAATCTTCTCTTCACCTATGCAATGGTGACAACTTAATTTAGAACTGTATGATTTAAAATATTATTTTCCTGGGGTGCCTGGGTGGCTCAGTTGGTTAAGCATCCGACTTCAGCTCAGGTCATGATCTCACGGTTCGTGGGTTCGAGCCCCACGTCAGCTCTGAGCTGTCAGCACAGAGCCTGTTTCAGATTCTGTGTCTCCCTCTCGCTCTGCCCCTCCCCACTCATTCTCTGTCTCTCAAAACTGAATAAATGCTAAAAAAAATTAAAAAAAAATATTATTTTCCTTTAAAGAATAAATATTATATTAACTAAAACACACTATAAATTGGGAACCCATAGGGATAGCACATCTAAATATCAGTCATGTGATTTGTCTTACAGGTTAACCGCTTTTGCTTTAAGAGTACTTGGACAATTAAATAAATACATAGAACAGAACCAAAATTCAATTTGTAATACTTTATTGTGGCTGGTGGAGAATTGTCAACTAGAAAATGGATCTTTCAAGGAGAATTCAGACTATCAACCAATAAAATTACAGGTAAGGAAACCAAATATACAGATTAGCAACAGTTTTATTTACAAGTTTGAGTTTTGTTCTCATCCTATTTTAGGAGTTTGAAGAAGAGAAAACATACGTAACCCTTTAAGAAAGTCCTGTTGCATACAGGCCAATATGAAAGTTCTCGTCCTGCTCTTCAGAAAATTTACAGGCATCGGTGGCTCAGGGGTGTGAGTGCTAGAGATCTCAGAACAGGTACAGGGTACTAATCTGTCCATATACCCTTGGCAGAGGATCTGTACTTAAAGTTCAGAGCCTTCTCATAGGTCAAGGCTGCAAGGTGGTGTCATGAAAGGTGAGACCTTATTTACATCTTGTTGGTGAGAGACATAAGGGTCCATTTATTAAACTGCAACAAAGTGTTGTTTGGGGTTAGAATCTACTTATAAACTTGAATTACAAACTAAGTATAGTATCTCTCCAAGATATCACTATAGTATCTTCTACTCCTTAGAATGTTTCTTTAGGATTCGACAGCTTTTTTTTTTTTTTTTTTTTTTTTTTTTTTTTTTTTTTTTTTTTTTTTTTTTTTTTTTTTTTAGATTTTTTTCTGGCTAACAGGGGACCCATAATGCTCCTCTGCTGCACCAATAGCAGATTAGGACCCCCACAAAAATGGAGGGCAACTGACACCATCCAGATGCTANTACTTATAAACTTGAATTACAAACTAAGTATAGTATCTCTCCAAGATATCACTATAGTATCTTCTACTCCTTAGAATGTTTCTTTAGGATTCGACTGTTTTTTTTTTTTTTTTTTTTTTTCGCCTGCCCTAATCCAATCCCTCTCCATGCTATCAGGCATAGATGGTGCCCTGGCTAACAGGGGACCCATAATGCTCCTCTGCTGCACCAATAGCAGATTAGGACCCCCACAAAAATGGAGGGCAACTGACACCATCCAGATGCTATTTGAAGAGTAAAATACTACATCAGTTTCTTACTTAAGATGCCCACCTATCCATCCATCCATCCATCCATCCATCCATCCATCCATCCATCTGTCCATCCACCCATCTTTGTATCCATATTTATTCAACAACCATTCCCTGAGCACCCAATACATGCAAGGGTCTATTTTGAGCATAATCTGGGAGGAGGTGTGGGAAGGATGGCCTGCCACAGAGAAGCTCACACACTGGTAAGGAAAGTAGGCTGTACATACTGGCAACACTAATCTACATATAACTGTGTGCATTCATTTATCAATACAAGAAACACTTATTACATGTGCACTAAATGCTGCATGGTAGAGACACAACAGCAAACTACACTAATGTGGTCACCGAGGCCAAAGAGCTTATGTTCTAGCAGAGAAGTCAGACACGAGCAAGTTATTTCAAGTGTGTGATGCACGGTAAGAAAAGGGAAATACGGTTTCACTGAAAGCAAGGGATCTAATCTGATGTGAGGGAATTGAAAAACATGACTTGGTAAGGGTCCTGGGAAAGACGTAGGAGGGAGGCGGGAGGAGTGTTCCGCCAGGCGCAAACCACATGCCTGGCATTTTGAAGTGGAGAGAGAGGGAGGGTCACTCAAATAACTGAGGCTAAGAGGGCTAGGGGGTGAGTGGCTAGAAATGAAACTAGAGAAGTAAATAGAGGACACTTTGGAAGGGCTTGTAAGCATCACATTGAAATGTTACTGCCCATGAGAGAACAGAGGCTGAATAGTGCTTCAGAGAGGAGGTAGCATTTTCACAAGGTCTTTATATATATATATATATATTTTTTTAATGTTTAATGTTTATTTATTTTTGAGAGAGGGAAAGAGAGACAGAGTGTGAGCAGGGGAGGGGCAGAGAGTGAGACACAGAATCTGAAACAGGGTCCAGGCTCTGAGCTATCAGCACAAAGCTAGACACCAGGCTTGAACCCACCAACCATGAGATCATGACCTGAGTCGAAGCCGGATGCTTAATCGACTGAGCCACCCAGCACCCCTTTAATTTTTTTGTCAACGTTTATTTTTTTGAGAGGGAGAGAGACACAGAGCGCAAGCAGGGGAGGGCAGAGAGAGAGACACACAGAATCTGAAGCAGGCTCCAGGCTCTGAGCTCTCAGCACAGAGCCCAACACTGGGCTTGAACCTATGAACCACGAGATCATGACCTGAGTTCAAGTCGGCCGCTTAACCAACTGAGCCACCTAGGCGTCCCTCACAGGAGGGGGAGAGTTTGTTGTGAGGAAGTATGAGTTGGAGCTTCAGAGTGGGGAGGTGAAGGGGAGAAAGGCATGTGAACATATGCAAGTAAGAAAGACCCAGATCTTACTGAGAAATGGCAAGCTGTCCAACCGGAATGATGATACAGGGAGAGGGGGAGATTAGGCCCAAAACGGAGATTAGACCCAGGTCATTTTACTATTAGGACACCATTTCATTCTGCTTTTAAAACATTACTTACTTGTAGGGTACCTTGCCTGTGGAAGCCCGGGAGAACACTTTATATCTGACAGCCTTTGCTGTGATTGGAATTAGAAAGGCTTTTAATATATGCCCCATGATGGTAAGTAAGAGTTTCCTTTCTCCAACACCCATCATCTGTTTCTGTAGCATTCAGTGGGAGGGGCCACCTTGAAAATAAATTTAGCTTCAGGATCAAAGGATTTCAGAATTATGATAGGTATTAGAGACCCTGGGTAAGGTGAATTGAGTTGTCCAGTGTCACAGGCCACCAAACTGTGGAGCTGACATTAGATCCAGTGACTTGTGGCTGACATGGGGAAGTGGCGGTATGTCCTCCGCCTCCTGCCCGCATCTCTGAGTATGTGACTGTTACCCTACACCTGAGGCATCTCATATTGTGGAACCTCTGAGAACACACAGTAGTGTGTCTGCTTCTTCAGGCTGTGCTGTTTCCCTTCCTTGGAATTTGGGGGCAGAAAGGAGAGGACTCACCTGTGTGGATCAAGTTGGAAGACTCCAGCGGGGCAGATGCTTCCCTGATCTGGGAAGAGACCATCCCACACTGAAGTCAAATGCACCTGCTTATAAACTGGAGATGAATCAGACATGTCCTTCAAACCAGCATACAGAACAGACATGGAAAATCCCAAGGTGGGGTGGGGTATAGGATTTCAGCCACAAAACAAAATAATGTTTGTAGTTTGTTTCAAGAGAACTGTTATCTATACTTAACAAGACAAAACAGTCAACAAGGACAAGTTCCCAGGGGCCTAGAGGACCAGTTGGCACCCACTGGTGCATGAGGGAGGGACAGTGGAGCTGGACAGACGGAGCCAGGAGAGCCGATTACAGCATCACACAGGCTTCCTTCTCACCCACTTATCCCAAATAACTTTCAGGGACAAAGTAACAGAGACGATGTTCCCCGGAATTCTTAGGGTCAAAAAGCACTGTGGCGGCCTGGTTCTTTTCCTGCTATCTGTGTTTTTATTTAGTAAAACTCTGTTTGAAAATGTGAGTCTGTCCCAGCTCTGCTGAGGTGGAGTGATGAAAGTCTAGGCCTGGCTTCTTCTTCCCGGGGGCTACATCCGCTGTGGGAAGCAGAAACTAAAGAAGGAAACCTCTACAGAGAGGAGAACCCAGGGGCAAAAGACTTACCCCCATTTGGATAAGCACAGTTTCCCTTCTGGGATTATATTCTGCTCCTTTGCCCAGAGGGATTTATTCCAGCCAGACACAATCCATTTCTGTGAGGACACTCTTCTTGCCTGCCCCAGGATGGTGGCCCCCAGGGGTGGTTCACATAAGTTGATAGGTTGATGCTTAACAAATCTAGGTACCCTCTGCTCTTGTTTCCAGAAAATCAGCACGGCTCTAACTAAAGCTGAAACCTTTCTGCTTGAAAATACCCTCTCAGCCCAGAGCACCTTTACACTGGCCATTGGTGCTTACGCTCTTTCCATGGGAGATAAAACCCACCCACAGTTTCGTTCAATTGTCTTAGCCCTGAAGAAGAAAGCTTTGGTTAAAGGTATGACTTGTTTCGTACTATTTATTCAGCAAGTGTTTACTAAGCCTGTAGAGTCTGTTAATCCTGGGAAGGAGGTTAGGGCAGGCAAAGTTGAGTGAGACATAATTTCTGCCCTCAAGGAACCAACCATCACAATAAATGCTGTTATTCATTTATTTCGCATGTGTATGTGAGGAGGTACATGAGTACCTCCTATGTACCAGCTATTGTTCCAGGTTCTGGAGATAAAGCAACAGACCAAAACAAAACAAAACAAAAATCCAGGTCCTCGTGAAACTTACATTCTAGTTATGGAGAGACAGACAAACATGGTAAGTAAAATACTGCATATAGTGAATAGGTTGGTGATGATTGATATGAAGAAAAATAAAGAAGGGAAGGAAGACAAGGAGAAGGGGTAGGTTGTAAGTTTAGATACAGTGGTCAGACTTGAGCCTCACTGAGAAGATGGTACTTGAGTTGGGACCTGAAGGAGGTGAGGAAGCAAGCTAGTGGCTATCTTGAGGGTTGTTCTGGATGGACAAGCCACAGGTGCAAATGCCTGAGGCAGCAGGGTGCCTGGAGCTCCAAGAATGACAAGGAGGGTCATATACAGCCTTGGAGGTCATCACAGGAGCTCTGCAAGACTCCTGTGTACAGTTGTGCAATGCACACAGCTCCCACCCAAGCCAGTGAACTGAGGCTGAAATCCAGCCTGTGCATCCCCCTAGCCATGCATCCCAGTTTGCGTCTGCTTCTGTCCAGAACAAAGGGTACCTGTGTCTCATTCATATCAAGATGGTGGGGGGCAGGGCGAGGGGGGAGGGGCAGTGGAAGCACTAAGCCTTTAACTTCTGCTTTGAGTGAAAAGGGAAGACATTGGAGGATTTTTTTTTTTAAATCAGAGGTGTACTAATTACCAGTTTATTGCACTTTCCACTCTGGCTTATATTGTACTGAGCTGGCTATCTATGTATTTCATTTTGAGAATAAAGATACCACTTCCTAGGTCAGAAGTAAAGAAAGTAAGAGGGTAGCAGTGATCATTGGCCAGCATGCCTGCACCAGCATGGGTGTGGTTGGGTACTTCCAAGCCCTCTCCTGACTGAGGTTTTCTAAAAGCTTAATAAATCTGACATGAGGTGTATCACTATTTACAAGATTTGATTTGTCATCATTTAAAAATGACTGAGTCATAAAGTATACCTCAAAACCATTTGTACAGTGGTTTTAAAATAACACAAAAGAAATGTCTTGGGTCTTGTAAGGTAGGGATCATAAAATCACAGAATTTAAGAGCTAGAAGAGGTCTTAATAATTCAAATAATGTTTGAACTGCAAGTATCTTTAAAAAACAAATCTTTCATTCTAAATACAGCAAATCTGAGTCTCTGAGAGGGAGGGAAAGCATTGTCCAAAGTCATGTAAATAATGTAATTATGAATTGTAAACAGATACATCAAAATTTTGACTAATCTTAAAAAATTATTTCCAAATATGCCTTACTGTTCTTTTTCAAAAATAATGTGTGCAAAAAAGGACTTAAAATGACAAGTTTAAATTACTAGACCAATAACAAATATAATTTAGAACCTAATTTATGAGAAGCGCCACAAGCATGAAATTATCTTTCATGCTTTAAACTCGAAGAAATTAAAATAAAATGAACCAAGGTTTTGGGATTTTTTTCTGTCAGGGAGAAAAGTTCTCCAGTTTATCTCAAAGTTGTCAATAATAACACTAAATAATAACTAAATAATAATAACAATAACACTAAATAATAATAACAGTAAAGCTTTCTAGGTGTACAGTGTTGTCTGGTTGAGAAAAAGTTACATTTGGTATCTCACCTGATTTTTACCATAAGGAAATAAGTACTATGTACACTTTATTAGAAAATGAATCCCATAGAACAAAAAAGAATTCTTCCAAGTTGACCTGGTCAGTTCCTAGTAGAGCAGAGACTAGAACCTGGGTGTATTACTTACCAATTGATTATACTTCTCCCTCTACTGTACTGCTTCTCCCCAGTACATGTGGACTTTGCATGAGGATCTTTTTGAGTAAAGACAAATAGCACTGTATCAAGGGATCTTGTTTTGTGTAGGTCACCTCAAGGAAGTTCTTCTTACAAAAGAGTAAAAAACTTCTAGAAATCAAAAGGCCACTACCGGAAATAACTTCTAGAAACCTGCTAGAATTATGTCAAATTTACATGTCATTTTTTAATTTTTATTTATTTATTTTGAGAGACAGAGAGAGAGCAAGTGAGCAAGCATGAGCAGGGGAGGAGCAGAGAGAGAGGGGAGAGAGAGAATCCCAAGCAGGCTCCATGCTGTCAGCATAGAACCCGACACAGAGCCCCATCTGACAAGCTGTGAGATCATGACCTGAGCTGAAATCAAGAGTTGGGCTGAGCCACCCAGGCGCCCCTCAAATTCGCATTTTTTAATACATTAATGAATGTGATTTGTTGACGTTCAGGTGATCCAGTCATTTATCGTTTTTGGAAAGACGATTTTCAACAGGAAAGCAGGTCCACACCCAACCCCAGTACGGCTCACATGGTAGAAACCACTGCCTATGCTTTACTTGCCAGTCTGAACCTGAAAGACATCAACTATGTTAACCCAATCATCAAATGGCTATCTGAAGAGCAGAGGTATGGAGGCGGCTTTTATTCAACCCAGGTAACTTTTCTCTGTCTTGATTTACCCTCCTGAAAACATTTGTCCTCCTCCCGTACTACCTGGGCCACATTCATTCTGGCATCCATGCTTTTGTCTGCCCCATGAGATCTGAATATATGACTAGAATCAAAAGACTCTTTGAGATTATCTGCAGTGACACCCTTCTCTTACAGAGGAGGAAGTCAGCCCCAAGAGGTTCACTCATGGAGATAGTGGCACAGCCAAAATCAAAACTCGCCTCTGGCTCTAAATCCAGGACTTCCTTTATGATTCTTAATGATCACGAAGGGTTAGTAAGGTTATCAGCGATTCTGTCACATCCTATGTAAGAAACAGCGGCTACCATGTGGACCAAAGTACTGATATTCCCTCCCCCCCCCCCAATAAATAAAAAGTGAGAGAAATACTGATTGTTATGGTTTATCTAGCTACCAAAGTAAACTCATTCATGTATCTATATTTTATAACTGCTACATAGTTGTATAATATGCCTCTGTATTCAAAGATGAGCTCAAATATTAGCATCTTCTCAGTTCCTTGGATGTTTGGATGATCATGGAATGTATCTGGACATGTTTATAAAATTTAGAGCTAGAGGGGTCCTTCAGGATTACTTTAGTGATTATCTAATCTGAGGAGGCAAATGGGTTTCATCTTGGAGACAAGTGTAGGCTTAGCAGGGAAGAGTGTGCTGTTGATTAGCACACCATGTCACAGGCAGATGGGGTAGCCACATATATGACATCTCTGACCTAGTCAGTCACATTTCCCAGTTTTATAGATGAGGAAGATGAGGCCTAGAAAAATAAAGTCCATCCATTCATTCCTTCAACAAATTCTTGTTGAGTAGCTACCATGTGTGTCTACTAAATGTAATGGATGCCAAGAAAGGTATACGACTTGCCTCCAGGCATCTTACAATACAGTGGGCAGAAAGAGAAAATTAAAACAGAATAAGAAATGGGGAGGAAGAGTGTATTTATGGCGTGACTCTGGAGATATCTAAGGTGAGACTTAAAGATGAAAAGGAGACAGTCATGCAAGGATTAGGAGGCATTCTGCAAAGAGAGACTTGCCTGCGGTCATGCATCCAGGACACACGGAGAGCCTGGACCTGAGACCGCACCTCCTTCCTCTTCTCGCCAGCAGCAGCATCCTCACTGGGGGGGGAGACACCTCCACCTGGGGACCCTTCACCAATTTCAGTCAGCTCAAGTTTCCACACTGGTCAATACATCCCCAGCCTCTCATAAGAAAGCGGATTTATAGGGGCACCTGGGTGGCCAGTTGGTTGAGCACCCAACTTCAGTTCAGGTCATGATGTCATGGTTTGTAAGTTCAAGCCCCTCGTCAGGCTCTGTGCTGACAAACAGCTCAGAGCCTGGGGTCTGCTTCAGATTCTCTGTCTCCCTCTCTCTCTCTCTGTCCCTCCTCTGCTAATGCTCTGTCTCTCAAAAATAAATAAATCTTAAAAAAAATAATTTAAAAAAACAAAGAAAGGGAATTTGTAAATACAGGGAATATATAAATGAGCTAAACCTGTTTTTGTGCTTTGCTGATTGTTGATAGGATACAATTAATGCCATTGAGGGCCTGACAGAATATTCACTCCTGATTAAACAACTCCACTTGAACATGGACATCAATGTTTCTTACAAGCATAAAGGTGACTTCTACCGTTATAAGATGACAGAGAAGAATTTCCTTGGGAAGCCAATAGAGGTAAATGGAGGACTTTTTATAATATTTTGTAACTGGATGGGCCCTTTGAAATCATATTTTATATATTTATCTATTTATTACTTTAAAATACATTGAGTACCTGCAGTGTCCTAGGCAGGGGTACCTGCTATGTCCTAGGCCCTAGGAATTCAAAAGTCAAGTATATGAAGAAACCATGTACTCAGGGAGACCGTTGTTTTAACAGACAGTAAAAACTAAGAGTCTTGATAGGGACATGGAAAGACAGAACAGGGCCTCCTGACCCAAGGTAGGAATTTGAGAGGTAGGAATTTGTCAAGTGCATCCAGATGCACAGGTTAAATCTGGAAGAATCAGAATGACTTAGCCAGGTGGAGAAAGGGAGGGAAACATTCCAGACAGAGAGAACAGTATGCACAAAGGTGCAGTGGTAGAGAAAGAGGGAAGACATGTTGTGGGCATCCACCGTGGTTCCACATGGCCCTGCCACACACGCAAAGTGTGGCCAACATGGGAGATTGGCCTTTGGGTCCCCTGACAGCTTACCCTGTGTACCTCATTGGATTTTTTTTATGAAAACCTCAATGGCCTATGAAAATTTCCCAAAATAAAGGACACGTTGGAAAAACTAGTTTCTGTGTCAATAATAGTAGCTGCCAGGGGCGCCTAGGTGGCTCAGTCAGTTAAGCGTCCAACTTCAGCTCAGGTCATGATCTCACTGTTTGTGGGTTCGAGCCCTGCGTTGGGCTCTGTGCTGACAGAGCCTGGAGCCTGTTTCAGATTCTGTACCTCCCTCTCTCTGACCCTCCCCTGCTCACGCTGTCTCTCTCTCTCTCTCAGAAAAAAAAAAAAAAAAAACATTAAAAAAAATAATAGTAGCTGCCAGTCAACAGCTGCTAATATATATTTTTCTGATTACCACATTTTAGATTATTTTAGGTCATATTTAAATGTACAAATGACTGGAAATAGTTTTTAACTGTCTGTATCCTCTACAAATCCATGTTTGGGAGAAGTAAATAGGCATGAGAAATAAAATTGAATACAAAAATTAAAAACTATCGGCCTATAGTTAAAAAAAATAGGTATGGATATGGATATATAGACAGAGATATAGACATATTCCAACACTTGAAAGTCCAGAGACCTCAAAGAAAAGTCTGCCTCCAAACTCAAAAAAAACAGACGATGTGGCAACAGGGTACTGGCCACAGCAGGCACTCTTCAGTCGGCCCAGTTCTGGCAGTCACGTGACAAGTGTCTGTGCCCTTTGTCTGCCCTTGCTTGGTGCCTGGGCCTCTGCAGGCATGTGTGCTTATACCCCCCCCACCCCCCTGCCCAGAGTTGGTAATGTATCCCCTTTCTCTGGGAGCGTGTAGACTTCACCAGAGATTCTCATTCCGAGCCAGTGGTCTAAACTCTCATGAAGAGCTCTTGACCCGCACCACATGGCGGGCCCACTGGAGATACAGCTGCGGTTAGTTCTTCTCTACAGGACTGATGTGGTGAAGGATCTCTCACCATTTTTTAAATAATGTAAACCTCAGCCCATGATGCTGTCTTTGTATAAAACTCAGGCTATGAGTATCTAGTTTGGAATATCTCTATGCCAGCATTTCCTGAAATGCATTACCTAACAAAGGCTTGGTGGTCAAGTTACTGTGGAAAAGTCTGGTTTAAATGAAGTTAATCAAGTCTGTTCATAGAGGGATACCTACCTCACCTTTCATGTGTATATGGATAAGTGTGGTGACTCTGGGGAAGAATGGGCAATGGAGGGACATGGGGACGGGGGCAGGGCAACAGTGTTCATTTCCCAAACTTACCTGTCACTCATGTTCATAGAACCCATTCTTCGTGAAGCCCCTTGATGCACTGGCACTTCAGTAAATGCTGCTCCATCAGGGAGAACAAGAGAGTTGGCCTTGTTATCTACATTTACTAAAATCTAGAGGAAAGGCTGACAGCTCTTCATGCACCCCAAATCCCCTTTGCCAAAGGGTGCTAAGTGAGAGAAGGACAGCCTTGGAGCGAGCAAGGAACCAACTCTTCGGGCCTCTTGCCCAGAATGGCCTCTCCCATGCTTTCCACACATCAGAGGGCATTTGTACAATAAAGCTTTCTGGAGGGGAGAGAGAATTTCTTAACGCAGTCCACAGAGAATTTCTTAACGCAGTCCTTACCTCCACTCTCCTCCTGGAAGGATGGGAAGGAGAGCGTCAGCACATAAGGATCTGGCAGCCGTAAGGGAGGTGCCAGGGGGGCCATGGGTTTCTATAAAAAGACCAGCAGGAAGTGAAGGAGACAAGCGCCCTCCTGAGGCACTGGAAGGGATTTATTCTGTTGGCAAAAAGAGATGAAGATCCAGTTCTATCATAACCCTATATAAAGGAAGACATAACCCAAAGTGGCTTCTGCTATGTTGGTTTTGCGGGCTTGCTCAGGGGAGCTCAAATTTCCATGGATGAGGGAAAGGGGAATTTCCAGGGTCTTCACTTACTTATCCATTGAATCTCAGAAAAGCTCAGACAGAGGAGCCTGACAGGTATCAGGCCACTCTTTTCATTGTTCTGTCCTCCCCGCCTATTGAAGAAGGAAACAAAACACCGTTTCTCATTCGCCTTTTCAGGTGCCTCTCAACGATGACCTCATCGTCAGTACTGGGTATAGCAATGGCTTGGCTACAGTGCACGTAAGTATTTCATTGAGAGCCAATTTCAGTGATATGTCTGCTTGTACTAAGTAACATGAAAGAAAGTTAGGGACTTTGCCACAAAGTTACAGAAATCTAGGCTTGGGTAATCATGACTAAAGCAGGATTCGTTTATCTCGTTCTTTTTAGCTATCTCAGTAGCAGTCCTCGCGATTTCTTCTTGCAGATGGCTATGTTAATCCTTGTATGTATATGTCTTTGTATTTGTGGAATTATATATATAATTATACATATAGATGTATAATTTTATGGTTCTATATGTATATGTACATACGATGCATGTGCGTGTATATACACACGTACATATCCCTCTTTTCTGTGGTTAGTAACATAGTCACATTGCAGCTCTCCAGCATCACTGCAGACTGATGTATATATGAAAGGTCTTAGGTTTCTATTATTTTAGTTGTAGCCTGCATGCACACACACAAACAGCTTAGAGAAATGTGTAACTGACTGCCAAACAGCTAAGATGAACTACATATTCTAAGCATAAATTAACATTGTACTGATTTCAATTATGCTCCTACCTATAGCACATTCATACTTGTAAGATTTTATATGACCGCATGGTTGGGTTGGGGGGAGTGGAGATGGACTGTGGACTTCTCTGTCACTTCTAGTTGCTCTCATCATAACTGCTTCTGGAAGCACCCCTGTCCTTCCCTGCACACCTATAATTTGTCATTTACCATGGTGGTATGGGGGTTAGGAGAAAACCATACTTCTGGGCCTTGAAGTGTTATGCATACAATGAGAGTGTACAGGTTCAAGGAGAGGAGGCTTAGGAACTTTCCTGTATAGTAAAGCACTCAGATTTGACCATGTGGGATTTGGCAAGATTCTGCCTGGCTAGATGTCTTTTTTTTTTTTTGGCCTACCGGGGCTTCTCAGGTATGTTTCAAATTGTGGAATTTGAAAGTCCAGCTGTTGGGAAATGAGTCTTTACTGCACCCCATTTGTACTGGATTGTGGAATCAATACTTCAGGCATTCCATCCACAGCAACAGTGCAGCCATGATGCCTTTCCCACTGTGCTGTTTTTTGTTTGTTTGTTTGTTTGTTTGTTTATTCCAAGTTAGCTAACATACAGTGTAGTCTTGGCTTCAGGAGTAGAACCGAGTGATTCATCACTAACATGTAACACCCACTGCTCATCTTAACAAGTGCCCTCCTTAATGTCCATCACCAATTTTCCCCATTCTCATCAGCCTTCAGTTTGTTCTCTGTATTTAAGAGTCTCTTATGGTTTGCCTTCCTCTCTGTTTTTGTCTTATTTTTCCTTCTCTTCCCCCGTGGTCATCTGTTAAGTTTCTCAAATTCCACATATGAGTGAAGATATGTGATATCTGTCTTTCTCTGACTGACATACTTCACTTAGCATAATACCCTCCAGTTCCATCTATTTGTTGCAAATGGCAAGATTGCATTCTTTTTCATTGCCAAGCAGTATTTCATATGTATATACGTATATACATATATGTATGTATACACATATATGTATATACGTATATATATAATGGAATATATTTATATGTGTGTATATACATATATATATATATAAACCACATCTTCTTTCTCCATTCATCAATTGATGGACATTTCGGCTCTTTCTATACTTTGGCTGTTGTTGAAAGTGCTGCTATAAACATTGGGGCCCATGTACCCCTTCGAATCAGCACTCCTGTATCCTTTGGATGAATTCCTAGTAGTGCAATTGCTGGGTCATAGGGTAATTCTATTTTTAATTTTTGGAGGAACCTCTACACTGTTTTCCATAGTGGTTACCCTGTCCTGTTTTAAATAGACTGTTGTTTACATGTCCCAATGTAGGTAACAACTGTGGTTCAAAAAACCAGTACTTCTGAGGAGGTTTGCAGCTTTCATTTAAAGATTGAAGCCCAAGACATAGAAGGTAAAACAATGACTTATGCTGTAATTGTGTGCCTTTTTTTTCTACCTGTGGCCTGCACACCCCTCTCCTGGTGGGTTGGTACTCTCCTCCACTCTAAAAGCAAGCCCCCTTGCGCCCTGAAGTACCCCTCTAACCCCAGCCCTGGGGTCAGGGTGCATGCTCTCCTCTGCCCTGGTGGCTTCCATTTGTGGCTCAAAGGTCTGTTCCTACGGGAAACTTTTCGGCTACCAGCATATCCAGGCATTGGCCCTTTCTCCCTCCAATCTTCCGCATACCCATTACCTTCAATAACTCCTTCCTTAAATTATAACCTCTTTGAGAGCAGAGAACTGTTATAATTATTGGTATTGTCGGTAGCCATGAATTGCCATTAAAATCACCATCAGTGCCAGCTTCCAAATCAAAACTCACGTTTAAGTGTGTTCAGAGACTTTTTCATTAATTATTCTGTTGCAACAGGGCACAACATGGCTAAAAATGGTTCACTCTTGTTTTTTGTTTGCTTGTTTGTTTGTCATATGTGCTAGCATCCAACTACAGGCGCTACGACGACATGGATTTCAAGCGCATAATAGCATGTGCCAGGTGAGCATGTTCCCACAGAGGCGAACTCAGACCCAGGGCCTCCCTTGTGCCATGGGATTATCTCTTTACACTGTTTAGAATTTTAAGATGGCTGGAAGATGCAAAATTGTGCACACTTTTTAAAATGCAGGACATGAGGGGCGCCTGGGTGGCTAGTCGGTTAAGCGTCCGACTTTCCGACTTTCGCTTAGGTCATGATCTCGCGGTTCGTGGGTTCGAGCCCCGCGTCGGGCTCTGTGCTGACTGCCAGCTCAGAGCCTGGAGCCTGTTTCAGTCTGTGACTCCCTCTCTCTCTGACCCTCCCCTGCTCACGCTGATTCTCTCTCCTAGAAATAAATAAAACATTAAAAAAAAATAATTAAAAAAAATAAAATAAAATAAAATGCAGGACATGGGACACCTGGGTGGCTCAGTCAGTTAAGCATCTGACTTCGGCTCAGGTCATGATCTCACAGTTCATGGGTTCGAGCCTTGCTTCGGGCTCTGTGCTCTCAGCTAGCTCAGAGCCTGGAGCCTGCTTTGGATTCTGTGTCTCCCTTTCTCTGACCCTCCCCTGCTCACTCGCTCGCTCTCTCTCTCTCTCTCAGAAATAAATAAAACATTAAAAAAATAATAATAATAAAATAAAATGCAGGGCATAACGGGTAATCTTAGACAGCTACTTTATGGAATAGCTTCGTTTTTGCTGTTCCCGCCCACCCACCCCCATGTTTGGCCTTCTTCTAATTCAAACACTATAATATCCAGGGTTTTGGTTTTTTTTTTAATGTCTTCCAGAAAGGTAGAGAGGAGGTAGAAGGATGAGGAGAAGAAAAAGCAGAAGATTTTCTTACAAGTAGCTTCTACTCTCTCACTTAGATCCCATTCACCCAGAAAATTCCCTAGCCACTAACAGTCAGCGGTTCTCAACTCGGGCTGCACATGGAAGTCAGCTCGAGAGCTTTTAGAACTATCCAGAATTCTGGCCTCACCCCCAGAGGTTATCCTGATGGCAGCCAGCGTTGAGAGCCATGGTGCCCACCCTCCACAGGCTAACTCCAGAGCCCCAAAGTGGCCACTGTAAAGGTTTCCTGTTGCTGCTCGGTAACAGCTTACCAGAAACTTAATGGTTAAACAGCCCAGATTTATTCTCTTACAATTCTGGAGGTCAGAAGTCCTGAAATCAATGGGCTGCCTTCCTCCTAGAGGCTCTAGGGGAGAATCCACTTCCTTGCCTTTTCCAGATGCTGGAGGCTACCGCCTCCCCTGCGTCTCTCCTTTATAAAGACCCTAGTGATTACACTGAGCCCACGCAGATAATCCAGAACAACCTCTTATTGCAAGACCCTTAATTTAATCACATCAGCAAGTCCGCTTTGCCACATAAGATAACATATTCACAAGTTCAGGGATTAGAATGTGGACATCGTCAGGGGCCATTATTCCGCTCACCCCATCCACCATCTTAAGATGCTTCTTAAAGTGCAGGCTTTTCAAAATACGCGTACATACCTTAGTGATCACACTGAGTCAGACAGTGGCAAAGCCATGTGACAGCGCATGCTTCTTCCTTCCTCCTTTCATTAACCCTCAGCCCCTCCTGCTGGACTGTTTCCTTGTTCTTCACATTCTCAATAACTGATTTCCATGGTTGGTATTCTGCAGATTTTACTGAAAATCACGTGATGCCAAAGCACTCAGTATGGATAACTCAGAGTGTAATAGATTCAAGCTGAAAAGGATTTTAGGGATGATATTGTAATCCCTTACTTTAGAAATAAAGAGGGGCTCCAGGATGGCTCTGTCCTTTAAGCCTCTGACTCTTGATTTCAGCTCAGGTCATGATCTCATGGTTTGTGGGTTCGAGCCCCACATCAGGCTCTTCACTGACAGCTCTGAGCCTGCTCGGGATTCTTTCTCTCCCTCCCTCTCTCCTCTGTCCCTCTCCCCTGCTCGTGCTCTCTTGCTGTCAAAATAATTAAACTTAAAAAAAAAAAAAACCAAAAAACCTCATTCATTTGAATTCATTGACAGGAGGTCTAATTCCAGATTGCTAATATACAAAAGAAGGCAAATAGAGATGTAATATTGAATTTTCTATTTTTTCACTTTTACACATTGGGAACAGAATGTTCAAAAAGCCAGGGGGAACATGCTTCGGCTCTGTAAAGCTGAAGTTAGGTTGGATAAAGTCCAAAAAGTAACTGTGTAGTACTTATTCATGTGAAAAATTCTTTGCCTTCCAATATTCTCTCTTCTGATTTAAAGCAAAAAAAAAAAAAGCAAAAACAAAAACACCAGCATACAGACTCTGTATTCAGGGAGGCTCTTTCCTGTATTTAGCTTCTTACAACCTCTCTGTTGTATCCATAAGAAAGGAAAAAAGGATTTCATTTCTCTCCTCTCTGAACAAAATGCGTTTGGGGGAGATTGCTGTCTTTGGCAGCAGGCAAAGGGCTTCTTGAAAGGAAGGTTTCTGTTCCATGGTTGAAACAGTCACCATGGCAACCAGTCATCAAGGCTCCAGCAACTTTTCGTAGACATTCTCCATTCAGGAGGCCCTTTTCCATTCTGTTGGCAGAGTATTTGCATCTATGAGCAAGAGTTCTCTGCTTCTGGTGATACTCACCCACTCAATTACAGGGAGATGTCCAGATATCATTTTACACTTCCACGTTGTCTCACAGTCTGTTGTTAATTGTTAATTTAGTGAAGAATGGGTTAAATTTTTGTAACCAGAGATTTTATAATGTCTTTAGCTATTATAGTAACTATTACATACAAGACAACTAATGGGGTCTGTCCTGAGAAGGTGCAACTAGGAGAAAGAGATCCCTTGCCAACTCTCTAACTCATAAAACCTCCCATTTAATTAATACTCATTCCTTCAGGTGAGATCAATTTTTCTTCCCTCCCTGTGATCCTTTCTCCATCGTTTTTTCCTTAATCCTGACTGATCTTTAAGCTCTACTCTCAAAAGTCCAGCTACCTGTCAAGCATCTTGAGGTGAAGCTGGAACCTGAAACTCAATCTTTGCAGAACCACACTCTGCCCCTGTCCCCAGTTCCCCAGTCCCCAACCTGCCAACTTGCCCCTTTTAAATCTTCTAATTCTGCTTAATGGTAGCACCAACCTCTGCCACTCCAAACGAAGCCTTGGAATTATAAAGGTCAACTTAACATACAAGTTTATTCTTCTTCACAGTTTATTTTACAAAAAAGAAAATTATCTGTAGAAAGGGAGAATGATTTGGGGAAATCTCTCAGCAGAACTGGGGTGAATCCCAAGTTTCCTGATTCCCCAGTTCAGTGTCTTTTCCTTTCTCTCTTATCAGAAAAACAAAAACAAAAACAAAAAAAAAACACCAAATCTCCCATTTTACCCCCTTTGCTTTTTCCTTAGCTTCCTCCCAAGCACAATTCCTAGACAAAGGATAGTCCTCAAAACATGTTTTAAAAATAAATTATTTATTCTGACACATGAGTAGCTCTATTGGTTAAGCGTCAGACTTTAGCTCAGGTCATGATCTCATGGTTCGTGGGTTCGAGCCCCACATCACGCTCTATGCTGACAGCTCAGAGCCTGGAGCCCATTTCAAATTCTGTGTCTCCCTCTCTCTATCTCTCCCCTGTTTGTGCGCTCTCTCTCTCTCTCTTTCTCTCTCTTTCCCTCTCAAAAATGAGTAAACATTTTTAAAAATTTTAAAAATAAATTATCTATTGTGGAAAATGTAGAAAGCATAGAAAACCATGGGTAAGAAAAGAGATCATCACTTATATCTCATCATCCAGAGAAAGTAGATGGTGACATTTTAGGGTATTTCCTTCTAGTCTTTTCCTAAACATGCTTATTGAGTCTCTTTCCAATATAGAACAAATTTTCTTTTTCAAATGTGCTGTTAGAAAAAAGAACTAGAATGGAAGTCAAGAGGTTTATGCAGCTTTGGGGTAAACTAGTCATGTGACCTTGAACAAGTACCTTACTCTCATCCTCAGTTTCCTCAACTAGTTGATTAAAGAGCTTGGACCGAATGCCTTCTATGACTTTTTCCAGCTCCAGAATGGTGGTCCATTTAAAGTATCGGCCAAGTGAGCAAATAGTTAGAATAGATGACTCAAAAGTAGCTTGCAACTTTAAAATTTAGAGATTGCAATGCATGTATCATAGAGAGGCAAGGGAGTAGAAACCCTAATTAAAAATTAAAGGATACTAAGACATAAAGCCTTTTCTTAAAGAATCTTGTCCACTTATTTATTGCATTTCCTAATTTCTAATTTCTCTTAGCTACAAGCCCAGCAAAGAAGAATCATCATCAGGGTCTTCCCATGCGGTGATGGATATCTCTTTGCCTACTGGAATCAGTGCAAACCAGGATGATTTAAAAGCTGTAAATATTGTCTTTTACATATGGTTATGGATGCTTGGTTTTCTTTGCTGCATTATTTTACAGATAAGGCTATTTCCTTTCCTTTTAATATATCGCTTTCATGGAATCACCTAGAATATTCTTTCCTAACCAACAATCTACCAAAGCTTTGATTTCTCAGAGTAAAGTGGGGGCACATACGTGCGTGGTCTGAACAAAATGAGAGTGCAAATGATAACACATCCAGACTTCTTCAAGGGGAGGAGCTTCTATTCAACTTTTTTGAATAGTGGTATACATCCCCATCTCTAACATCCCAATATCGGATGAATGCATTTAAGCAAAAAGATCAACTTTGATAAATTTTTTTTTTTTAAATCATGAAATTTAATTCAAGCCTTCTCTTTCCTCTCTTAGCTTGTGGAAGGGGTGGACCAGCTGTTAACTGATTACCAAATCAAAGATGGACATATTATTCTGCAACTGAATTCGGTAAGTTCCACCTCCCACCATTCTCTGTTTCCAATCCCTATCCAAAATGTACAGGCTAAAAATGCTGAGTCAATGGGGCGCCTGGGTGGCTTAGTTGGTTAAACGTCCGACTTTCGCTTAGGTCAAGATCTCGCGGTTCATGGGTTCGAGCCCCGCGTCGGGCTCTGTGCTGACTGCCAGCTCAGAGCCTGGAGCCTATTTCAGAGTCTGTATCTCCCTCTCTCTCTGACCCTCCCCTGCTCACGCTGTCTCTCTCTCTCTCTCTCCTAGAAATAAATTTTTAAAATATTTTAAAAAATGCTGAGTCTCTTCTCTTCCATAATTTCCTCAAACCTTGAATTTGTCGGACAGATTCCTTCCGATGACTTCCTCTGTGTTCGATTCCGGATATTTGAGCTGTTTCAAGTTGGGTTTCTGAATCCTGCTACTTTCACGGTGTATGAATACCACAGGCCAGGTAATCAGCTCGACTCGAAGATTTCTGCCGAGGATGACTTTGCCTTCATTACAGTGCTCACTGCATCTCTCCATTTTGGAGAAGCCCACTTCCCCCGCCCCCTTATTTCTTTCATCCTCCCAGAATCACCTTGTCCACCTATATTCTCGTCACATTTTGCTGAGGGCTCCATTGTAGCACTTATCACATTGCTTTGTCGTTATCTGTGTGCCTGTCTTTCTTGCCAAGTCCAGACAGAGGCTTTCATCCACATGTCCCTACTTGCTAACACTATGTTCGGTATATAACACGTATTGAGAAACGTTGAATGAATGACCCCACTTTTGATCACTCAGCCTCGAATACTAAGTGATTGGAGAGCTCTTTGGGTCACATCACAGACAACTCCACATTAGGCAGTTCTACATGTTACCAAAAAAATTCTTAAAATGAACCAAACTCTCATATCCACTCATTCTAGTTGTATCTTCTGGAATCACCTGGAACATACTGAGCCCCTCTTCCCTTGTTTTTCTTCAGCCTAAACAATTACTGCTCTTTCAAAAGACTCTCATGTAACACAATTTATTTACTCTCATTTATGGAAGCACCAAATATTTTAATTCTAAGAAATAAATATGGAACAGTAAAATTTCAAGCATAGAAGGGGAAATCTTTGAAGGAGGGTAGAGGGGGCCCATGCTAGGAGAGGCAATTCACAATTTAACCTCCCTATACAAGTTACAAAAACAAACGGTTTGATCTCCAGGTCCCCATGGGAGACTCACTGATCCATAATGAGTGTTATGATTGATTGAGTGTTAATCAAGCCACCTCTCCTAACTGTGCTTTCATTGCCACAGATAAGCAGTGCACCATGTTTTATAACCCATTCGATGCCAGACTTCAGAAAGTCTGTGAAGGAGTAACGTGCAAATGCATAGAAGGTAAACTTCGTTTAACATATTTAGCCTACATGTTTGTTTAAAGCAGCCACTCATCATCCAAGGCTTACAGAAGCTGTTTGACAAACTCATTTCTCAGAAGTAGGCGTATAATCTCAGCTGATTGAAATCTGATTCCTTGAATAGTATAAAGCTGCTTCCCGACAACGCCTGAACAGCCTGCTAACTTCTACTGTACGGCGGGGGGGGGGGGGGGGACATCTTCTAGACGATTGTTGGATATCAGCAGGATAACATGATGTGAAATTCTTACTTTTCACATGGTCTTTTTAATGTAACAGGACCACAGCCTAAGGGAACAGAGGCTCAACACTGAGCCACTGGCTCCTCTTCCCCCCCCCCCTTTGTCCTTCCCACTTTGTGACATCTCTGTTTAATGTCCTGTTACCTACAGTCTTCTATAAACCTAAGAGAGTCTTCCTGATTGAGAAAAAGACCCAGAACTCAATAATAGTCAACAACCAATTCCATGTGGGTCTGGGCTGGTTTGGATTTATTTTGTTTTTCAGAAACTGTAACATCTATACATTCCTTAGGCACTCACCATACATTTTATAGCTGTAAATCTGTCCAGTTATCATATTGTTTCCTCCAAAGGACTTTTAATTATACTCAAAATGGGAAATTTTCTTCCTTTCTTCCATGAAAGCATCTACATTTCTAAAGAAGCAAATGTGGAGTGACTACCCATTCTAAGCCCTCATGTTCAAGATTTAGTTTGTGCTTGTTTTGTTTTGTTTTGGCTTTGCATACTGTTTCACTTTGTGGAAGAGGAGAAAATGGGCAGGTTGTAGGTGTCTGGTATTTGTAAGGTTATACTGGATTGTCTGAGGGCTCACGAGAACTGTGTTTAATGCAAAGGGAATGGCTGCTTCTTTACGTTAACCTAACTTTTAGCATTTTTCACAAAACCCAGCTGACTGTGGACAGATGCAGACAGAACTGGATCTGACAATCTCTGCAGATACTAGAAAAGAAACAGCATGTAAGCCAGACATTGCCTATGGTAAGTTCAAAGGTTCAATATCGAGTTCCATGAAACATGAGATGTTATGAATACGTGATCAGTTAGAAAGTTCAGCAACTTTTCACAGTGATCATTTGAATGCTGTATTCCATGTGCTCCCTTAAAGGAAAATGCCATCAATTTTCAGCATTAACATGCAAAAATTATTTGTCCTTCAGCAAAGAAATGTAACTTTTGTTTAAAATGATAGGAGGGATGTACACACTCAGCCAAGATATTTTACTCCAATGGATCACACTGAATTAAACATATCAAATTAAACTGAACTAAAATATAGTTAAAGAAAACTTTTGAGAAATCACAAAGGTATAAGACTTCACTAGTGTACTCTTCTAGCCAATAGAGGAGAGACAGAGACAAAGGTGCTTTGGGGACTTAGAGTTTTTTCAAACTCCCTTCATAGACAAGGTAGAAATATCAGTACTAAGTCATTTTAAATATATGCAGAATTGCAATCTTTCACTTCAAAAGGAGCCTCTTCTTCTGGTTATCCAGAGCACAAAGCTAAGTAAGATGCCCACGTAAGGCTATACTCCTGTTTCAAGCTCCTCAGAAAATTAGCTTCTTTGTTTTCTATCCATAGTTTCCAATGTTTATTATTTCTGATTTTTTTTAAAGAGTGAGAGAAAGAGAGCATTTCGTATGCCATCGCAAACCTGTATGTGTGTGTGTGTGTGAAAGTAGGGTGTTATTTATAAATGAAAGATAAGTACAGTTAATTCAGCACTTTGTGTTTACCAACTGTTTTCATATATGGTTCCTCACTGGGGTCCTCTAAGACTTCTTTGAGGTAACAGAGAATTACCTATATTTTGCCAGCTAAAAAGCTGCCTAACTCAGCCAAGACCCACTACAGTTTTTAAAATACATTAAGACTTAAATACTATACTGTTTTAATGAATAAAAATTTCACCAAATTATTTCTTCCCTCCATTTTAGATCTATTTTAACTATTAAATCTCAAAAACCTATTGTAACACATAGAATAAATGCAATCTGGACTTAGTTTATTATTCTCAAGAAAAGACTTATCTGGCTTTTTTGAAGACTATGGGTTGGTATTAGAATAATAAAATAGAAACAAAATAAAATAGTTCCCTCTCTCCACCTATGCCCAGAGCAGGCACGTTGCCCATACGGCACCATAGAGACATAAATCTGAAATTAGGGACGTTTTAACATGTGTTTTAAGTTACTAATTCACTCAGCCTTTGGTTCTGGCACAGTGAGTTCATTCATCTAGCTAGCTAGTTAAGATCTCAAAACTGGGCAAACCTTTCAGATCATCCACTTCAACCCCATCAAAAGCAAAAACGAGATCTTTTCTTAGGCCGCAGAGAAGGGGTAGGTCTCTTCAAGCTGCCCATTCATTCCAAAACAGATCAAATACCATGGATAAAAGGTAATTCCTGAAGGAAGAGAAGAAACCAGGATAGGGGATGTCTCATGTCAGACAGCTGTCAATCTGAGCAAAGATGAGTCAGAAAATGGAATCCTGTCAAAATCCAAAGATCAAAGCCAGTGGAGGTAGCCAAGGAATCAAGGCAAGGGGAGAGGAGGCCCACAGGACAGGCCCAAATGGTAGCTAACCCCTCTGTGGGCCTACGGAGAAGCAAGGATCTCCTCCACGTTCCTCATGCTCGCGACCCAACTAAACTTAAAGGACCAGAATCTGAACCTTCCATCTAACAAAGGCATATTTTTGTCTGTTTAGTGTGCTTCTGTCTTTTAATTTAATGTTGCTCTTATCCCGAACATCCTGTTCTGTAGCAGTGGCGAGGGCAAATTGTCCTAAGTAGCGTGGAATCATGAGTCATGATCAGTACAATCAGACTGAGAGCATCTAGAAAGGCCTTTTGGAGGAAATGAGATTCAACTCAGGGTGACTGTAAAAGCTTGCTCTGCTTCCTTTCTCATTTGTTTGACAAACACTGGCTTCTGCTGGACATGGAATTAGTGACATTAAGCATGAATTCTTGTGTTGTTTCTTCTACCAGCCTATAAAGTTCGTATCACATCCATCACCAAAGAAAATGTCTTTGTTAAGTATACTGCAACCCTCCTGGATATCTACAAAGCTGGTGAGCATTCATTCTTTCACTCCACCAACATTATATCATTCTAATAATAGGCCAGGCGTTACATTAGACACTGAGAAAACAACTTGAATAACACAGCCAGGGTTCTTGCCTTCATAAAGCTTCTATTCCATAATGTAAGGAGACACATGTTTTAAAGAGGAAATGAAAAAACAAGTTAAACAATTATCAATCATAACCAGCACTATATTTGAGATATGGAATTAGTATGGAAAGTTCCTGTAGGGTGATAACAGACAGCATCGTTTAGGGGTGATATTAGGAGCTAGCCATTCTTAAAGGGACAGGGCAGAAAGAGAACCAAATATGCAAAGGCCCTGAGGCAGCAAGCACTCTGGCACCATCAGGGGACTGACAAATCCCAGTGGGTGATTGGGCTGTAACGAGGCAGGGAGACCCCACATGAGATGAGGCTGATAAAAGGGAAAGGAACAAGGCCATATAACAATTTATAAAGCATGGCAAGAAATTTGGATTTTATTCTAGGTGTCCAAAGGGAATCTAATTAAAAGTTTGAGGTAGACAAATAGCATGACCTGATTTATGATTTTAAAAGATTACTCTGACTTCTCAGAGGGAGAACACGAGTAGAAAGAGGGAAACCAATTAAGGACATCTGTGAAGAGCAGAGCCTTGGGCTAGAGAACCAGTGAGGATAAATGAGAGTTTTAATAATACAATAAAATGAACTCGTATGTAAAATAACATATAAAACACTTTAAAATATGTTCCCTTTTATTCTCTAATTAAACTAAGCTATAACTATTATAATACCGCTAGTCAAATTATATAAATTGCCACACAAATGACTCATTTAATCATTCTTTTTTTAATGTTTATTTATATTGAGAGAGTGAGAGTGCATGGGCATGAAGCTGAGGAGGGGCAGAGAGAGAGGGTGAGAGAGAATCCCAAGCAGACTCCGTGCTGTCAGCTCAGAACCCGATGTGGGGCTCGATCTCAGGACCGTGAAATCATGACCTGAGCCAAAATCAAGAGTTGGACACTTAACTGACTGAGTCACACAGGCATCTGCGTTAAATCATTCTAATAATTCCAAATAAGTTTTTTTTTAATTTTTAGAAATTGTCGGTTTTATTTTGCTTGACACACTATAGAATTGCCCGTCTGAGCTTTGACTTGACAATGAGGAACCAATTGCATCTTTATTGCACTCACTGATAGTCTTTACATAACCTATAATCTCAGTAAGTAATTTCTCCTAATAGTGACAATATTGTTCATGGTAACAAAGTCTCTCTCAGGTCAAGCTAAATTGGTAGTAATTACATTCAAAATGTTTCTAGTCCTTTGGATACTATCTGACATTTTTATTTTTCAATATATCTCTGTTGAATCATAAAAACAATTTGTTGAAATGTCATATTTAGTTTTCCCAGTTTTCTTAATTTTTATTCCCCTTCAACCCTGAGTTTTACAAATGTCATAGGCACAGTTTTAGACTGCATAATTTTTTTTTAAAAACTGAAAAGTTTGTCACATATTTTACTCTTGTCACTAAAACAAAAATATTTTCATATTATTAGCTTTTCCCTTAATTTGATTTTATTTTGTTTTTTATCAAATTTATGATCATTCTTGATTTTATAACAGCTCTTGCTCTGCTTTTGTAGTTTCCTTTATTTTTTATATAGTTTCATTGTCTTCTAATCTGTGAGCTTATCAAAGCTGAAATATCTTTTCTTGAACAGCTAAAGTTGCTAGACTATCACAAGCAAATCACCAAAAAGTATATCTATCCACTTCCTAAATATTTGCTCCTATAACACAATTACCTATTGAAGCAAATCTATCAGACTTACAATTTCCAGACTGCCTTCATGATTCTAGCACTACCAGCTGCCCATCAAAATCCCAATATATTTCTAATTTTGCAATTTCTATTTTGCAATTTTTTCATTATTGCAATTTTTAAAGCTTTACTATTATTACTTACTCCTGTCTAGTGGGTATTAAGTATGTGGTAGTAAACACTAAATTTATGAAGACAATATTTAAAGCAATCTTTTGCTTGGTCTGTATCTTTTAATTGTCTAGAGACAACTGATATCTACTTGATAGGTAATTCAGTTAATACCAGATTGAACAGCTAGGAATTTCAGAATTTTTTGCTGAAGCCCAGACTCCTCTTTGGCACTACATCTGTACCAGTAAGGTGCTCACGTGGCTATTCCTCACTGACTCCTTTTCTCTCAGACAGTTTGATATGTTGATCAGTTGTTCCCTCCAGTACCTTGATACCAGAAAACCCATTAAGTGATTGATCTTCAAAGTCTGCAGTTTTTTAATTTTACATTTACTTTAAACACTTTTGATGTTAAGTACTTGATTTTCTCAATAATGATTGAAATTTAAGGGGCACCTGGGTGGCTCAGTCAGTTAAGCATCTGACTCTTGATTCCAGCTCAGGTCATGATTTCAGGGTTCATGGGATCAAGCCCCATATCAGGCTCTGTGCTGACAGTGCAGAACCTGCTTTGGATTCTCCCTCTCTCTGCCCTTCCCCCACTGTCGTGTGCTCGCGCTCTCTCTCTCTCTCAAAATAGATAAACAAATAAATAACATTTTAAGAAAGAGTTTACTAAAAAATGATTGAAATTTAATTTTATTACCTTCTTTAGATTTTCCAAAAAGCTATGTTCTCATTTCAGTAGATACAAATTTTGCAATAAGTAGGACCATAAATCTGAATTGCAACTATATGTTTATATTGATTTTCTTTCTCTTTTGAAATTCTATCCAGTGTTTTGAGTATGAAAATGCCTAATCATTGTTAGCCATAGACTAGAGTTGGATTCTAGCAATACTTTCCAAATCTTAATTTGCTGGATCAATACTCTGATAAAATGTTTTTCTGGTTTTTATTGTTCCAAATGTTTCACTGTATGAAATTGACATGATGTCATTCATTCTATGTTTTTCTCATTGATGATCGCAAGTTTTCTTTATTTGAACCATGATTGTCATTCTGACAAAACAGGTGTTTAGCACTTCGATCGTTTCGCAGCCCAACTTTGAGCACCATTTGCATCCAGCTTTCACATTATGAGCAATAATAAGCCATTCCTATTTTAACTGAAATAATCAAGTGCTTTTCATTCCAGAAATACAAGTTATTTGTTTTATTTTGCACCAATTCTTGCACCGTATCAAAAGACATTCCAGACCGTTCTGAATTTTATGCAGTATCAGATGATTCCCAAGCTGTAGCTCTTTTAAATTTTTTTTAATTTTTTTTTTTATTTTTGAGAGACAGAGAGCAATCAGAGAGATGAAGGAGACAGAATCTGAAGAAGCTCCAGGCTCCAAGCTGTCAGCACAGAGCCTGACGAGATCATGACCTGAGCCAAAGCCAGGCACTTCACTGAGCCACCCAGGTGCCCCCTAAGCTGTAGTTCTTTTTTAATATCAAGTCTTTCTGTTCTCCTGTCCATTCAGAAGATTCATATTTATGACATTTAAAAGGAAATGTTAAGACATTTTTGCATAATTAATTATCTCTTCTTTCTGGGTGTTTATTTTTTAATATATATGAATTTTAAATGTCTATAAATATCAAAAAACCACATTTACCACTTACCCAAAATTGCTGCACACTCACAATAAGCCAAACTAAAACCTAAACAATTTAAAACAAAAAGCAACTGTACAGTTCAAGGATAATGACAACTTGGTGTTTCCCCTAAAACACAGGGTGCTTGGAGTGAAGATATAAATGGAAAAAAAAAATCAGTGATTGTTGAAGCCGAGGTTAATTAACTCCATCTTTCTGAATATGCTTGAAATTTTCCATAACCAAAGACTTTTAAAAATAATGATAAGGCCATGACAGGGGCTGAGTTGGTAAATGGTGCTGGGAATATTGATTAGATATTGCCGCCCAGAGAAGTCATGTCTTAATGGTCATCAGGAGAGCTGATGTGTGCCCACTAGTTAAATAATACTAATTAAAGTTTACCATTGATGTAGTTACTATTATGGACAGGTTCCAAAGGTTTTCAGGATTTAATACTTAGGATAGCTCTGTCAGAGTTTAATAACTGATCATCAGTCCTGAATCTATCTCAGTGAATCAGACCCAGTCCCTGCCTCAGGAAGCTTCCAGCCTAGCTGAAGACACATGTGGGGTGAAACACTGTGATAGAAGTTCAAGTATAATGGGCATAAGGGAGAGACAGAGAGTTATTTATGAGAAAGAACATCTAGGAGTGTTTACTGGATACCTTCAGAATTGATGATGAGTTTAACGATGGATAGAAATTCAACAGGACAACATGGGGAGAAATGCATTCCAGGTAGGGGAGACAGCTTCTTGCCCACCTCAAAGTTCTTTGGGAATCCCAAAGTTATCCTCCTTCAAATTTTCCAAGTCTTTCACACATCTTGCACCCTTCTACACAGTTGTCCATTGCCAGCTACACAAATACTTTTTTATTTTGCTATATAACATCTGGGGATTAATATTGTTCAACTATAGAGACATTCCTTTAATTCCTGGTTCTACAGGAGTAATAATAACGACTATTTACATAGCACTTGTGTTCTAAGCACTTTTCATATGTTAACCCATTTAGTCTCACATCAGTTTCACAAGGTGGGTTATATCATCATTCCCATTTTTCAGATGAGGGAGCTGAGCCTCATCTGTCCATGTTCACACAGCCAGCAAGTAGCAGAGCTGAGGCTTGACCCAGAGAGCCTGATTCCAGATTCCGAAGTCTTAACCATATAGACATTGTCACTTTCCAATAGCCACTCAGTATAAACATATACTCTTCAGTAAATAGCCATGAGGAACTGAAATTGTTGAGAGAGTTTATGATCGTGACATTGTAACATGAATGTGATAACCTCACATGTGTGCCTCTTAGGCGAAGCTGTTGTCCAGAAAGACTCTGAAATCACCTTCATTAAAAAGGCAACGTGTGCTAACGCTGACCTGGAACAAGGAAGACAATATTTGATTATGGGTAAAGAAGCCCTCCAGATAAAATACAACTTCAGTTTCAAGTAAGTCATTTTGGAGTCCCTCTGATCTTTCCTTCAAAACTAGGTGTAATTTACTCTTAATACACTATATGTTTCTCATGTGTCCTGCTGTTAACCAACAAACCATTAGGAGCATGAATAAAATAATCTGAATTTACCCTTGACCTTAGCCAAAAGGTCAAGAAGCAATGAAACAATGAGAATGGAAAACAAAGAACTATTTATAACCATCAGGGCAGCTGAGAACTCACTGATGAATAAACCAACTGAGCACCTGGGTCTGTGGATGCCTCCGAAGGTACCCCTCCGACCCCTCTCCGCCACATCTGCCCCCTCATGAGTTTTCAGACTATTCTGTTTGTAAAGAAGGAGATGTTTAAATATGCATCGTATGATCTCTTCTTAAAAAATAGATCTTGAAACAGATGCCGTTCCCGCCTCTAGTCATGGGGCCCCAAGGGGCTTCACGAGATTTGTGGGTTTGTCGCCCTTCCCAGGAGAGGCCGGCCCAGCAGAGTGGTTGACAGAGTGGCCTGAGCACACTGAGCGCCATCGAAATGAGCTCATCACTATTCATTTTCCTTTTTTGTCGGCAGGTACATCTACCCTTTGGATTCGTCCACCTGGATTGAATACTGGCCTACAAACACAATGTGTCCATCATGCCAGGCATTCTTGGCCAATTTAGATGAGTTTGCTGAAGACATCTTTCTAAATGGCTGTGAAAACCCCTGAAGAAGGTCAACCATGTGGCATTTTCGCTGTGGACTCCCGTTGTGCAAGTGTCTTCCTTTTCTTTTTTGTTTTTCTGTTTTTTAAACATTCACAGCTGGTCTTATTTGGAAAGCTCACTTTACTTAGAATTAGTGGCTCTTTGCTTTTAGTAGAGAACGATTTTAAGAGCTGTAACTTTCTGAAATAACACAGCCTTGGGGGGCATGGAGACAGACACCCATTCCAAGGTTATCGGACACCAGAAGCAATAAAAATTGGGCCGCCTCCTAAACCCTACCGCTCAGGAATGTCTTCTGAGGACCAAAGAATAGCCCCCATTGAAATGTAGTATCTTACAATAACATGGCCTTTGCTTGAAAGAAAATACCGAGGAGCAGAGAGCTGGTCATTAAAGCCTGCCTTTGCTTTCGAAATGTGCGAAAAAGCGAAGAAGCCTGTTATTTTATGCGAGGCCACAGCTGTACCCACACAGATGGGCAAGTTGAGAGACGGAGACCTGAGAAGGCCCAACCTCAGAGCCCTCAGCAAACTGAGAAGGTGGGAGCAACCACCCCTGAGCCTCCTCTACCCCACCCCCTGGGAGTCCGACAACCCCCTCCGCTCCCTCCCAGCACCTGTTGGTTTCCCCCAGGGACTCGCCCTTGCCAAGAATTGCCCTAGGTGGCAGCAGCCTGGTGAAGAGAAGCCGAGTGGTGAGAAGGAGACCTTCGTGCTGGCCCCTAACCAGGCCTCGGAGCCGTGTTTGAGCTTTGCTAAAAGAGGGTCTATAACAGGATGTTCATTTCTTTCTTTTTTTTTTTTTTAATGTTTATTTATTTTTGAGAGAGAGAGATAGACAGAGCACAAGCAGGGGAGGGGCAGAGAGAGAGGGAGACACAGAATCCGAAGCAGGCTCTAGGCTCTAAGCTGTCTGCGCAGAGCCCGACGCGGGGCTCGAACCCGCAAACCATGAGATCAGGACCTGAACCGAAGTTGGACGCTTAACCAACTGAGCCAACCCGGGTGCCCCTAACTGACCTTCTGTAGCACTTTAGATCTTAGGAAAGAATTTTCCCCATAGAGTCCCATTTAATGTCTCAAGAATCTCACAAGGTACAGGGGTTATTATCCCCAGTTTATGGAGGAGGACACAGAAGCTCAGAAAAGTGAAGCAATTTTCCCGGCCTGGTAAGGGGGCGTGCCAGAGACCAAACCCCAAGGCTTTCCCTCTGTCCAGACCCATCCCTCTTCCACATCATGACCATCCCATGCTTATCAGGTTTAATTTATAAGACCAAGGTAGGACGCCATTGGAGTTTCTTAGGTATAGTTTAACCGGCTCCATTGGAATCCCACAAGGAAACATAAACTCTGGATGTAGCAGTAACAGTGACTGTAATGCGTTCCCCGTTTATAAAATCTGCATTTTACCAGTTAGGCGAAACCACACGAGGCTTGCAGTACGCCTTGTAAGTAATACTAAGATTTTCCACTTCCAGGAGCTGAGAATTTATTTTTATTAATGTCAAGGCTCACATTGTGGGCACTCCCTTGGCAAAAATAACCAATGTGTCCAATGAGCCCCGTCTCTCTGCCAGCAAGGGGTAAGCCCCCCCACCCCCCGCTCCAGAGTTGACCCGAAGCGTCTCCTGTCCCCTTCTTGCCGAATGCAGTATGGAGGAGTGAACCATTGCAGGGCTGGGACCCACCAGCCCACGATGCCTCAGCGCTTTCAAACATCAACTCAGAACTCTGTGAGTTAGCCCGTTCGCCCAGCACCGTTTAGAAATCCACCAGCTCCTCTTCACCTCACGCCTGTGTGTTTAAACATACTTCTCTACTGAGGCTCTCACAACCCTCCAAACAGGCTGGGTAGCTACTCCGCCCTGCATGTCTCTCCTAAGGCGTTGGCAGCTATTTCTGTAATCACGTATACTGTTTATTCAGCGTGCAGCTGCCTAGCTCCACTGTAAGCCCTGTGTGGGCCAGTCTGGATCTGTTCTGTTCACACTGTCCCCGGTGCCTGGAGCAACGCGGGACGCGCTACAGGGACTCCTTAAGTGTCTGCAGACTCCCGCTGAGTGTGGGGCATCAGAAAGCCCAGGGTCCAGTCTTGGCTTTGCCCCTGCAGGGACTTGGGACAAGCCTCTTCCTCTCTTTGGTGGTCTGTAAACAAGGGAGCGGAACACTCAATCACCTTTCTATGGCTGGAAGAAGGTACCTGATAATCCTATGTTGTGAAACAGAAAACAAAACCACAAGGCATGTAAGCATGGCATGTGTCTCTTTCTGTAAGTACGAAGGGAGCCCAGAGGAAGGAGTGAGTGTGTGAGCTGGGGGGCTTTCCAAGGACCTCTGAAAGGAGGCTGGGCAGACCTGGGTAGGGAGAGGGAGGCAGAAGGATCTTTCCCGTTGAAGGGAAAAGCATAAGGCAGGTTTCCACTGGAGGCAGGAAAAAGATTTAGATGATGCTACAAAAGAATGCTGTTCATTTTAGTAGCTAGATGTTTATTTTTGTTTAATTTTTATGTTAATTCCAGTTCGTTAGTATACAGGCTTATGTTAGTCTCAGATAGATAATAATAGTGATTGAACTCTATGTTTGTGTTAACATATATTAGAAAAAATACAACTAGCACCTCAGAGCCATGATACACAATTTTCTTCAAAAATAAATGTATTTGTCAAAAAGTCAGTCTATTTAAGGAAAAGCTTCAAGTAAACAGGAGTATAAGTTGTTCTTAGGGAGAAAATCATGAGGTTTGCATGTACAAGATTGACGTTTAGGCAACTCTGTCTTAAGAAAATATGTGGAACTGACTGTGCACCCCAGCTTGAGGCAGGCAGCCTCGCTCTGTATTTCTCAGCGAGGGATCCTGAGCCAAAGTCATGTCCAGTCTTACGTTCCAGCCCTGATGATGCTAATTTATTCAGCAACATCCAACAAACATGCCCTGATTAGTAATTGTAGGCCAAGCCCAACTCTAGGTGCTTGGTACCGGGATCGCCACCCTTATGGAAGTTTGATCCTGGCTGGAGAGACACACCATGAACAGTAAAGACATAATTGGGCACCTGGCCCTGACTGTTTGAAGGGGAAAAGAAAAGGAGAGCAGAGTAAGGGAGCCAGGGAGTAGTCGAGGGAGGGGCTGCAGTTTTAAGTAGAGCAGTCTGGTCAGAGTGGGCTTCAAAGTGAGACCTGAGCGGAGGCTTGGAGGTGGTCAGAAAGGGAGCCATGTGGCCACCTAGGGGAAGAGTATTCCAGGCAGAGGGAGCCCTGAGTACCCAGGCCCAAAGCAGGATCAGGCCTGGTGTCCTACAGAGCAGCAAGGAGGCTGGTATAACGGAGAGTGAGCCACGGGGGAGGTGGGTGGAGACGAGGCCAGACAAAGCACAGACACCAAATCAGGCCAGTCAAGGAAGGGGCGTTCACTTTCCTCGGAGGGAAAGGGGAGCCACTGCAAGGCTTTGAGCAGAGGAGCGTGGCAGGAGCCACTGCTGTAAAACAGACAAGAGATGCCACCGAACAAGGCGGAGCTCGCTGACTCTGCGATGAAGGAGAGCACACACCATGGGAACCACGGAGCTTCTCAGAAAAGGATGTTAGATGGACTTACTACAGGATTCGGGATTGCGGTGGATGATTTTAGGGAGAGTTTAAGGAAGCAGGGCTTTGCCCTGGATCGGACGCTGTCAGGAAGCAGCAGTAATCCCACGAGTATCTGAATTCTTATCTAAGTGGAAGGAAGAGAAGTAGCAACAGTCACATTACCCAGGAAAGTGGGAGATGTTTGGTCATTTTTGTGGTTTGGATAATGTTCTTATTTTCTGCTCAAACATGATAATGGAAAAGTTTGCACTTTTTTTTTTTTCTCCATCTTGATCCATTTTGTCTGATGTTTACGTTCTGTGGCATCAGACACGGACACCAGGAGAGCCTAACTCTGAATATCTGGTCAAACCCTGTGGTCACCAAGCTCAGCTACCAGCCTAGCACCCAGCTGTCTTCTCTTGCATAGACTCCTTTTCCTAGAAAATGCACATTCACAAACAGTGCCCAGATCTGCACCCGATTCCAGGAGCCCCCGTGACAGTCCACGCGTGGGCCCGATGCCTGCCTCAGGAGCTGGGATTTCGGCTGCTCGATGGGAGAGGCCCTTGGAGACACAAGGCAGCTCTGTGTCACGTTTGTGTAGGTTTCTCTGCTCCTGAAAACAAACTGATTCTGCACGCTTGGTGTCATGTGAGAAACGAGTCACCAGGGACGTGATTTTTAACTCTGTTTGGGAGATTGAAATATGCCTTTATGGTTCTGAATCCGAAAGGAATTGAAGAGGAAGGAAGGAAAGAATGAAGGAGAGAGAGTGGAGAAGAGCAGGAGGGGGAAGGGAAGGAGGGAGGGAAAGGTTTAAGACAAGATGAGAACTCCATTTCTAAGAACCTTCTGGATTCTTCTCAGCTGGCAGTGTCCCCGCCCTGACAGACATGTTGGCAGAAGTAGATCTATTCCTTGGAACACAGTGTCCACCCCTTCACTGTTTCCATCATTATAATCAGATATGTGTGCATTACACACACAGAGACTCATGAATTATATGATCCTGAAATGTCCAAGCCAGGAAGGACCTAGAGTGCATCTCATCCAACTCCTTCATTTTCACCTGGGAAAACAGACCCAGAGGAGCAGCCTCCTGGGGGTAAGAACACTGTCAAGTGGAAGGGCTGGGACACCAGCCCAAGGCATCTGACTCTTAGCCCAGCGTTCTTTCCACCACACAAATGAGGGGCAGTTACAGAGAAATCGCTTTTGGCTCCTTCCAAAGAATCATTTTCCTCCAGCCAGAGCCATTCAAAGACAGACCAGGCTCTTGAGTTAGTGTCCCATCACTAACCCCTTCCAGGACTGTTACAGGAACCATTCAGTGTGGGAGGTTTGCCCCGATGATGTCCAACATGCCTTCAACTCAGAGAGGTCATTAGGAGAAACAAAAGCATCTGCTTTACTTCCTTAAGCCCCATTTTCATATTTGAAAAATGGGAATACTAATAATCCCCCCCCCTCCTTGGGAGGATTTCTGCCTCCCAATGGGAGAATACAGATCACGCACAGAAAGTGATGCACACAGAGCCTGGCATGACGAATGTAACTTGGGTGGCTAAGAACACATCCCTGGCACACCGTGGATGCCGACATTAACACATTTCTTGCCTGGCACCACACTGATTGCATTTCGTGGAGCACCTACCGACATAATTGTCGCCATTCCTACTTTTAGGAAGCAAACAGCGGAG